ACTACCTTTGGCAGTCAAGGTGTGATTCCAAGTACAGTAGGAACAGATTGATGCCAGCCAACGCCAACTCGGTGCAAGGGAGTGTCTTGAATTACACGTACATACCTAGACTAGGCTAATACTTGTGCCGGTGCTAGATAGATGGGATTTACATATGCCCTCGCACCCGCTCAGCCGGGGCATGGGGGGCCCATTAACGAGCCAATGCTCTGAAGAAACAAGGCGATCACTCGCTCTTTACAGCAGCCAGCATGGTGGTGTGAACCAACAGGGCTTCTCTGTACAGTGTGTACTGGAACTACTGCCCTCAAAGGTAAAAAGGAAAAATGGAGCTGACAAGAACCTGTTGACAAAACTTGTTGACAAAGCGGGCGGAGAGCTGGTGCAAGATTGCGAGTGCGAGTGCGGAGAAGGCGAGGAAATACCTAATAGGGCTGCCCCGATGGAGGAGAATATCGTGTCCAATGATGCACGACTTTGCTCAGCACAAATTACACGGCGGCAAGATAGGCAGATAGGGCATCCGGATGGGCTATTCTGCAGCAAGAATGGACACCCGCATGGTTCCTCGTTTGATCGCCCTTATACGGAGAATACACGGAGCACTATATCTATACTGTACACGCATGCATTTGCTTGGCCACGGCTTGCCTCAGGAATGTCATCATTCGCTAGCCACCGGCCTGCTGCGGGGAACCTGCTCAACAACCCCAGAGCCGCTCTGCTTCGGGCTGGGCGGTGCGCCTGGAGCCCTCTCTGGGGCATTTCCCGTCGAGAATTCAGGGAGCGACTACTCCTGCTCACGCCTAGCACCGCTCGGTTCGCCTCCAGCCACCCTCCACGAAACAAGCGCCGCGCTGGAGCAGCCTGAAGGAGGCATGGGACGGCGAGCGTTGTGGGGAACGAGCAGCAGCACTGATTCGGGGCCAAGGAGCTTGGGAGCGTGGCCTGCGAGATGCTGCCGGCCTTGCGCACAAATCGCCTCCCCTGATGAGCTCGAGCCTGGCCCCTCCCCGGCAGCCCGGGCCCGCAGCGGATCTCCTGCAACAAGATGGACGGCTCTAGGCTTGAAGCAGCAAAGGGCACTAGTCAGTGTGTCTGTCTGCACGAGAGCAGGTTAGGGACTGGATGGACGTGCGCAGCGCTGTTGCAAAGTGCCGCTCGCTGGCGCTGTGGCTCGGATATCGTCGCTACAGAGGCATGGCGCACGGCATCAGGGCTGGCGGAGGGCCGAGACAAGAAAGAGGCGGCGGGCTGGGCTGAGCACTATACCTGAACCTGGCTCTGCATGATGTACTACTTGTGCTAGTATGTACAGGTAGCGGTACAGTATTCGTACACGCTGTTCTGGCTTGCTCTCGGGACCCCAAAGTACCGCTGCCTTGCCGTGGGCGGGCTGAGGACGAGGGGATGGGGGTCTCAAAGACATCCGCACCCTTGTAGCTGCTTGCGAGGGCCGTATCCATGCCGGCTCCATAACTTTTGTATGCGCAATGGAGATATGGATGGGGTACGGAGCATCACTGCCCGTCTAGAGCTCGTCGAAGCATTCGCCCCCGCTCTGCGACCGAGATGGAGGCAAATACGGACCCAGAGAAGGGCTCCTTAATAATGAGAACAGAAAAACACCCGCCGCGTGTTGCAAATAAAAGGGTCTGGTTGTCCCCGACTTGGTTCCTTCCCTTTTCCCCATCTCCTGCATACAGTATCGAGCTGGTGTATCCTTTCGTCATAAATAAATACCCCTCTTGCCCCTCACATTTGGCTTTGATCTTTTCTTTTTCTCCCCTCTTCTTTATCCATATACCACAGACCATCCATTCACAATGGCTTTGACAGTTGAGCTCGACGCCCCCACCTACGGGAAGTATAACCAGCCAATTGGCCTGTAAGTCGTCTCGCCACCATCGCGCCTCTACCCCATCTACGCTACTTGCTGCGTTTTCGCCACTACCTACCGTCACTACTGGTCTGATCACAGCTAACATTGTCGTCTTCAAGGTTCATCAACGGCGAGTTCGTCGAGGGTGTTGACAAGAAGAAGTTCGAGGTCATCAACCCCGCCACTGAGGAGGTCATCACCTCTGTCTGCGAAGCCACCGAGAAGGATGTCGACATTGCTGTTGCCGCTGCTCGCAAGGCTTTCAACACAGTATGGAAGAAGACTGCCACCGTCGACCGTGGCCGCATGATGTTGAAGCTTGCCGACCTGATTGACCGAGATGCCAAGAAGCTCGCCGCCGTTGAGAGTTACAACAACGGCAAGCCCATTGCTCTGGCCACAGGAGAACTCCAGCTCGTCAGCGCATGCATCCGATACTATGGTGGTTACGCAGACAAGATCCACGGCAAGACTGTCGACGTCGACAGTGACTACATGGTCTACACCAAGCAGGAGCCTGTAAGTGAACAGCCCTATATGCAGCCAACTCTTGGGATCCAAATAGCTAATCGATATCTTCTTGTATAGCTCGGTGTTTGCGCTCAGATCATTCCCTGGAACTTCCCCCTGCTCATGCTTGCATGGAAGATTGGTCCCTCATTGGCCACCGGTAACGCTGTCATCCTCAAGTCCTCTGAGCAGACACCTCTTACTGCCCTTCTCGTTGCCGAGCTCATCGTCGAGGCTGGCTTCCCTCCCGGAGTTTACAACATCATCAGCGGCTTCGGCAAGACCGCTGGTGCTGCCATGGCTTCCCACATGGACATCGACAAGGTCGCTTTCACCGGCTCAACCGTTACTGGTCGTGCCATCATGAAGGCTGCTGCCGCTTCCAACCTGAAGAAGGTCACCCTTGAGCTCGGTGGCAAGTCTCCCAACATCGTTTTCGACGATGCCGACATTGACCAGGCCGTTTCATGGGTCAACTATGGCATGTTCTACAACCAGTCCCAGACCTGCAGTGCCGGTACCCGTATCTACGTCCAGGAGGGCATCTACGACAAGTTCATTGCCGCCTTCAAGAAGCGCGTTTTGGAGAACAAGGTCGGCGACCCAGCCCACCCCGAGTCCTTCCAGGGACCCCAGATCAGCCAGCTCCAGTTCGACCGCATCATGGGTTACATTGACGCAGGCAAGTCAGAGGGTGCCAAGCTTGAGATTGGTGGAGAGCGACACGGCGAGAAGGGCTACTTCATCAAGCCCACCATCTTCAGCGATGTCGGCCACGACATGAAGATTATGCGCGAGGAGATCTTCGGACCCGTCGCTGCCGTTGCCAAGTTCAAGGACGAGGAGGATGTCCTCCGCATGAGCAACGACTCTACCTACGGCCTGGCCTCTGCCATCCACACCAAGGATCTCGACCGAGCCATTCGCGTCAGCAACGAGCTCCACGCCGGTACCGTCTGGGTCAACAACTACAACTTCCTCCACGCCCAGATTCCCTTTGGCGGCTACAAGCAGTCTGGTATTGGCCGCGAGCTGGGTGAGGAGGCACTCAACGCTTACCTCCAGAACAAGTCTGTTACCATCCGCATTGGAGGTGGCTTGTCACCAATCAACTAAACAAAAAAATAAACTGTAAAAATATAAAAAAGGAACGAGATGTTACGAATAGGATGAGATTGCTGGGTAGCCTATCTCTTTTTCATTTGCTTGTATGTTAATAGTCTGATGGTAGCTAGCCATGAATGAAACTGCGCATGACTCTTAAGTTTGGATTATTCTCTTTGCATCTTGAATCTTTGGAAAGTTGTGATGTGATTAATGCTGTGCGCCATACACTGTTGCTGACTTGTCTGATGGAGTGTAGTTGATAATTAGCCGTCGGGTTATATAGCCTTTCTCGAGTGCTCTTCAGAGTGTGGTCCACAGCTTGTAATGTGGGATCTGAGAACGAGGATGATACTACTAGCTCTGTAGTAAGATGAACGAAAAATCTTTTAAAAAAGAAGTAGGGAAAAAAAGACAGACATGTTCCGTCGCTCTTTCATGTAGCTGCATAAGGTGTATATAGGTTGTGGTTTGTTTTCCCCAGTTCTGCTATTGGATGCTACATCTGTTAGCCTTGATCAATAAGACACGAGTGTAAGAAGTCACTCCCTATTTGGACAGCTTGAATCACTGGATTTTCTATATATTGCATAGGATAACCCATTTATGAGCTTGAATCAATTCCTTGAAAGATATCCGAGTCCCAAGCCTTGAAAAGCCTCTCTTATGACAATTTCAAGCACGCCAGCAGAGCAGCACCTTTGAAGCACCAGCGAGTGAGCTTCCGCCATCGAATTGATTTACTACAGCATACTACCCAAGTGTTAACAAGGCAGCCGACGCCAGACCCCTCCTTCTATGCTGCCTGTTGTATTTTTTGTGACAAGTGACAGCAAGAAAATGAGAGAAAATGGACATAAGGTGGACATAATTTATCCAGCCCCGGCGCAGTGGACTTGGTTACCGTCACCGTCACTGTAACCATCGCCATCGCCATTCACTGCACATGTACATGTACCTCGTAGGCCTCCCGCATTGGTGCTGCAGGGCGCGTAGCGAGACATGCACAGCCCGCCCAATCAGGCAGCGCCACCACTGTGATATGACACAAACCGCAGAAAGAAGGGAGGGGAAAAATCACCTTTTTTTCTTCTTCCCACTGTTTTTGCGTGTCAATCCAGCCAAATCCAGTCATTGTCGCTCTTGTCTTCATCGCTTGCTTCGTACCTATATCTTGCTGCTATTGCTGTGTTACTGGAACTGTTTTTGCTCGTCTCGCTTACACTGAGAAGCTCTTACGGCTGCCTTGCTGCGTGTACCATCGCTGAGCTGCATCGCATCGGGCCTTGTTAAACAAGAAGAGAAGAAACCATGGCGCTGGGATTGGGGCTTGTGTTTATGCTGGTACGAACCATCCGCTTCGCTTTCCTTCTCTTCTCTTCCGATGGCTGATATAAATGTCGAATCAGGTCCACGCCGTGCTATTCGGCGTCGCAGTGTACGTTATACATGAGATGAGCCCAACGATGCCCTGCTAACAACATCCACGATGCTCTCAAATAGAGTCGTGTATTTCCACAGCGTTCATCTCTCCCTCCCCATCAGCTCCGCCGTAACCATCCTCACGGCCCTGCTGCCCATTCTCTCCTTTCTCAACTCCTTCATACACCCCAGCCTCCTCCACTCCGCCCGCAGCTCATCAAACCCCTTCATTCGCCTCAGCCCAACCGTCCTGCAGGCTTTCCAGGGCCTTGTCACCACCGTTCTCGCAACACTGCTCTTCGAAAGAGTGGTGCCTTCGGACACGGTGGAATGCCTCATCAACAATCAATGGCAGGGCTTGTGGCGCGGCAGAAATGGGGAGGCCATTCGCTTGATTCAAGATACGCTCAACTGCTGCGGCTTAAACTCCCTCGTGGACAGGGCCTATCCCATCTCCGAGCCAAAGACGTGCGCGAAAATGTTTGGGCGCAATCAGGTGTGCAGAGGGCCTTGGAAATCAGCCCTCAGGGGCAGTGCAGGAGCAGATTTTGGGATTGTCATTGTCGTGGGAGTATTGCAGGTGAGCTGTCTCTTACTCCCCCTTTCTCTTACTATATCCATATACGATACTCACGATTCACACAGGCTCTGAGCTTGCTCATGACTAGAGAAGGCACCAACTGGTGGACTGCATGGCGCTCCGTCAGCTGGCATCGACAGCAGCAGGTCAATCGCCGGGAGAGCCGTCCACTGCTGGCAGGCATTCCAGACGCAGACGCAGATGTAGACGAGGTCGTCGAGCAGCAAGAGGACTCTACCCGTCCGCGAGGATATCAGAGCCTGACCAACAACACCGATGAGGAAAACAGGCCCAGAGTTGAGCCGTCTGCCATTCGTAATCGTCAAGAGGTAAATGTCTGGGAATCCGACAACTAACCCGGACTTTTGAATTGTTCCTTTACAATAGGAACCGTTATCACTACAAAAATTGTGATACAGCGCTACCAGCCAAGAGCAATATTTGTTAAAAGCTTGCGTTTTTCTTTCCATGATATTAGTCTTGTCTTTGTCTCTATTTGGTCTCCGAAATGAATCTCTATCTCTTTCGCGACTCGAGCGCCTCCTTGCCTAGCTTCTCCAGCGCACTCTCGTACTCTTCTATTCTATCTTCATTCATCTCCTCTATCATCACTCGGTCCACCTTCTGTGCTCTCTTCACGCCGGCGCCTTTACCAATCTTACCCCAGAACCAACCACTCTCTCCATCTCCTACAAGCGTCCAGGCACATCCAGTTCTGCCTGCTCGAGCAGTCCGGCCTACACGATGGACATAGCCGGCCACGCTGGGGGGAAGATCGTAGTTGACGACATGTGGCAGCTTCGGGATGTCGATACCACGTGCGACAAGGTCGGATGCGATGATGAGGCGCAGGGGCGAAGAAGGGGTGGTGAATGCTCGCAGGGTCTTGCGGCGGATGCTGGTGGGCGTGGTAGATGTGAGGGTACTGATTTGTGTGGCGAGGGACTTGTCGAGGATGGTGAGGAGTCGTGATAATCGCAGTGCGGCCTCGTTGGATTTTGTAAATATGAGAGCTCTGGGCATTTGCGAGTTGGATAACGAAGAGCGTGGTCTCTTTTCTTTTGATTTTGAATCTGCGTCTGAATCTGAATCTGAATCTGAATCCGAATCTGAGCTTGTATCAGAATCTGAAGTAGTGTCCGAATCGTCAGAGTCTGAATCTGAGTCGGAACTAGAGCTTGAGTCGTCAGAGCTGGTCTCCGAAGCCGAGTCTGATTGTTCCTCTGCAGCCTTGTCCGACTTGGTCGCATCATTGCCAATAGCCATATGTCGGCTCCGTAGAAGATCAAGCAGATACAACGGCTTGAGATTCGCATCATGCACTCTCACGGCGTACTCTCTCAGCAAATCCGGCAAAGAGTGCTCCGCAACCTGTACGTCACTGCCGCTTTCCAGGACAATCAGCTTCGGCCTCTTCAACGCGAGTTGGTTCAGGAGACTCAAATCCCTAGTCAGAGTGGCGCTGAGAAGAATCTTGCGGACGCCCGAGTAAGGCATGTCGGGGAAATCTCTGGCGCCGTAGTGGTTGACCTTGAATTTATCCAGGACAACGTCGAGCCATCCCTGGAAGCTTTGCGCAAGAAGCTTGTCGGCCTCGTCGACGACGAGCCAGCGGATATAGGAGAGTGTGAAGCCCGGCGTTTGGTCAATGTGCTCGACAAGACGACCGGGCGTGCAGATGAGGATGTCGACCTTGGAATGGAAATCAATGACTTGACCCTGCCAGGGGCCGATGCGGGGGTTGGTGCGCCGTGTGTCGGAGCTGGTGAGAAGCTCGTCTAGGTCCTCTTCGCTGGTACTTTTTGACGACGCCTCTTCTTCGAGCTGCTTATACGTCTCTGGATCGTATCGTGTCTCTTTGGTCACGAGAATGTCTTGTTCCGAAGCTAAGGACTGGTTGCCAATCGCGATGCCAATGCGCACTCTTTTCCTATCCTCTCCTTCGTATGCCTTTGCGCAGAGCTCAAACACTTCCTGTGCCTGCTTGACGAGTTCACGGGTGGGCAGGACAACAAGGCAGCGCAGTCTTGTGATGACACTGTTGCTCAGGTCTCTTACAATGGGCAAAGCATAGGCGAGAGTCTTTCCAGAACCAGTCGCCGCTGAAACCAGGAGATCGCCCGGTTGTTTATTCGTTGGAAGCAATAACGGCAGAGCCGCTGTCTGGACGGCAAAAGCTTCTGTATAGCCCTTCTGCTCCAGAAATCGAGCTGCTTTTGGAAGGATACCCAGATCCGTAAAAGGAGTTTGCGTGTCTTGTGAGACGCGGATTGGCGATGCAAGCCACGGCGGGAGTGTCTCGTACGTCGGTTTGGCGGTGCTTGGTGCGGCGGGTTCGGGCTGTGGGAGAGGCTCTAAGCCGTGGAGCTCGGCAGGCTCTTCCGGCTCTTCTACGATGCCTTGCTCTTTGATCATGTCTGAGTACTTGAGGGATTTGGCTTTTCGTTCAAAAACGGCCTTGTGCCGTTTATCATCCTCCTCTTCTTGAGCCTCTTCCACGTCAGCGCCTTGTGATTTCTTCTTCTTCTCTCTTTTTGGCGGCTTCTTCTGCTTCTCAGCGGGAGAGGCTTCTGGGTCGCTTTCGGAATCAAGGGCCTCATCTGCCATATCAGCGTCTTCGTCATGGGCGCCATCATCTTCTCCATCGACATCGGCTTCTTGTTGGTGAGATATTGATTCATTGGAGGTGGGCTCGTCGTCTTCATCGTCTGATGCATTTCTTTGCTTTTTGTCCTTCTTCTTTTCTTTCTTCATTGATTCCTTCACTCTCTGCCCCTTCGATGTGCTTTCGACCTCTTCCAAGTCATTGTTTCGTTTCTCCTTCTTTGATTTCTTTGACTTAATATTTTCGGATACCGGCAGCTGCTCCTCTTCGTCTCGTTTTCTCTTCGGCGTTGCAGAATTCGACTCATCATCGAACCGCTGGATTATCGGCAATGCATCTTGCTGTGTGGGTTTGGCGCCAGGGATATAGCGAGAGTAAGACAGTCCATCTACATTCGTCGTCGTGGCAGCGGATGTTGCAGGCGACTGTTTCGTAGCTGAAGAATCCTCGTTGTTGCGCAAAGGTTTCTGCCCTCCAGACGGAGGGATGTACCTCGCATACATTGTTCTATTGGAGGAAATACAAAAAATTAAAAGAAATGATGAAAATTTTAACGAATTGACCTCAAAAACTGGGAGAAAACTAATGCGCTATGCAGACAGTGTTGTTGTCGCTTTTCAAGCCAGTACAATGCGATGCGGACGAGTAGCCCGCGATAGCTCGTCCAAAAATTTGGCGACAGAGCTGTTATCGGGATTTTGCCGCCATTGACCGCCGCGCTTATCGCAGAGCTTAGCGTCATCACTGGAGACGTCGCCCAATTTGGGGGAGTGAGCCTATAACGAGAAGCCACTACTGCTATAACGTCGTGCTATTTACATCCCGCAAGACTCTAACCGCCAACCAGTGTCGCGCTTCAAAAGAGTCTTGAACAGCATCAGATGCGCTGGGATTAGACGCACAGGGATGAGACGAAATGAGATGAGACGGAGCAAATAGGGAACAAAAAGCAGAGATCTGGCAGCAGGCGAAAATGAGATGGCCATGAAACAGAGGCTTACCAACTCAACTCATCGTCAGACTCGGCATCAGTCTCAATATCACCATCGCGAAGATCCATGATCAAAGACATCAGTGCCACAAGAAGAGACTCCAAGCTGTTAATTCCCACCACAAACACAAAATGGGGCGCAAAACATACAACATCGCCATGGTCAGCGACTTCTTCTTCCCCCAGCCCGGCGGCGTCGAATCGCACATCTACCAGCTCTCCAGCAAGCTCATCGACAGAGGCCACAAAGTCATCATCATCACCCACAACTACGACGACCGCAAGGGCGTTCGCTACCTCAACAACGGCCTCAAGGTCTACCACGTGCCCTTCCTCGTCATCTACCGCGCGGCCACCTTCCCCACCGTCTTCTCCTTCTTCCCCATACTGCGCAACATCTGCATCCGCGAGCAGATTGAAATCGTCCATGGCCATGGCAGTCTCAGCTCTCTTTGCCACGAGGCCATCCTGCATGCGAGGACGATGGGGCTGAGAACCGTCTTCACCGATCATTCGCTGTTTGGCTTTGCGGATGCTGCGAGCATCTTGACGAACAAGCTGCTCAAGTTCATTCTGAGCGATGTGGATCACAGCATATGTGTGAGCCATACTTGGTGAGTTGAGATGATGCAGTGAACCTCTCTTTTCAATCCAATTTTCTAATCCAATCCTCAGCAAGGAAAACACGGTGCTTCGCGCCTCACTAGACCCTCTCATGGTATCAGTCATCCCAAACGCCGTCGTCGGTGAAAACTTCCGCCCTCGCGACTATCCAACACAGTCCGACAAAGGAGAAGGCTTCAGGGCCGAGTCGTCTCCTCGTCTGCTCGGCCCCCACGACGTCATCACCATTGTCGTCATCTCGCGCCTCTTCTACAACAAGGGCACCGATCTCCTCACGGCCGCCATCCCGCGCATCCTGGAGAACCACCCCAACACCCGCTTCATCATCGCCGGCTCGGGCCCCAAGGCTATTGACCTGGAGCAGATGATTGAGACCAACGTGCTGCAGGACCGCGTCGAGATGCTCGGCTCCATCCGCCACGAGGACGTCCGCGACGTCATGACCCGCGGCCACATCTACCTCCACCCTTCCCTGACAGAGGCCTTTGGCACCGTCATAGTCGAAGCGGCCTCGTGCGGCCTCTACGTCGTGTGCACCCAAGTCGGCGGCATCCCCGAGGTCCTCCCCTCGCACATGACCACCTTTGCAAAGCCCGAAGAAGACGACATCGTCGCCGCCACGGGCAAGGCCATCACCGCCATGCGCGCCGGCAAGATCCGCACCGACAAGTTCCACGACGAAGTCAAAAAGATGTACTCGTGGTCCAACGTCGCCATGCGCACGGAGCGCGTCTACGACGGCATCTGCGGCACCATTAGCGAGGAGGAATTCTACGGCTTCGACACCACCGGCTACACCGGGAGCCGCATCCGCGACTTTGCGCTGATTGACCGGCTCAAGCGCTACTACGGCTGCGGCATCTGGGCCGGCAAGCTCTTCTGCCTGTGCGTCGTCGTGGATTACTTGTTCTTCCTGTTCCTCGAGTGGTGGTTCCCGAGGGAGAATATCGACATCTGCAGAGACTGGCCGAGGAAATCGCCTGCAAAGGACACGGCACAGGATTCGATGAAGGATGCGCCGAATCAGCGTTCAACTTCGTCGATAAGAGTTGCAAAGTTGGATCAGTGATGATGGAAGCATTCTATGATTATAAACTGAGGAGTAGATGGAGGATTAATGACGACAAGTTGAAGTGTTTTGAAACTGGGTCTATGGAGATAGTTATAGCAGCTCTCCTTTGTTAGTGAAGCGTTTAAACAAAGTAATAAAAGTAATAACATGCAGCATTATACTACCATCAACAATGTGATGCAACTCAAAGTCTTCACAACTCTCAGGCCATTAAAATCAAGCAGTAACGTAACCCTTGAAAAACGGTTGAACCCGTAGTGCTGGCATTGAGGGTAAAGCTAATTAAGTTGAGTGGTAATTTATTCCGACAAATGTTGATTCTAACAAAAACAGCGCTATACACAACTCATGAAGCATTCCGAAAAAAAAAGAAGCAACAAGCTGTCAAAATTCGTCGCTAACCGCCGAAACTCCCTTTCCCTCTCCCTCCCATCCTGCCAGAAGAAGGCACCCTATTTCGATAGTTTCGAGCCCCGTGCTTTTTGAGCCCGCGATCTCGTTCCACGAGTCGTCCCAAGAGATGTCCCACGAGGTGTCGTCTCGCCACGCATTTTCATACGCACAGGCTGTATCTAACTCCTGGTGCTGATGCGCCGCCTCTTGGCCGTCCCCGAGGCCGAGGCTGAATCTCCATCGCCAGCAAGTTCATCCTCCTCCTCGGCAGTGTCTTCCGCCGGGGTGGCTACGCTGCCTTGCCTAGTCGTAGATATCGGCGGAATGCCTCGATCCTTCTCCGCCGCTCGCAGGTCCCCGAGCAGCTTTTCGACCTCCAGGAACATGCTCTGTGTGTTTTTGACAACCCCATTCTCGTCGAGCCGGTACCCAACAACTTCTTCCTCGTCGTCCTGAGATCTCCTCAAGAATGCTGGCCCGGGGCCGCGATCTGGATCTGGGTTGTACATGATCGCATTACAGAACATGTGTACTAGCTCGCGCTCAAGATGAGCGCTGTTGATAATTCCTCTGGGAGGGACGAGATCATCAGAGATGGGGAGCCAGACACTTGCCGTACCAGGATCACCACCGGGCAGACTAGCTGCTGCTTGCAGTGCTGCCTTGTTACCTGCCTTGATCGCAGAACGAATAGACGTAATGTCTTGCGGTTGCAGTACAATCTGCCTATAATTCGGTGCGTCTTTCTCTCGCAGAGCAGTCGCAAACATGTTTGCGTCGCGGTGACTTGATATCTGATCGAGGGCGGACGAGGAGACCTTTGTGAATCCTCTAGTCCATAGAACGTGCGTTGGAGGGCCTTGAAGGTCAGTAGGGGTATCTTGCCGCTTCCGCTTGGATGCACGGGCCATACTATTTGGTGTGCCTAAGAGGCCACGTCCTGGCATGCTTTCATCGGCAGTGGTATCGCCGGTTTCTTCACGAAGACGCGGCGTGGCAGCAGCTTCCTTCTTCACTTTAGTCACGGAATGATCTAGGGAGAGCTCATCTGTTTGAGACACCACGGACTGGCTTCTCCTCGTGCCCGTAGCAGATGGAGTTGCGCTCGCACCGCGGCCTTTCTGCATCGATCGCGGGGGTCGCCCGCGGGGCGCCTTTGCAGGGGGTGTTGCTTCGACTTTCGGACTCGGTTTCGGTACAGCCAACTTGGGAACTGCCTTGGCCGAGTCCTTTCCGACTGCAGTTCTTGGAATAGGAGGGCTAACAGGCTCATACGCCGGGCTCTCTGGCTCCGATGTTATAGGACCGGGTGTAGACGGCGTCGACTGAGAGGCCCATTTCGTTCCGAAACCTCGTTTAAGGGACACGGGACTGGACGGTGCTGGAGTCCGTGGCACGGAGGACGCCGGACTAGGACGCCTCACAGGCGGCGTAGCAGCAACCTGCCGAATCACATGCTCTGGGATAGGGCGCGGCGCTTGGGCAGCATTCGTCGAGTTGAACGTCTTATCTTTAGGCGCAGGAGAAGCAGGAGGCGCGACTCGGGCCCCGTGCTGTGCTGCAGAAGCGCCCGGCTGCCATCGCGGCGTCGTAATTGCTCCAGGAGCTGCCTTGTTGGGGATGGGAGATCCACCGGCAGAAACCGAAGGTGTTCCTTTGGGAGTAGTTGCGGAAGCAAGTGGCCGCTGATTCTGGCCCCTAGCCTGGAATTTCTGGGCGAGTAAAGACGTTTGGGCTGGCAGTGCTCTCTGGATATGTTGAGTTTGAGGGGTTGGCTGTTGACCCTGCTGCTGCAGATGAGCTTGGGGCTGTTGCTGAGGTTGGATAGGGCGCCCTGGGGTAGCTGAGGGCGTTGTTGATGGTGGGCGAACTTGCGGCACCGCGCCTGGCCCAACTGGACGAGGAGGTCCAGGGTGTAGAGGAGCGACCAGCTGTCCTACAGACTGAGGGTGGACGAGAACAGGCTTTGCTGGGCTTGGACGAGCCTGCTGTTGTTGTGGTGTGGGTGCAGCTTGTCCGTGCGGAGGTTGTGGAGGATACTGAGCATGTGGCTGTTGTGTTTGCTGAGGAGTTGGATGTTGTGGATGTGGTACTGGCTGTCGTTGCCACTGCTGCGGCTGCGGCTGCGGCTGCTGCTGAGACGGTGGTGGTGGTGTCGGCGATATTTGTTGCTGCTGTGGTTGTTGTGTCTGAGGAGGCTTTTGAAGAGCAACATTGTTTGTGGAAGGGGGTATTGGTGGTGAGAATTGCTCAGCTGATGGAGCCTGTGCCGTCTGCGGAGGTTGATAAGGCTTCTCCCACTTGAGAGAACCAGGGGCCGCTGTTCCTGGAGCGGTCTGTGGTTGCGGCGGCTGCGGCTGCGGAACAGCAGTCTCTGGACGAGGAGAAATGATTTGCTTTGGCGGCTGCTGTGTAGGTGGCTGGAGTACCTGCGCGGTTGACTGCGTCGGAGCCCCAGGAGGCGCTTGGAGTACAGAAGCTCCATTTGGCGGTTTCGGCAAGGCAGACGATCGAGGGGGCGGCGTTCCAGGCACCAACTGACTGGGTGGCGCGACCTTTGGTGCTGCAATACCGGACATGGGAGGCTTCGGCGGCGGGACATGTGTGTTCGGGGTTGGCCCCTTTCTGACGCCCGCTGGGGCTGCTGGTGCTTGTCCTGGAGAAGGAGCCACTCCATTTGAAGGCGGCACTGGTGGTTGCGCTCCCGCTGCCACAGGCGTCGTCGTCGTCGATGCTGTCCCTGCTGCCGTCCTTGGATCTCGCGGAGCCAGTGTCGGCGTCACATTCTGGCTGGCCGCCACTTTAGCAAGCCGCTCCTTTTCGCTTCGTTCCAGCAGCTGAATCTCCCTCTGTAGCATCGCAAACCGGCGTTCATCCTCGCGAATCAGCCCCACCGTATGATCTCGATATCGTGCGTATAATCGATCGACCAGAATCGGAATCTTGTCGACGTTTTCGTACACCTCTTTGAGTGTCGGTAACGGCGGGCTCGACAGTTTCCTCTTGCGCGAACCATCGCTACCACCAACTCCTCCTCCACCTCCCGCTGCTGCTCCATCCCCGTCGGCACGCTCCGCCTCGCTGTTGATCTCATCTCGCAACAGCTGCAGGAACAGCTGCTGCAGAGCCTCCGGGCTCAGACGCGCAGCATCGTACGTGCTGCCGCTCTTGATGAGGGCATTCCCCTTGAGAAGCTCAGAGATGCGCGCAAACGCCCCGCCGTCGACCCCGTGGGATAGCAGCGACTGGAACAGGAACAGCGACTCGAGAGGCGTGTAGGCGGCCGGTTGATTCATGCCCCAAGGTCCGCCTCGCCTGCCCTCACGCTCCTTCGCAACAGGATAAATGGGCGCCACGATCTGTAATCACCGATAAAGATGGAAAACAAGTTAGGACACATGTTCATCTACGTCATTACGAGGGAATGATAAATGATCCGAAGACCCAAAACGTACAGGCAGCCTTGGATCCAGATACCGGTCCTTTCAGACAATGGCTTCAGCGTCTTTTCTCATCTGATCAGAGGTAGCTTCTCGACACGGCTCGCTTCTTTTTTTGATTTCCCAACTGCGCTACGATCCGCTTCTTCTCACACGACCGCGATTTGTTTTTTTTTTTCCCTGTTCGCGACCGAGTTTGTTCCGATATCACGTGACGGGTAGCGATTCTTCGACGAGGCTGCGGGCGGAAGGTTGTGTTTGAGAATTTTTGGAGATGGAAAGGAAGCAAGATTCGATAGGCGGAGAAGCACTGGGGACGGAATTTCGATTTCAGCCACATCACGTGACCATTGACGGGCATGTCACGATGGCATCAGCCGCTTATAGCCACATGAATACCTAGCATCACAAGCTACGACAACATTGTTTTCTTTCTTTACGAAGTTTACTTCTTTATTCTAGGAATAATCGTGCTAAAAAAAAAAACACGCGCATGCTGAACTACTTCGATTAATTCCTCTGTTACACACGCATCTCTCCGAAAGTTCAAAACAAAAAAAAAAACAATTTCATGCCACCACCGGCATGGCGAACCAGCCCGTATAAGACACTAAAATGCATCTGATTTACCAACCAATAAACTCCAATTGCCTCTTCCCATGGTATCATATCAGCGCTATAAAAGCAGAGCCCCATATCTGAAGCACAGTCCACCTCTTCCCTCCAGCTCTTTATCTCGAGCTTCCCGCGATAATAAATGAAAAATCCTAAACGCCGTTTGTGGACTTGTTCCGTCCATGTAGTGATTGGCCCATCTCCCGCAAACAATTGGAATGATGGTGTTCTTTTAATACAAATGAAAACAAATAGAAAGTATAGTATCATCATGACGATGCAGTGCTTGATGTTTCGTCTGTGCTGCCGCGACGGTCTTCGCTCGACACCTCTGCGTCCCGTTCAATCGGCTGACTAGAGAGGCGTAGCTTTTCGTCCAACAGGGTGACAAGTCTTTCGGAATATTGGTCCAAGAGCCCACTTAGAACAGTCTCGTTCATCGCTCTGCTTCTGATTGCACGATCGCCGAGTGCAGCTGCAGTGAACCGCAGCTCTTGATCCAGTTCTGTCAGGGCTTCTGGGTTAATAGGCTCTGCAGACGATAACTTCTTCCTGTATGCCCTGAGAGTGCGACAAGTCTGTTCTGTCGCCGCGTTCAATGAGCTGCTCCCACGTAGGTTGGGTGTCGAATTCTTCTTGCGCGCCATGCGGTCATTCAAGACTGGTAGCGAAGGTCTGCGAGACAGTCGAGACCTTGGGCTGAGCGGGGGGCTGCTAGCATTAGTTCCCATGCCTTTTCGACGTGACGGAGTGTCGTCCATGACCCTAGTACTCCTAGGGCTGGTAGGCTGCGTCTCAGAAGGCGTCTTGGCACTGGCAGTAGTAGAGAGATTGAGTCGAGAAGTGCGCTTACGCAACGTCCGAGGTTGTGACGGCGGCGGTGGTGTACTTGAACGTCGTCCTCCTGAGACTTCGCGCGGACGTTGGAATTCTGCTAGTTCAGCTTTTGATAGAACTTTTCGCAGAGTTGGTCTATTAGAAGTGGCATCTCTTGCAGGCGACGGGTCCCTACTCAGTCGCTCGTGCACATCCAGAGACCAAATCATGATTGTTCCATCAGCCGCGACGCTCACAACCTTTCTGCCCTCATCATTGTCTTCAACCAAGGAGACTCCGTTGATGGCCTCTGTATGACCCCATTCTCGATCCAAAAACGTACCAGAAATCGAGTCATAAAGACGTATGGATTTATCAGTGTTGGATGCGCCCAAGAGAAAGTCAGAGTCTCTGGGAGAGCCTTGTTCAACAGAGAGGGATTCAAGGACTGCTGATTCTATCCCAGTCTCATCCATACATTTGAAGCAGTTTATTGGCCGCCCGGTCCTGAGGTCATACTGACAGATTGATCGGTCCAACATGGAAACAAACATTGTCCTATTGTCCAAGCTTGCAGTCATGGAAGTTGGCGATGCTTTCAAAGTGACAACTCTCGCAGAAATGGCCGCAATTGCATCCGGGTTGCCTTCCTTTGTGACCAAATCGTGAATCTGCATCGTCCGATCCCATGCACAAGTGACTACCTTGTCAAGTGATAGGATGAGCACCTGGACGACCCTGGCAGCAAAATCAATTGTTTGAAAGTGCTCGATATTTCCGCTAGACGTGCGGTGGAATAGCTGTGCCGTGCGGTCCCTACCGCAACAAGCCATCAGAAATTTCTCCTCCTCTTCATAAAGGCTGATGCCCGTACAATCAGCTGAGTGAGCTTTAGTATCGAGTATGCATTCTTCTGTAGAAGTATCCATGACTCTCAATACTCCCAACCGATCAGCTGTAACCAAGAGACGTCCGCTTTTTGAGATCTTGACGCAAGCCAACTGATTTACAGACTCCACATTGGCGTCTGGCGCGCTCAAGACTTCCAGTGGAATACCAATCGACTTTTTCATCTGGCCATTCAAGTCCCAGAAGGTTACCATGCCCGAATTCGACCACGTCAAGAAAGCCGCTTGCATTTCGTTTGGCCTATGCATGGGGTAGATGCCAGCGACAGGCTCTCCTTGGCCTGGAATATGGATGTGATATGATGGGCTATCCGATTGACCGGGTATGTAATCCAAGTCCCAGACATCGATTGATCCTTTTGCGTCAACGGTGACGGACTTGTTAGTAGTAAAGCCCAGAGCAGCCAATCCCGTCGAGTTTTGCGAAGTACCAATAACACAGTCTTTGCTTCCGTCCATCAACCTGGTGACATCAATTTTGGCAAAGTTGCCGTCTCTGCCCCCAACATACGCAATGTCGCCTCGAATTTCAATTGTCGATATAAAAAAGTCCAGATCCAGGACACTGATAATTTTTGTTTGCTTGTCGTCACCCTCTAAAATGCAGACCTCGCCTGTGTCTGTGCAGATGACCAGTCTATCTCCGTCGGCAGCAGCGCAGTTGAATGTTGCCTCCAGAAGCCCTCCCAGAATAATATTTCGGCCAGGCAAAGTTCTTTGAGAGTTTGGCGACAAGGGAGGGTGGTCCAGCCCAAATTTAGGCTTGGTGGGAGAAACCCCGGCGTTCTCATCAATCTTCCACATCTTGATATGACGAACGCCAAGAGTAATGAGAGAGTTCCCCAGCCATACCATGTCCTTCACGTAGGATGTGCACCTGTTTTGCTGGAAGAGTTTTGTATGGCCGGTGCGAGAATCGACTTTCCAGACATACAGATAGCCATCGTTGGCAGCACCGAGGGAGGCAAGATATTTGGAATCCGGAGACCACGCAACGGCATTGACGCCAAAGGTATGCTCATTAATTGAGACCAAGGGAACATCGGACGAAGTCTCTTGAAGGTTAAAAATCAAAACTCGAGGCGCATATCCAGTCTCGCCGACGGCCAAGTACTTGCCATCCGGACTTAGACCCAAGCAGGTGGCCGCCTTGATACGCTCACGACTGGTCCATGTCCTGGGAGCCGGCCCGTCGGACCAATCTGAACCGCTGTGAGAGTCCCGGTGGCCGGTAGCTCGATTGCGGCTATCGTTTGCTTTCGGGGCTGTCGATGTCGTCGGTGTAGAAGGCGCATGCTGGGAGGCGGAGTAGAGGGAAACCACACTCGGCCGTGCTCGGTAAAATCGCTGGGTATACTGATCGCCGTCGACAGTCACTACGACGACGGCACCGCCAGCGGTGTAGGCGAAGCAGTCGTTGACGGCATCAAAGGCGGTTGGCGAGCGACACGTTGTTCCGACGACTCTCTTGAGCGAAAGGCGGGATTCGAAAACGGGTCGGCCGCGCAGCGGGGATCTCGCCCGTCGGGAGGTGAGAAAAGGTGAATTGGAGGGAGTAAGCTTCAGCCGGTTGCTGGAGGGAGTCGCCGTCATCTCGCCGCCATGGACTCGAGCAGGAAAGAAGGATAGTTTGCAGCAGGATGAGAAAAAAATAATGGGTTCAATACGGCAGATGGAGGCAGAAGAGGTGCTCAGGATATCATTGAGATGATGGCAACGACTTAAAAAGCAGTGGCAGAAGGAAGAGACAAGAGACAAGAGAAACAGCGAGTGAAAAGTCTTATTAGCCCGACGATGCCTTGGTGCCGTTGGGCAAAGAGAATTGGCAGGTCGGGTAGGGCAAAAAAGGAATGACGTGCGGTTAGCTGTGTTGCGGTTCAAGCTCTGTCCGGAGGGGCCAGTGATAGCGGTTTGGACAAGATGGTGAAAAAGCTATCAATCCACTGGTGTCAACGCATGATGGACCAGGCGGGGCGGCGTGCAGCGGCTAGGGCTCGGAACTCACAGCGACAATGAAGAGAAGATGAAAGAAGGAATGAAAGAAAGTCTAGTGAAGCATCGCGTGAACGGACGATTGAACGGGCTTTGGCGGCTGTGTTGCTGGCCTTGTTCCTACGCGCGCTGCACAAGTGCGATCAAAGAACACCGCACGTCAAGCCAGCCTTTCCGTAGCTTGAATTGGGCTTTGTTTTCTTTGTACCTCGTGCTTTGTTACGGTCTCAAGCAAGAACGCCTCTTGCTAGGCACTGCAGCCACAGAGTGGAAAAGAAAAAAAAAATGGAATGATGCAGCTCGGCCGACGGCCACCACCACAGCGGCTCCAGCGCTACAAATCAACGCTACCAAGAGCTATGGAGCTGCCCATTTAGCGGCTGTGGTTCCCGGGGCGCTGTGGGGTTCCGCTTATACGCTGCAAGGGGGGTTCTTAAAGCACACAGCTCCAGGTCAGGAGAGCTGCCAGTTGGTTGCTGGAGTGCTGGAAGCGCTGGAGCAGAATCGCTAAAGAGCCCAAGCTCCGGAGTGGAGCGGCTGATCAAGAGGCTGCCCTATTGCAGGCCATCACCCGAGACATCAAAATGGCGACCAGCAAGGGCCAGACCGGACCCCTGTTGCTGGGACGCCGAAAAAGGAGATGGGCGAGGCGCTAGACTTTGTTTTGTTGCCGTCTTGGGAACATGGCAATGTCAATGCCAGAGACGCGGTGATGGAATGTTAAATGAAGGCAGAGATAGCTCCGGACGGCGCCCAGGTGCAATCAAAAGAGACGGTGGCACTACCGACCATTGGGATCTAGCCTTGTGCCAGTATAATTGCATCAATTACTTCAAGTTGCACTACTTGTACATAATGTACATGTACGGATGCTGTGATCAATGGCAATATCACTCGAGACATCACCAACTGCCATCACACGGCCATGCAACAGGCTAATCTCCTTTGGATGCCATCATCACCTCCCCCAGTTCCCATTCTCGTCGCAGCCAATGTCGTTTGCGTTGCCTTCCCCAGCTCTCTATTTACAATACTTGCAGCCGTGATGGATCTCAGACAGGGCCCCGGGGTTTGGCGGATCAGGACAAGAGACCTGAGGAGAAAACAGACCTGGGTCCCCAGGAGACGAGGCAGAGCGGTAAGATGACGACAGATCCCTGCGTCCGCCAGCAGTGTTTGTGCTTTTTATATCTACACTGCGGAGCACCATCTATGTTTTTAACGAGAGAGATTATTCGTATCTGTCGATATCTATATCTGTGCTCCATATTGCTCAGCCAATCTCATATCCATCAGATCCCGTAGTCCACTCGTGCCAGAACCAGTGGCTGGCATTGATTTTCTACTTGAAGCACATATATCACGCCCTCGTTCAACAATAGTCTATACTACTGGTATTCTATACTACTATCACCCAAGTAATTTACCATGACACAGGTTCTAGTGTTAAAGCCAGTATGAGAATACACAGGTACGAGATACAACGCCCCCTGTCCCCCTTTATTGCTCTGAGATCGCCCGTGCCCACCAAATCTCATCACGTCTCTCGACTACTAGGTACTATACGAATATTAATTTCTCTCATTTCTGGGAATGCACATCGACATATCCACGACAGATCTCCGTATCGCCTACATCTATTCAAGATGACATCAGAAGTAAAAAAAAAAAAAAAAAAAAAAACAAAAGAAAACCAAGGTCGGGGATTGGACATCCCGGTCACTCTACACCAGTAACAGCAATTAACCTCCTGATAGACAGCAGCCACCAGCTCTTCTCAAAAGGAAACATGTACTCAGTACGGGGCACAAGTCTCTCATTGTATTCCAATTGTTCAATATTTTACAATTCTCTCAAGAGGCTCACACTTAAAACGAACAGTCATAAACCATCACTATGTACCACCACCTCAAACCCCCCCCCCCCCCCCTTCTTCTTCACACCACAAGCCCTTCCTCAGACGCCTCATCTCGTTCCAGACGCTCCAGCCCAGTCCCAACAGCCCCATATACTCGCAGAGGCACAGGCACGTCAAAGCTCTCACACGCCAAGTTCTCAACCGCCACGAGAACCAGGCCTCCCTTGTCATCTCTCGAAATCTGCTCGAGTAGGGGAAACGGCGTCTGCTGTCCTCTCAGGGCATCGTGTCCCTGCGACGGCACTACAAACTCTACCCGGATCTTCCATTCAAAGCTGATCCCGCTAGTGACAAATTCGGGAGTGGCAGAGATGGGTATCGTAGGGGTGAACACCACCCGCCGAGTGAAAAGCGTGGATTCCGAGGTGGCAACGTGCACTTTCCGTGTGACTCTGTGAACGCTGGATTCGGATCGTACGGCTAGCGTCGAATCTATCTTTTCCGATGTTTCTAGTGTTGCATGAACCGCATAGCAAGGTATATCTGCGTCTGCAAAGTCGATAACCATGGTCACGACCTCTCCTAAACGATAAGCAGGCCGGGTAAGCATGACCACGCCGACCCTTTGACCGTTTCGCGCAATCTCAAATCGATTAGCGCTCTGCTGCCCGTTTGTCATGTTGCTTTTCATAATGGCAAGACGGATTGCCTCCTTGGCTGGGGTGGCATCATCAAAGCTAGACGTTGATATCCGCCTTAGATCTGGAGTCGCCGTCGGGGATAATAATGATGCTCCTGCTTTATCTGCCGGTCGGTCAAGCAGATCGTCCACATATGATAAAAAGTCGCTCATTGCGGCAGTCGGCCCCGGTTGTTCTCGTTGTCTATGAACTTTCTGCTGCTTTCCAATCATTTTGACAAGAGCTTCATCGCGTAGCAGGATATATGGATTCATGAGGTCGTGTCCAAGAATTTCGCCGTAGTTGTTGACGCTCCCCAGAACACGAAACGGGACCTCGACTGTCCGAACATGCTGTTCTCTGGCACCTCCTGGCCTCTGAGTGCCGATAACTAGACCGTATGAAATTTTAATAGCCTTTCCTTTATGTGAAGGTGGCAGCCCCCTGGGGAGTTTGAACGTATACTCGAACGAGCGGCTCTCCCCAGGAGCCAATTGTAGGTCGACAAAGAGAATCGACTGCGGAGTGCTCAGTAATGGAACCGCCTTGGAGTTTGCGACACCGCGCATCTCTTTGATCGTGCTTAGCTCTCCGCCGCCAAGGAAATCGCCGAGAGAATTGCTAATGCTACCCCAGCCAAATCCCCGCAAAAGGCCATTCTCTCGTCGACCAGATTCCAGTCCAACCACTCCGCCGCCTCTCCCGCCAACAACGGCCTTTTTCTTGACCTGTTCAAAGGGTGCAAGGCTGATCAAAGAACCGTCCAGAGAGAAGGAGCCTTGTATCTGAGCAAAGCCCATCATTAATGACTCGGTCTTTGACTGAGGTATAGAGAAAGAGGACCCTCGGCGGGGATTCGATGGTCTACCGGGACCTCTGAGCAGAGGCTGCCCGACGTATTCCGACGCCAATGTCTCGGATGAATTGTTGCTCATAGAGTAGAATTCACCACTGCTCCGCGGTGTTCCTCCACCCATGCTTGTGCTGGAGAGTATGCGAGCCGTGGGAAGGAGAGGTTTGTCAGTCACGGGCGACTGTTCCTTTGAACGCACAGGGATAGGGCCGTCGACCGGTCCCGTTCTTGGACTTAGAAGCCCATTTCCTGATACCTTTCGCAGGTTCAGAGCCGTTTCTGATTCTAGTGGGGGTGCAGCGGGGAATCGAAATTCGGGCATGGGCATGGGGTTCGACAAGGCCTTGGATGACCTGCGCTGCACAGATACATTTGACGATTGGGGACTCTTTGGACCAGTAGGAAGTCGGCCAAACCTATCGGGAGGATATGAAGCATTGAAGAGCGGGGAGGATACTCCTCTTTGAGAGAAGGAGCCTTGAAGCGCCAGTCAGCCGAATTGATTCTCTCTTCCATGTGTAAGTAATACGAGCGGATTTCCATACCTGATTGGGGTGTTGAGGGAACCACAGGCGGTCCCCGAGATATTTGCAGACTGCTTGCGCGATTATGAGAGCGTCTTGGCGTCCGTGGAGAGTGGTCTACCCGCGGCGAATGTGAATGCTCCTCAATGGTGCTGGTGGTTGATCCGATGGACACTATAGACACGGATCGCTTGTGGGCGTGGCCAGGCCGGCCCTCGCCGGGAACGACGGGCTGAGGCCACTGAATCGAGCCCTGCCGACTCCTCGAGCTGGGCGACGGCACGCTCAGCGACAGAGCCGCCCGCCTGTGGCCTCGAGACGACGCCGCAGCCGCCTTGCCGCGAGGCTGCAGCGGCGAGGCGAGCCTCTGTCTCTCCGACGGCGACTGCTGCTGGCCGTTTGCCTGTGCCGGCGATTGGCTCGCCTCGGGGGCGATGTTTCGGAAGGTGACGGTGCATTGGACCGCCTCGCCCGCGAAGACGGTCTGGTCGCGCCAGTGGACGAAGACGCGGATGTTGCTGAAGCCGTCGGGCATGGTGACGAGATTGGTGGTCCCTCTCAGCGCGAGGCGAGTGCGAGGCAGCGGCCAGGACAAGGCAGAGCCGACATCTCCGGCTCTGCTTGGTGTCGAGCCTTGCCTGTGGAGGGGGCGCGCAGCAGCTCAGGCCGTAGATCGAAGACCGAAGAGAGCAGAAGAATTGAGAGGCAGACGCGAATTGGAGGGTGAGATCGCAAGAGCTGCTATTGAGGCGGCAACGTCATGGTGTTGAGTGTTTAGTTGTTCGAGCTGGCGGACTTTCCAGCACCCCAAGCCGCTGGGGTGGGCCTTCTGAAGCGCCCGTCCAGGCAGCGCCAATCAGCGCTGGGCTCCCCGCTGCTGCAGGTCCCCAAAACGCCAGGCAAGCTCTCCACCCCTCACTGGCATGTAAAATGCCAAGATGCGAGCCCAGGCATGTACATTTTCGGTGTATCTTTTTTTCAATAATTCGAGTCCGTCTGGCGCTAGACCGTTGTGTTAACGAGCTTCCAACTTTGGTATTCAACTCACAATTATTGTTACACCCATTGCCCCTGGGCAGAGTAAAACTAAAGATAAAATAGCAGACGCAAACCATAAAGAGAATGTAACGCTTTTTTATCTAGAAATTTCTGTGCTCCATAGGGCCGCCGCTTACTTGCATGATACATGGCATGGTATAAAGCTGACAGCGGCATGGCAGGAATGACAACAAACCTTACAGGTTTAGAGTGAAAGTGAAGGGCATACCGTCTTCTTTAAAGTCTTTGAGACTCGTATATGAAGAAAGAAAGAGCAAGAGCAAGCAAGAAAATAGGTGCATGTAATTCACTACTTAAGGGGCCTTGTGTCGCGTGAGTGTCTACATGTAGTGGGTAGTACCTAATGCTTGCCCAGCTGTAAGCGCCTCATCCTTTAGAATTTAGCCGTTGAAGCTTCATATTGCCCTCAGATGAATGAATGAATATGACCCTAGTTTACATCTTAATACCAAAAAAGGGAAATACATATCTACAGAAACGGATTAGAAGGGGCCTAAGCCGTGAAACTTGGTAACTCAAACTAAAAGCCAATATATTTTCCATCTCGGTACCTCCTATCACCAAACTCCCAAAATAGAATTCGTACACAAGTACGTGCTAATTCCCTAACAACGCCGTGATACGCTGCAAGCACTGCGCAGAAATGCCATCAAAGCCGTAATGCTTACATGGTATCGCTATAATACATACCATTAAACGCCAAACATACAAGTATAAGCAAATAAATCGCCAAGATATTACAAAGCCGTTTGAGTCGGCATGATAAGAGGAGAAGAGAGGAGGTGAAACGGGCGCATCCACTCATGTATAGAAAAGTCACCCCTTTTTGTTTGTTTCTGGTTTACATCCCCAGCTCCCATGATTCTCCCCAGAGCTCGTTCAGGTTCAGACCCAACAGCTCCAGACTTGGGTCGAGATTAAAGGGCTGTGTCTGGTCGTTGACAGCCCAAGATTGGTCCACTGAAACTGGTGGTAGCGATGCTTGGAAAGTAAAAGGCGTAACGGACTAAAGGAATAGATAGTTAGCAAGACATGACAAGACAGGAAGAAAAACAATAAGTCGAGTAGTAGCCACCACTCACTTTGGGTGCGTCAGGTAAATCCGCAGTAGACAAAGGCCTAATGCCCGGCTCAGCAAGTGGTCCGATCATAGGATGAAGAGAGGACCCCGGCACACCCGACGACGACGGCACAGGAGGCTCCTGGTTCGCGAGAAGTTTGTAATGGAGGTTTACAAATCTCTCCGCCGAAGTGGATTTCGCCACCTCAGTCGTCTTCGTGCCCAGATGCGCCTCGAGAAGACCCAAGGCAGCACACATGATGGAGTACCCCCACGGCTCGTTATTACCACAACGCAGCAGGCGGTCCTCCTTCATGGCGATGCATTTCTCAATCAGCTTGACGGTGTGGTGCGAGTTGATCATGATCATGTTGGTCGACCCGCGGGGCTGCAGCATCGTGACGCTGCAGAGGTTGATGCACGTGGTGAGGGCATCCTCTCGCAAGAAGTTGAGCGCTCGGACGCCCTGCTCGTATAACTTGTCGTGGAGGAGAACAATGTCTCTCGCGGCGTTGTAGTAGATTATTTCGGAATATTGGTACTTTGAGTTTTGCTTGCGCAGCTTGAGGTAGGGTTGATGTAGAGGGATAATGTACTGCCTCAGCTGGACGTGCAGCAAAGTATAAGCAATGAGTGGGTTCTTTTTGGAGCCATTGTTATTCTCAAGATTCATGTCCCAAGAAGGGAGAGCATCGATCTCATGGGTCAAGTCATTTGTATAGCGAATGACCTGGTCGTAGTCTATCTCGGACAGTGGCCCGGTAAGAAGTCGGCTGAGCTCAAGGCGAAGGGGCAAACTCTGTCGTGCCAGGTTTTGGAAAGATGAAAATGTATAATCCTTGGCTGGCTTGGAAGGCGGCAATGCCGTCGTGTTCTCGTCAAAGTCTTCATCGTCCAGATTCCGCGGAGGGTTTGTGTCGAAGTGAAGCTGGCTCACCAGCGTCGGCAGGCCATGGTCAAACGAGGCTTGCATATCAAACTCTTGCACCGTCGCCCATATCCTCCGTCGCATCTCCTGGTTATACACTGTGATCTTGCCGCCCATGTGGCTTGGCTCACGATGCAGCCCGACGGCAATGCCATCGCGGATCAGCTGCCCTGAGCTTGTCCAGAATCGCTTCTTCTTGATGGTGTTGACCCGCTTGCCAAGGTAGAGCAAGCAAGCTATCTGATAGTGAATAAGTCGTCGGTGCTTCTGGCTTTGCTTGTCGGACCACTTATCACACGCCTTGATCCACTTCTCAGCTAAATGCTGCGCATTCGACATCATGCCAATGAACTTGAGCGCCTCGTGCGTATGCACACAACTGGCCACGGCCATCATTGACAGGACCAATGCTGTGAATGCCGAATACCTCTGTTGGGTTCCGGGGTTCCAGAATTCGGCATACTCCTTCCGGAAAGTGGGCACATGGACAATGCGGTGGATTTGCTCAAACTGATCCAGATAGACGGTGATGAGGGCATCTGCCTCTTCCTTGGAGGGGAGAAGGGCCTCTAGCTCCAGATCCTGTTGCTCGAAAATGGCATCTCGCTCCTCTTGGCGGCGCTTGCGGTCTTTGCGATCATGGAGTATCACCGGACGAAGCCACTCATCCGCCGTCTCCCGCATAAAGGGACACAGCCCCGTCAGCTCGACAAACGCCATGCTGGCATTATGGGGGCCGAAATAGCGTGTCCGGAACCCCTTGCCTCGAAAGAAGCGCAATTCACCATTCTCACCAGCCATGCCGCTCTTCTCGATGATCTCCTGCTCTTCCGCTCGAGGTCGAGCCTCGCCATCGTTTGGCGCCTCATCCTTCTGCGTCGACGGCGAGTTGGTGCCCACGATGGTGCTCCCATCCAGAGACGATGCACCAGGCCGTGTCAAAAGGTTCTTGAGCTGCGTAATCTCCAGCTCCAGCCTGCGGATGCGGTCGTGGTCCTGGCGAGCCAGCTCAGAGTCTCGGGGTGAGAAGCCCGAGACGGCATCGCCAATGCCGAAGCGCCGCGAGTCCAGCTGCGCAAAGGAAGGGGGGATGCCGGACGATGCATTAACCACCTCTCCGTTGCGTGATTCGTAGCTGCAGCGATCAGGGGTGCCACTCTTGATGCAGCGCTCGCATGGAAAGCCACGATCGCACGAAAGCTTGCGGCGGCGGCACTCCAAGCAGCTCAGTCGCACGCGCTGCCTCTTGCGAGCCGGTGGTTGGTCAGAGCCGTGTCTCGATACCGAATCCCCGTCGGAGTCCGGGCTCTCGCTGCGATCTGCCATGGCCAAGATGTGTCGGAGTTACGACGCCTCCAGAAAAAAATTAATGTAGGGGAAATTCAGCGCAAGGCGAGAGGAGGGGTCCTGGGTCAAAAGTGTTTTGCCGTTGCGATTTTTATCAATCTGATCTGATAAAAAACTGCGCTGGCCACAGCGTCACGGGCGCTCTTACGGAGCAAGTCCGAGCCGAGGTCCGAGGCGCTATTCTTGAAGAAGCAGGTATCGGACTTCTTAGTCATTCAGCGCTCCTCGGACGTCCGAGCCGTTGACGAGACGCAAATGAATATTTCAGTACTTTACCAACTGCTTCCTTCGCAATATATACCTGGGCATGGACGGTATTCAATCCTGCCGGCTGCTTTATCCGATTACGTCTTCGTCGTATTTCTCGAAATGTGACGAAACTATGCCGATGGGAAATAAAGAACCATGAAGGTTGCACCGGTGCCGGGTTCTTTGTCTGTTAGTCACTCTCTCTTGGGATCAGATATTTGGTGCCATTAGTGAAAGCAACTTTTACGATTGTAATTGCGTCTTGGCATCCAATGCCATCTATATAAGTTTGGAAAGGTTTTTCTCCAGCCCATATCCCGTATACGTGCAGCTCGCTCAGACTTTCCAAACTGGCCAAGCGTGAAATCGAGGCGCTGATGGATGACAGGCTAAATAAGAGACTAGCACAGCACAACTCGGCTTCAACTGGCAATCAACTGAACTTTCCAGAACCAGACATTGGGTCGCTTCAACTGTGTGGTTGCCAATCAATCTGTTCCATGAATGTGAGCATCTTCTTCACTGGCCTTTGAGTGAGATATACATATACATATTCATCAACCATCACGAGCCATGCCGTCTATATATGGCCATGAGAGCACATGCGTGCTTGCCTCTTCGGCACTCTCAAAGTCCGCTTAGCGATCATAAATCTCCGCGATTTCAGCTACCATGGATTCGGGTCTTAATTCCGCCATTCATGCCTCCTATCTCCACTTGGGGCAACCTTCGGCTAGGATTCTTGGTGACTCACGGAGGGTCCCCGGTGGCACTGCGGATCCGAAGCCGAAGCCGAAACTCCAAAGCTTTGTCTCCCCAGGATCTGTGATGCGCCCAACTGCAGCCCATCAGGCCTCCGATAGCCATCCGGTCGCGAAAATGGCGCGCTTGCACGTGAAGGCTGCTGCCTGAGGAGCGGCCAAAGTAAGGATGAGTTGGGTAAAATGACGTCGAGATGCCATTAACGCAGTTGTTTGGCAAATCCTTGGACTCTCGTGATCAGTCGAAGACGAAATGGGTGTCGCAAAAGTAGAGTTTTTGCCCGCCCCAGTGTTTATATCATTTACGCTGCAGCTTGCCCTACGAGGAATGTCTCTGGATTTATCTGACACCATCAGCTAGCGGTGCTCAGATGGCCATATACATTTGCACTACATCTTTGGCTACATGTAGCCAGTTTGTCTGATAAAGCTTGGGTATTAATAAGACGGCATCTAATACCTATTGCGGCTTAAAAAGGTCGCACGGCACGATCGACATTTAATACAAGCTTCAGTATCAAACGTCTTCTATACCAATATCTAATAGCGCGTCAGGATAAGACTATCATTTGATCTGGCAGAGGTACAGTAAGCCCATCAAACGACGACTCGATTGGCCGACGTTTCGGCAGTGAGGTCGATTGAGACAGAAGCTGTTATAGTCAACCGCAATTAGTCGACTATAGCGACTTCTGTCTCAAAACACTTGCAGTGTACAATTCGTCCCATGCATCTGCATCATGAAATCATCAACAATGCAATTGAAGGTTTTATATCTCTAGCTATCATCAACATAAGAGCACTATCACATTTCCTATAATTCCATTTTAGTGTTCTAATTTTGCTCTTTTTCGCTGGGCCTCGATATACCCACGTCACAGGCGACATGTAAGCTGCATTGGAGAAACCTAGCTAGTGTCTGTAGGGCGGATTCTTAGAGATTGAAAAGCAAACATGCAATTCCATTCACAATTTGCGTCTCCCCTTTGCATTCTTTAGCCATTTTACGGTTATCATCGTACGATTTCCAGATGATACTCGGCAGTACCTGATGTTGGCAGAGGGACTCGGGCATTTTACGGCTAGCGAAGACTCCACTTTCAACCTCATCACCCTATCTCAACATCTAAGACACACCAACTAAAAAATTGAGCATAGGCCTTTGCCTGATTTAAAGCTCGCAGCTCTTCCCCTCAATAAATCTCTCAAATCATCTACAGAACATCTGCTTCAGTAAAACCTACATACACACACACACGTATATAAACACAATGGCAACCAATCGCGGCCCCCCCTCCGAAGCAGAGGTCAAAGCCCGCATCATCTCCCACATGAACGCCCAGCACACCCGCGAACTCTCCCACTATCTCCGCCACTACAACGGCCTCTCCCCGCGCGCCGCCGCAGCCTCTCCCGCCATCCAGGATCTCGACTTTGACGGCATGACCCTCAAGACCAGCAACGGCACCACCTACAGCGTCCCCTTCTCCCCTCCCCTGACGTCCTGGGCCGAGGCGCGCCCCCGCGTCATCGCCATGGACGAAACCGCCCGCGAGGCCCTCGGCCTCAGCAACATTTATATCAACGAGTACGCCATGCAGCAAGGCTTCGACTGGGCGCCCTTTTTCGGCGTCATCTTCTACTACTTCTGCGCCGTTGGCTTGCCGTGGCTTGAGCCGGGAAGCGTCCCGTGGGAGGTCCTCAAGGTGGTGTTTCCAGGAGGGCCTGAGTGGTTCCGGTGGGTTGTCAAGGCCATTTTCTGGCCGGTCATCGGGATCCATGTGACAGAGGCGTTCCTGCTTGACCGATGGAGGCTACAGAAGCACAGCGTGGCGAGGTGGTCTCGGGTGTGGTGGATGTGGGAGATTACCATCTTCTGTGAGGGCTTGACATCGTGGAAGAGATTTGATAGGCTAGTTGCCGAGAAGAAGGCTGAGAAGGAGGACAAGAAGAACTGATGCTCTGCGTATGTATGTTCCAACAGCAAAATACGGCGCAATACGACATTATAATTCTAGTTAGAATCTACCTATGCGACTATGGTCTACATAACTCGCTTTGTCACTATTTTAATCACCAGTCTACATTCTGTTGTTCTCCCAATCTTGTAATAATTGCGCAGTTCACAAATCATCATAATCGTCATATGTACCTTGCATCGCCTGTGTGCTTACCCATTCCTCACTGGCCAACCCCTTCAAAAACCTCTCTTCAAGGTCGTCAGAGTCCTTGTGAAAATCACATGCAAAGTCGCACTCTGGAATCGTTTCCTCGCCAAAATATTTGCATATAGAGGCATGTCGGCATGCGGATATGTTCTCGCAGTATTGTGCCAACGCCTGAAGGCTCTTTAGCCGCGTCTGGTAATTTGCATCCATCTGAGCGTCGCTCTTTATCATTCGGCAGGCTCGCTCGAGATCCTCCCGGCTGTAGTATAGGAAACAATAGCCGGCATTGCCATCGCGCCCTGCTCGTCCGACTTCCTGATAATACCCCTCAAAGGACTTGGGAAGCCGCCAGTGGACAACGAAGCGCACATTATCCTTGTCGATGCCCATGCCAAACGCCGTTGTGGCTACAATGATATCGTAGCCCCGCTCATTGTTGATCCAGTTGGCCAAAGTGTCTTCTTTGACCTCACTGGGCAATTTGGCATGAAAAGGTCGAGCCCCAATTCCTGCGTCTCGGAGACTGGCCGCGAGCGACTCGCACTCGCCCCGAGATGTCGTATATATGATGCCCGAAACATTCTCAATCCTTTCGCGCAATCTGGCCAGCTCGCTCTGCCGCGGTTCGGCACGCCTACGATCATATACTCCTTGTATCCATGTCAAGAAGTCTGAGAGACGGTTGTCGTCTTCGTCCTTTGTATATCTTATTTCTAAATGGAGATTGCCTCGCTCTGGACTCATCAAAAAGGTCTTAATTTTTTCTGGTGCAGCATCGAGACGCAGAACCTTGAGGATATCCTGCCGCACCAGGGCGTTTGCTGTCGCTGTAAGGCACATGATGGGTACATCGGGGAATGTCTCCCGAAACCAGGACAGCCGCTTGAAATCTCTTCTGAAATCGTGACCCCATTCCGATATGCAGTGAGCTTCGTCAATGGCAATGCGAGCAAGCTCTTTCTGCCTGTAGACAAGCTGTAGGGTTGTACGGAAGCGCGAGCCAGAACAGAGCTCCGGAGTTACATAGAGAAGCCTGGTTTTTGGGTGGCCAGTCTCCAGATCACGCTGTATACGATCTCTCTCCTCACGCGGCGTGTTGCTGTTTAGAGAGCTGGCGTCGATACCTTCAGCTCTCAAAGCCTCTACTTGGTTGATCTGTGAGCAGCGTCTTTAGCCACTGCAGGTCACCAAGGGCGCTTGCCAATTAGAAAAAAGATGGCGAACAGCCAGACCTACCATTAAACTTAATAAAGGCGAAACAACAATCGTAACTAATCAGGGCTCAGGGTTAGTTTGCCTTACTCTCTGCCGCCTGGAATACATGAGACGCGTCTGCTCCAACTCACTGCCTTGGTCAATCACGGCGGGGAGCTGGAAGCACAGGCTCTTGCCAAACGACGTTGCTGCTTGGACGTAGACATCATGGCCACTCAATGCTGCCTCGATTATTTCACGCTGATGGGGTCTTGTAAGAAGCGTCAGCCAGTCCGGCTCAGTTTGCTTATAACAACCCACAGAGAAGCTTACCTGAAGTCTTCCTTGTGGAACTGCCGCCGGAGAGTGAACCCGATGTCTGTGCATGACTCTGCCCTCTGCAGGGGGGCCATGGTAGAGAAGATCGAGGCTTCAACAGCGGTGGTGAGCAGAAGCTGGCATTGGCGGCGAAATCAACGATTACGCGGGTGAGTGGCTATGCGGCATCGAGATTGCGGCGCATGTGTGAATCGATGGGTTTGGCCGATGTTTACAGGGCGACGCTTCAATGCTAGTCGCTGGCGGTAGAAGTATTTTGACGCTCTTCTAGAACGCAGGGCCAGCTGCCACGGGGGTGCGGAATATGGGTACATGACTAAAGCCTGTTGACCGGATATTAATAGAAGTACTAGTGGCCCAGGCACGTGCATCAGGGATCTCAGCTAAACATCAATTGATACTGCTTGTGCTGCCGATCTGGATATTACAGCGTAACAGTTTTTAACAAGTTCTCATTCCTGCCTGTTCTTGCATTTTGTGCCTCTCCCAGGGTCGCACCATTCAGGACGATATGCCCTGTGTAAGCTACGGCATCCCATAAGGATCATCTTGTGGTGCCTGAACCAAGCACGTTGGCAACGTTCAGCCTAGAATCCCGTTTAGCGCAGTTCCCCACAAGCATGGCGGCCTGTTAGCGTCTCCTCTTTTCCACTGCTTTTTTCTTCTTACTTTTGCCCCAGCTGAACTCATTCCTGCGTCGACGGCCATGGCAGCGGCCGCAGCGAAGCAAGCGAAAAGCGTCAGTACCATGCTGTACGTGGAATATACTTGGGCCAAGCAAGGAGTATAATGCTCGTTATAGCTGTGCAGATGTAGATGGCTCCATGTATCTTGTCTTGTCATTGGCAGCACCATTGGCCTGTTGAATTTGAGAGGCTCTGCCTCGATATGGCTATGGACACGTACTGCAGTATACTGTACAAGTATAGAGGAATAGAGCAATTCCCGCGGCGCTGCTGGCAGTGGCCGTGGCTTGGAAGCGCATTGATACGTAGGTAGTAGGTGGTTAGGCAAGTATTGGTAATGCTAGTCTCCGTCAACTGGCTCTCCATGACCGTAGTACACACATCTGAAGATGGAAAAGGGGCCAATCGACGAACATGTACACGCTACTGAAGCGATATCGATCTTTGCAGTAGACTGGGCGAGTATCTGCTACTCCAGATCACGCCCCTCGCACCGCTTCCCGCGCTCGTGCTAGCGGACATGCGAGTCAATGTTTACATGTCAATATGTTATGCAAGCCCGGGAACATGCTGCGGAGGGCTCCGCGTACAGTATCGCGAGATGCGAGCGCCGAAAGGGCCCTACAGTGCTGGCATCGACGCTGCATTCGCCCACCGCGGCATGTGCTCCGTTGACAACCCAGGACGGACGAGAACAAAACGGCGAACCAGGGCCTACCACGACAAGATCGCAGCCCGGCTCAAGCTCACATGCTGCCCATCACTTCCCAAACAGCACCGACAGCACCGACAGACCCAAAAGTCCCCTATCAGGGCTCCTCTGAAGGCGCTGTGGCTGCACCCTCGCAGCGGCCCTCGCACTGTCCGCGCCAACCACCGCTGCCCATCCCGCTAGTGTTTCAGGGGCTCTAAACGGAACCTTGAGCAGGACCCCCAAGCCAAAAGTCTATCCGCCCAGGTTAGTGCGAGCCTCACGTCCGTCCAGAGCCAAAGCAAAGCACGTCCTACGACCGGCCTCTTCAACCTCTCCCGCTGTTCCCTTCTCCAGGGCGAATCCGCGCGCGCTCTCTTGCTCTGTTTTAGGCGCCTGGCCCGGCTTGATCATGATGATCTCACGTGTTTCGCTTCATCATTCGTCGCCGCCCCGATCTGCTTAATCGCACAACCCCCCCGGATTTCTGGCGCGCGAGGGCTCGAGAAAAGAGAGGGGTGCTCTGAAACATTTTACACGGTCAAGCGCCTCGGCCCTCTGAGCTCCCAACAGCGCCTCTTCGCGGTGCCTTGAGCACGTGTGCGCACGAGTATACGTGCGAGAAGAAGACGAGTGTTTGAGAAAGAAAGAGAAGAGAAGAAGAAGAAGAAGAAGGGCTGAACGTGCAGCGCTCGCCGCTTAAGACGCCATGGAGCGACCCGACCGAATGCCTGCCAACGGCATGGGCAACGGCCCTGGAGCTGCTCCTGGACCCCCCGCCACTGCACCTCCGGCTCTCAGGGGCACTGGCGCAGGCACTCCCGATAATAACGTCCCGTCTCAGGCTCGCCGTCCTCTTCTCACCACGACTGCTGCTCCTCCAACCGGCCAGCCGCCGCCGCCCATGATGCCGCTTCCGCCTCTGCCCAATGGTCGAAATGGCCCGTCTCCCAACGGAAACTCGCCCGCGACGCCCGTTCTGACGGTGGCTCAGGTCATCGGCCTGACACGCGAGGCGATGAGGCACGCCCTTGAAAACGAGAGCCAGGCCGTCGATGTTGGCCCGGGCCTCAAGTCGGGCGTGACCATCGACTTGAGCCGCAAGGGCATTCAGAAACTTCCTGAAGAGGTGGTTGATATAGTCAAGAACGAGCTAGAACGGTGAGCAAACCAATAAGAAAAGAAAGAAAGGGAGAAAAGGGATTGAAGGAAATGAAACAACTGATCCGATGGAAAAAAAGAAAAGAAGAAAAATAAAAAATTCTTGTTTGCTGACTGCTAGGTGTTACGATACAGGCTCGCTCTATCACACAACCAGCTATCCTCTTTGCCAGCCCGTTTTGCCGAGTGCGTGTCGCTTCGATATCTCAACATCAGAGGCAACCAGATCAAAGAGTTTCCTTTACCTGTACGACAACCCATGCCTCCCTTTGTTTTGTCTCACCAATGCATGATGAACCAGGCTAACACAAATCGTTAAGCTTTGCGAGCTCAAATCCCTCGAAATCCTCGATCTCGGCCGTAACCAGCTGCGAGTTTTGCCGCCAGATATCGCAAAGCTCACCTCTCTCAAGGTTCTCTCGATCCCAAAAAACCAGATCCGAGAGCTGCCCGTCTGCTTGGCGGAAATGACTTCGCTCCAAGTCCTCAAATTTGAAGGGAACCCTATCAGCTTTCCCCCACGGGATGCGCTGCAAATACCTTCTTCAAGCCCCTCCAACGAGGGGTCTGGAAGAGAGGGCGAGGTGTCGGAAGTGACCATTACGGCACATATCAAGAAGTTTATGAAGTTGCACGTCATTAGCGGTCGCGATGCCGAGGCGACTGGGGACGAATCCAGCGAGGAGACCAACACTCCTCGACCGCACCTACGACGCGTGCCAAGCGGTCGATTCCCTATCAAAGTAAGCAGTTCCGATGCGTCGGACATGCGAACACCTAATATTGGATCACGACCACCTCCTCCCATACCGTCACGGTCACATTATCGGGGTCTTTCTCAACAGAATACGTCCACTCGTCGTCCGGGTGTCCTGCCCCTAACCATCGGAAACATCAGCGAGCGTGGACGCAGCAATTCCGAGACGCTGATGCACTCGGAGAGATCAAGCAGTCGCCAGCGTCGCATGGGTATACTCGCAAAGAAGGCCACGTCGGACCTGGGCACGCTCGACGAGGTTGAGGGCAACAACAGGTTGAGCCACTACCGAGGGCTGAGTCACGGCTCTGCCATGCAGCAGGGCAACCAAGCAGTACCCTCCAAGAGCCCAGCAACGCCTACCGACTCTCTTCAGCGACCGGTTTACGTTCGAAGACTCTCGGTCCTCCCCGAGCGCCGCCGAGAGTCTAGGATTTTCGACCCCGTGATTGAAGCTGCCAAGGGCATCCTCTACTCGGTGTTTCAAATCCACCCCATGATCCAGATGCTCATGACGCTGACCAATGATGGATCCGCGAAACGCTCAAGCCTTGAAATCGTATTTTACAATACCAATTCTCATGTTGAGGAGTTGGAGCAGGAAATTCAGAAGCATGACATGGCCATGGCGGAAGAGGAAGAGCAGACCTTTGGGGACAATGCCAATGTGCACCGCGCCTGTCAGACTCTTGTCGGGGCGTATGGCCATGTTTGCACGCTATTGGCCGATAATATCGATACCTTTGTCAACAATGGAGATGCTCGATATATTCGGACGCTTTTGATGTTGATTTACAACAGTATCATGGAGCTTCGCGTCACTCTCTCCTCCGTCTCCACTGAGCACAACAAGCATCACCTCTCTGCGATGGACGTCCCCGACACCAGCAACACGATCAAGCCTTACTTCCGCGAGGCGTCTACTGCTGTCCCTCCGCCTCCACGGCCAGCGGCTCTTCGAAACCGTAGCGAACCAGCCATACACAACCCAAGCAACCTGAGAGTGGCAACCGACATACCCGTTCCATACCAAAACGGAGGCACGCGCACCGCCAGGCTCGCATCGGCGACTCCTAGATCCAACGACTCATTTCAGTCGTTTGGTCGGGATATCACCTCGGATTTCTCCGAAGAAGATACTCAGTTTGACAAGATATACCTGGCCCTGCAAAAGTCGACCGACACTGTTGTGCACATTTTACCGAATTTCAACGTTCAATTGACGGGAGGAATCCGAAATGCAATACAGCAGCGGGCCCCGAGTGCCATGATACGAGACTGGAAGAATCTCATTGCCATGTGCAATGACGCTATCCAGCAGACAGAGATTTTAAAGCATCGACTGTCTCTCATCAAGCTGAAGGACCCGGGAGTGCGTTCTCACGCAGGCTTCTGGAATCTTTGCAGCAATTTCATCTCAGCATGGGCAAAGATGGCGTCCAAGATCAAATCCGAGATCAATACCATCCCCTTGCCGCCTGACACTAGAGCTCGATTGCGGCCTGTCCATCAGAGCATGAAAGAGTTGAGCATCATCATCATGAACTCTCCCTGGAGCTACATTTTGAGACCCGCTGGTGTTGGACCGGGCATCCTATCGCCCACCACACCGCAAGTTCCCATCACTCCTCAGAGCGCGGCTCTTGGCCCTGCCATGCAAGCTACCGTTGCCACGCCACAAACAGGATCTTTTGCGGCTGTTTTCCAGGGCAACGTCTTTGATCGCGCAGACACACTCATGGCCAACCCCGGCATTTCCATGTCTCGCAACGGGACCATGTCGAGGGGCCATTCTGGGTTTAATTCGCTATCGTCGATTTCATCCATGTCATCCGACGGCGTGCCAACTCCGTCCTCAGCCTTTAGTCCTAATGTTCAGCTAGGACCTGCGCCATTTCGCCTTAACGGAAGCAAAGTAACCCTTTGAAGCTCCTCCGATCTTCCTTCTTTTTTCTCCTTCCTTACCCAGATGTCCAAAACCGGTTTATTACTATTGATTTATTTATCCTCTTTTTACTATTTTTTTTTTATTTTCTCGTTTCTCTCTTCTGCATTTGGATCTCACCAAATTGCTTTGATCGATAAAGAGGGATTCTTGCATAGCACGTACTTGATGGATTTTACGAATGATTACTATTGTTGTTTTTGGAACAAAAAATGTTGGCTTGAAAACGAGATGCTGTTACGTTTTTATTCCTTATTTCTTTTTATATTCTTGCATAGCCCTGGAGTTTAATGGCTTTGTTACGAATAAATGTGTCGTCCTGATGGGCATTGATCAGAAAAGATGGGAAGGGGGGAGTTTTTTTTTTTTCCCCAAACAAGTCAAGAAAGAGATTCACCCTCCAACACCACCAATTTGCCTTTGGAAGGGAACACATGGACAACTCTAGGGCAAAACGATACCATGATGAAACAAAGTTACTATTTTTGTAGAGGATAGAGATATGGGAAGCACAGAGCGTTGGTGTATATTAGAACTACCTTGTCTAATCGAATTTTTTTTTTTTTTCTGTTGAAGAGTTTTTGTTAATTTTTATGGAGGAAACAGGACGCGGGAATGTTTGGAACTTTTAGAGATGAGCAACAAAATTATATTGAAGATTAAAGTTTGTGTTTTGAAAGAAGCTTTTGTTCCCAATATCTCGTGATTGTGATTCATACAAACATGAACAGAGGACTACTCTTGTTCAAAAAGGGTTATAGCAGCACTTGATACTACAAGTACGGCTGGTAATACTGCTAAGCGCAGCGCACCTATACGCTTTTGTCCTTGCTGCCTTGGTGGTTGCAAGTACATGCATGCAGCTCGAAACAGGGCGTGATTTGCTTTAGACGCCGACCTTGCATGACAACCCCCCCACAGCACCTTTTTTAACCTGCTGGCGGCATGATGTCAAGTAGGCAGGCACATATATATGTTGGCTTAGACGTTTTGGATGGCCTTGACGGCGTGATTTAGAACCTTACACTGCCGAGGGTGTCTGGGTTAATCTGACTTTCACCTTCTTGCTACAGTGAATATCGAGAATCCGGAGGGACAAAAGGCCCATTTACAGCAAGTAGGAACACTATCGCAGCGCAAAATGTCGACTTCATCCATCGACGCCCTGCGGAGGCTCGCAGCCCGCAGCAACAGCAATAACAATAATAACAACGCCTCATCCAGCAGCAACAACAACAAGAAAAGCAACGGCAACATGCCCCCCGCAGTCGCCGCCTCATCCTCATCCTCGGCCCAGCCTCGCTGGTTCGCCCAGGCAGCCTCGCCGCCGTCCATCTCGTCCACCACCGCCGCCGCCGCAGCCTCGCCCGCGCTCCAGCCCACGCTGCCCTCGGCCGAGACGCAGCGCCACGTGGCCGAGGCCCGGGCCGCCGTCGTCGCGTCCATGGGCAACATGCTCGACTCGGAGCTGCAGTCGCGCGCGGGCATCCTGCACGAGAACGCGGCGGCGCTGGAGAAGCAGGAGCGCGACGTGCTGCGCGCGACCGAGGGGCTGCGGCGGGAGACGGTGAAGCTCAAGGCCGAGGCGGACAAGGCGGCGCGCAAGGTCAAGGAGCTGGGCAATGTGCAGAACTGGGCCGAGGTGCTGGAGAGGGGGTTCCTGGTGCTGGAGGAGACGGTGAGACTGGCGAATGAGGGGGAGGATGAGGATGGGAGTGAGGGGAGCTGTAGCTGTAGCGAGTGCGGGAGGGGAGGCTCTGGTGAGGGCAGTGATGGAGAGGGCGATGAAGGCGACGGTCGTGATGGTCGTGATGGTGTTGATGGTATTGGGGAGAGGATGGATGTGGACACAATGTCGGATGCCAGTCGGAGCCTGATGGAGCTGGCCTCGAGCACCGGCACGGGTCGGGCAAAGGGATCAGAGACGGCTTCGATATCAACTGGATGATTTGATACTATGATCAGCTAGCTACTTGACGAGAAAGGTTCATTGAATCCGTGTCATACGAGTAGCTATTCCAAAATGTCTGGATTTGGAAATTGCCGGGTATCAGGGCCATATAATAGCTAGAACAGAGTCTGATATGCAGCCAAGCCCTATATAAGCACTTGTTTTATAGGATTTTGAACCGTAAGGCTTATGCTTAAACATATGTAGAAGGTGGATGCTTTCGAAAGAGTTACTATGAGCTTAATCTAATGGCATGTATTTGTCAAATTCAAGAGATGCCCTTGTAACTTCCCAGCTAGCTTAAAGTCTAGATAATCTGCTACCTACCTATATAAAGAGTGTGTTGAGGACGACTCTTGTTATCAGTAAATCATTCATTCTTCTCATACTCTGACACTTTACAGAATCTTCTAAAGACCAAGGCGCTTAAACATGAAGTCATTGTCCATTCTGCTCAACATTGCCGCCCTTGCCGGCGCGGCCAACGCCTTTTGGGGCCAAATGGCAGCCGAACCCAAATACCAAGACGAAGGCGGCACCTATCAATGGGTACACCTAACCGATTACAACACCGGCTCCAAATACTCGACTCAGTTGCCCGGTGGTTTTGATGGATGCGCCGCACCATTCGCATGCTATCCCGTGTAAGTCTTGGGCCGGAAAATAAAACAAAAAGGTGCTAGGCGCATGATTTTAGAAAAATTGACCGTGAAACAGATTTAGAGAAGACTCTGGTGGAAGCTACAACTTTCACTCTAGGGTTTGGAGGGCTGCTGATGGCTGCCATCACATTGATTTCCAGGGGGGTCTTGATGCTCATGAAGGATGGTGTTGTGGATCACTCCCCTGTGACTTTTCGGCTTAGAAAGAGTTGGGTTTCTCTCCTCTGAACTTTTTTTTTCCTGTTCAGACGGGAATCAATATCGATAAATGGGAAAGACACAAGGAAGAGCGGTGCTTGGAAAGAAACGCGATAGGAAAGGGGATTACAATATATAGCAAGCAACTCTGTTTCTCTATTCCATCTCTCTGATCTAATCTCCTCTTTTGCTCTATTCATCATACGCGATGGATGTATTATATGCAATTGCTCTCCTCTCCATCTGTCAAGCTGTAAGAGTCGACACAAAGCAGTCTTGCTTACAACAGTCCGGGAAGGATAACAAAGCGCTTCTTCTTGTACTTGTCGCCGAACTCCTTGCGGTATGCCCTTTCCTTGCCCTTGGCCCAGACGAACATCTGCCCCGCACCAATAGCGATGAAGAGCGCCACAGACCAGTCACGGCTGGCAATGATGATACCAGCCCACGCCAGAATCTCGTACATGTAGTTAGGGCAGGTAACAAGCGAGAAGCCGTAGCCGTAGGGGATCTTGCGCTCGGTGCCGCCAGACGACCGCAGGCTGGAGAGGTACAGGTGCACCAGCGCGTTGCTAATCTCGCCAAACAGGTAGAGCACGGTGCCGGCGGCGTCAACAAGAGGCTGGTCTGCGGTGGCAGCCAGCGACCAGGGGCTGTAGTAGATGGACCAGGCGCACAGGGCGCCGGAGAAGGCCCAGTAGAAGAAGCTGTTCTTGAAGATGTTGCGCGCGGGCATGGTGTTTGCGGAGAACTTGTGGACAAAGAGCGTCTCAATCTCACGCTTGACAAAGTGCGCCATGATCATGCCGAAGCTGAGCCATTGTGAGGGGGACATGGACGGGTCCTTGACGAGGTACGGCCGGGCGGCGACGGCGAGCCCGTGGATGAGGATAGGGCCGAGATACTCGATGACGAAGACAGTTCTCCAGGCGATTTGGAGGCCTAAGACGATGTCAGTTTCCGTTATTTCAACAAGGAAGTGCAAGGCATCATACCGAGATCCTTGACGAGCACTTCGCCCGCCTCAGCAACATCCTTATCCTCGGCAATCACAGCCTTGCGGTCCTTGAGCGTCTTCCTCGTCGACGTGTAAAACAGGCCGACGCGGTTGTGGTCGTTGATGCCGGCTTGCTTGGCAATCAGCTTCTTGACATCTTCGACCGTGGCGCCGGCGGGGAGGTCGATTGACGGCGGCAGCTTCTTGATGCCCTGCTTGGGAGCTGTATTTTTTTTTTTGGTCAGAAATTGGTCCAACGCTGTGAATTTCGAATTGCCAATCGAGTCAATTCATTCATCGCAGCAGTAAAATACTTACAGCGATTTGTCAGCTTGAGCGTCGTTAGAGAAGCCATCTTAAGGGTCAAGCTGTGGTGTTTACAGAGCTTGGCAGGAGAGAGTTGTAGGATTCGTGTTGGGGGAAAAAAAGACACCACAACCAAGTATTCCTCGGGATGAGCTACGGCGAGTGGGGTGTTGAGGATGCGGTACGGAAGGGCTAGTAGCGGGGTACGCCGCTGGAGCACGGATTACGTAGCGAGACGGAAGTAGCGTTGACTGCCGGCTAGGTACCGCGCTATCGAGCGCAGGGGACACGGCATTTAGGGTATTACATTTCACATGTCCGTAAGATGTTAATAACGATTTACCTTTGACAGTATGATTCGGCACGTTATCTGTAGTGGTACTCGGGTGACTGCATATTGCCGAGCCACTTCCACTGCCAGTGGCCGTCGTAGGCTGCCTTTGTCTGCTCTGCCATAATCGAAAGCTACTGCAAGCATCACCAGTATAGCTTGGGAGTGCAGAATACCGGAGCCGAATAGTTAGAGAACATAAATCATGATATTCCTAATTCGACATTTCCTTGACAATGTTGATCAACAGTTGTTTACTTTCGTGTAAGTCTCACAATGGCATTGTTACGGCTCAGTGTCCTCCCGAGTTGCGTAATCGAAAACCTGTGCGAAACTTTACACCTTTCATATGGAGGGGAGGGGAGGGAGAGAAGGAAAAGCTACAGAACAACAATTATGTCTAAAGTTGCTCGCTTATCTATAATGGGCCTAAAGAGCTGCTATTGATTATAACACTTGGCATCGATTGTAACAGAAACAAGTGTCAACAATTCGAGTGTACCTAACCAGCAACTCAAACCGTCAGGCTAAATAGCCATCCTTTGACAGGCAGAGTCTAACATATGATGTGTACCTTGTCTGCAAGAGCAGTGATTAGATGGCGACTAAGTGAATTCAACTTCTCAAGGCCCGCTCGAGATTCTCTTCTTCACTTTCCTAACTGCACCTTGATAGCTACCTACCCTCACCTGGAGATAACTTCATACCTCACCTGGTGCTTCTTATAACATTTAAAATGCCGGCGAGACAGCACATGCTCTATAGAGCCACTTCACGAGCATATTTCTTACCATTGCCCAATTTTACAGTGGAGGTTTTTCAGTTGCTCTCTTTGCACTGTCAAACCAGCTGCCAGCTGCCATGCTCCAATACCTCGTGGTATATGGCTTACGTGTCCAACTGAGAGGAGCCGACATCTGCTCAAAGCAGAGCACGATCCAGAGTCAGACAGGCTTTGTTTACTTCCCTCAACTGCCCTCCAGAGTTCCTCAAGATCCTATCGCGACCTCGCAGCACCACCAAGGTTCATGCGCCCTACCACACTCCCTACCTTTTTTGGCCACGACTATATTAAAGTACTCGAATCATGTCGGCAGAAAGAAATGATAATGGAGGGATGAATCCAACCGCCGCGCCATTCATCCCATTTGCTTCTCCTCAACCGAGCTTTGCTACCCAACGTCCCAAGAACTCCCGCTCGAGTGTCCAAGATTGGAGGCATGAGAACAAAGAGACTGCTTTGCTATCTCGGGATCAGGTAATGTCGAGCGTTTCTGGGAAAGGATACTCAGCAGCTTGATAGTTCTCCCCTCTCCCTGTTGCCTCTTCCTGTCAATAGTTCCTCTCCATCCATCGCGCGAGCCAGGTGCGAGGTTTCACAGGCCACGCGGCTACTAATTGTGTGCGTGATCAGATGCTTCGTCCCACTGCCCCAAACTTCAGCGAGCCTATACACCAGAACCCCTCGCCTCGTCGTTTCAAGACCGCTTCTTCAGATGGCCCTGTTCATCATTTCTTTATGAGGCGAAGAAGTACGAGACACACTCCTTCTAGAGCTGGTGGCAGGACCCCTCAGAAATCAAAGCCAGACGCAAGTGGCCAAGGGGCTCCAAAACCTCTTGAAGCCACCCCTACTCGACAGCATCGCATGTCCAACGAAAAGCCAGCAACAGAGACAGAGACAAATAATGGCAGCGCCCCAGAAAGAGTTCGTTTCCCACTCTTGCAGATTGGGAACCAGTAACTTATCCTTGCAGGACTCGCAAACCATGTCTATGGAGGGCGTGCTGGTGCCAAGTTCAGTGCCAGGCCCGGTGCCTCCAAGTGGGCATCCAGCCTATGTGTATCCAGCTGTTCCTCCGCAGCAACACGGTGGCGATATGATGCTTCATCCAAGCCATCCAGTGCCGCCTGGTATATATCCTCCTCCTGGTCTTCCTCCCCCTCCTGGTCTCCCTCCTCCTCCGCAAGGAGGTTGCTTTCCATTGCTTCATATGGTTCCCTGCCAAATGGTTCCTAACCCGACAGCTCAATCACAACAACCAAATAATTTTGCTTTTGCTTTTCCGGTCGCTTATTGGCCACATAGAGACTCTCCTGTGGGAAACTCCGGCTCTCAGATCGATCAACAGAACCCTGATCCTGATCGAGAGCAGGCGGACCCCAGAAGTTTCGGCCCTCTGACGCACAGTTATCCTCATGTGATGCCATATGTACAGATGCCATATATCCCGCATCATGTTCCAGAAGAGCACGTTTGCTCCCCGGTAAGTAGTGTACGGTTCAAAGTTCATCATTTTCAGAACTTCCCCACCCAAATTCGCATTTCAAAAATTAACTATGCAAAAGCATTTCGAAGAGAACAGAGTCGTAGATCAAAGCAGCGGTATAGTCGAGATCTCTGACGATAGGGCTTCCGGTAATGATGCTAGGCCATCAAATTATTATCAGGGCACCAGAGAGAGAGTGAAGCCTCCGTCAGTTGTTGACGGCCCGCAAGCTAAGAGAAAGGTTGGCGAACAAGACTGGCAGCGGTTACAACAATCCCGCCAGGTGCCTCTCGGCCTTCAGCAACGCCATAGCACCTCAAACCAGCCAACTCAGCAAAGTAAGTCACCTCTACGAAAGTCACATCACTGAAAATCAACAAAGAGCTGACAACAACACCAAAAACAGTCGCTCGGTATCCCACGATGCAATCGTCGAGTGTCATCACCAGTCCATCGTCCAGATTCTCGAGAAGAAGCCATGTCCCTTATAGACCTGCCAAGGTTCAAACTGCAACCTCAACCGAAGTAGCCTCGTGGTCACAGTCGAAGCGATGGGTGAGCTCAGAAACCAAAGAGCGCCGGGCATTTCAGAAGATGGTTCTCAATCTCCAATTCATGAAGGCCGACCAGTCGCCTTTTATCCCAAAGACTCCCGCCGAGTTGACCAAATTCAAAATCTCCCTGGCCGAAGCCAAACGGCAGAAGCTCACCAAAGAGGTCAAGCTCCTCGAAGAAAAGAATCGGAATAGAGACCTGGCCAAGGCCTCGGGTTCGATGCCAGTATCCCAGCCACAGGTGCTCCTGTTCAACGGACGGCAAATGGAGGACAAGCTCTCGCCGGTGTTCGCTGCTCAGAATTGCTTCAACAAAGAGGACACCGCCAAAGCAAGCCAGCGTGTCGAATGGCCATCGCTGGCCGAGCTGAAGGAAGAAGGCGATAAACGTGCTAGATTCGGTCGATACCTCCCCCTTCCTCGGATGAACGTCGTCGCTCCCAAGATCCTCGAGAGAGAGCAGGAAAGTGCCTACAAAGCAGACGGATCCATCTTGTAGGAGAAGAAGGCCGTGAAAACTGGATCCTGGAATATCCAACCCGTCACCGCATCATCTGATGAAGACCCGAGCGAGCAGCCGTCGCAGTTGAGGATCTCTGAGATGAATGGATTTTTGAAGGATTTTATATTGGATATTGAGAAAATCAGCCCTTGAGAAACGCGTACATCACGGAAGGCGATGCCGGCAAAAAAGTGTTGCTGAAGAACATCGAGAAAGAGAAAGTTGAGAGTCTGTTTGCTTTTTGATAAGGACTTTTGGGCTATTGAGAGAGGCGATGTCTCGCGTGCACGAAGCATGAGACGGAAAACGGAGGTCACAGAGACGAGAGAAACGAGAGGAAGCATGTACAAGTAAAACAAATCTGGCTTGATGTAGGACTAAATGAATGTATATGGAATTCTGCAGCTCGGCATAAAAACGACTCGCAATAAATCTTTAACCACAGTCACTGGCTGTGTAGGTATCACACAGATATCAGCGAGAGACAGCCTTGGTGTTCTTAGCCTGCGATTTCCTCTTTCGAAAAATAAACCGGGGATTAGGCTTAGCGAGATGCGGAACAACGTGCCTCCGCCGCCGCACCGCAGGTAATTTTTCGGTGGCCGAAGAAAAGCCCTTAGGCGAGGTACGTACCGCGGGCTTAGCGCAGCCCACAACCACAATTTTCGACCCAATTCAGTTCCTCCACTTCTTCTCAGGCCTGTGTCCAAAAAGTTTCATTCCTTCTACATTCCGACAAAGTCGATTGCCCTGGTGAGCACCATAATCATCAGGTAAGTGCTGCAGAATTTTCTTTGGAGGCGGTTTGGGAGTTTCCCTTCAGTTCAGCAGGATCAAAAGAATATCTCACCATCATCGTCTTCGATTGGGAGGAGGGGAAGCTGTTCTTTTGATGCTGCTGCTGGAGGAGAGACTCTCATCGACCGCTTCCTTTTTTTCTCCAAACTACATACTCTTTTCCTCTCTGAAAAACTTCAAAAGGCTAACCACCAACCCTCTCTTCTTCCATCTACAGAACTCGCAATCATGGGTATCTCTCGTGACTCCCGCCACAAGCGCTCCGCCTCCGGTGCCAAGCGCGCCTACTACCGTGCGTACAACCATACCTGATATATATATTCCGAAAGCCCGTATAGAAGCTTTCTCTTTTGAAAGATGTTCATACGTTCTGACCTCCATCAACAGGGAAGAAGCGCGCTTTCGAGGCTGGCCGCCAGGGTGCCAACACCAAGATTGGTGCCAAGCGAATCCACACCGTCCGCACTCGTGGTGGTAACCACAAGTACCGTGCCCTGCGCCTCGACTCCGGTAACTTCGCCTGGGCCTCCGAGGGCTGCACCCGCAAGACCCGTGTCATTGCCGTCGCCTACCACCCGTCCAACAACGAGCTGGTCCGCACCAACACCCTGACCCGCAGCGCCATTGTCCAGATCGACGCCGCCCCCTTCCGACAGTGGTACGAGTCCCACTACGGCCAGTCCATCGGCCGCAGACGCCAGAAGGCCCAGGCCGCCAAGGAGGGCAAGGAGGCCACCGAGGAGGTCAAGAAGAGCAACTCTGTCGAGAAGAAGCAGGCTGCCCGCTTCGCCGCCTCCGGCAAGGTCGAGTCCGCTGTTGAGAAGCAGTTCGAGGCCGGTCGTCTGTACGCCGTCGTCACCAGCCGACCTGGTCAGTCCGGCCGCTGTGACGGTTACGTCCTGGAGGGTGAGGAGCTGGCTTTCTACCAGAAGAAGCTGCACAAATAAACTCGCAACAAAATGGCGTGAGTCGGATGGGGTGTTCAAGGTTTTTTTGTTACATCTTGGGCATTTTCAGGGCATCGAGACCCCTTTCCATATAAAGCATCGGAATGGGTCCATAGGGAAATGAAAATCTTTTTCTTGCAGTCATGTTCAAAAATATTCCATGTTTGTTTCATCTAGTATGATAATGAGACAAGAAGAAAAAAAATTCAATACACCCCGTCTTTCCGCTAGAGCATACCCGTACTTGTGATCTATAGGATGTATCTTGATTGCACAAGAAAAGAATACATATACCAGGCTTGTATGAATAATTCTTAGCAATATCTAGGTATAAGCGTCGTAGAAATTCCAAGGAAAGCATAACGGACCCTGGTCTATAAATGCTTCAGACTGGTCACATTCAATTCATCGCACAAATCAAAATTCATATATATCCTACTCTTTGATAAAAAAATTTCATATTTTTCCCTCTCTATTTCTGCAAAACTCTTGTCCTATAAAAAAAAAAAACATGCATGTCGTAATCCCGCTAGAGCGTGAATGCTGTTCCTAAGAATCCTTCATTTCATCACCAGCCAGTATGTAAACTAGCCGGGCATATGTACTGCTGATTGGCCACTAAAAAGGGAGGAAAGAAGAAAACCCCAAAAAACTTTTTTTTAAAGTGAAAACGGTTAAACTAATGGGAGAACAATATGGAGAGGGAGAAATATGACGGTTGTGGGAATGAGTTGGTATTCTTCCTGTCTCGTGACACGAAGAATGGGGGAATCAAGCAAGGGAGTGTAAGAATGACTGAGTGTAATGATTGGAGATATGCTTTGGCTCTTTTTTTTTTCCACATTTAAACACAAGTTACAGTTTTAAGCAAACTGGCGCTTCAAGTCAGCCCACTTGCGAGTCAGAGCGTCGTGTTGAGAAGAAATCTGTTGTATAGTTGTGGTTAGTCCTATTTCTCCCACATTCGAGGACGACGGCGATGCCATCTATAGATATAAAACGTACCTCTGCATATTGCAACTTTGTCTGCACCAGTTCCTCTTCCAGTTCGGCCAACTCTTTTTCAACTTTTTCGTTCTCCAGATGCACCTTCTCATTACGCTTCATCAAATCATCACGCTCGAGTTTCCACGTCTCTTCCATCTCCAGCGGCTGCCTCTCAAGCACATTCTTGAGCTCCCGAACTTGGTTCTTGAGAGCGTCATTCTCGTCCTTGAGTTCGTCATTCTCAACCTTTGTATGAACAAGCTCTGTGGCAAGGTCAGCCTGCTCGCGATCACAGACTTCAACCCTCTCTTCCAATTTGCGAACTTTGATTGCAAGGCTCTGGCTAGACGTTCGGAGATCCTTGAGCTCCGTGTCTCGTTCTTTCTCAAGCTTTGTCTTTTCTTCCCACTCCGCAGTATATCCTTCGAGAAGCTCTGCGGTGAGCTTGATTTCGCAGGCATCTCTCACCAGCTGGTCTGCTCTGTATATCTCTTTATCGGCGCCTGAGCTAGAGCTACCAAAGAAGCCATTCTCCAAAAGACTGCCTTGGCTGGGGTCTTTGTCGATGTAGACATCAAAAAGCTTATCTTTAAGATAGGTGGTGAGCTGTTGCATATCGGAGATCTCCAACAAAGTCTGGGTATTCTTCTGCATCAGAACGATACCGAATCGAATAATGGCTGACAGGCCCTCTGAGAGGATCAAGTCGTAGATTCTCAGCACAAGTTGGAGAGGGAAGCGGTAAGCAAAGAGTGTCAGGAACCAAGGTGTGGCATAGAGATGAGGAGAGATGCCTCGCCGATGAAGGTGGCAATACAGCGCAGGTTCAAGATCTTCCAGTAGCCGCTCGAACTGATACAGGTTTCGATGAAGTCCGGGCATGTCATGAATGAAGAGATCCCGCAGGCCGTAGTGATTCATCAGGCGGACAAGCAAGCAGAATGCTTCTTGCTCCGGCATATTGAAAAGCAGTGGCATGATCAAAAAGTTCATGCCCTGAGCATAGCTCACACCTTCATCGAAGAGAGCATAAGCTTTGCAGACCCCGAAAAGACCCTCTTGAAGTCCTGCAGCAGCCGCATACTTGGAATAGCTGGTGCGAGCACCAAGGTCACGACGAATTACCTTCTCCAGCCGCTGTATAGCCTCAACATCCTCCTTCTCTTTGCGCATCCTTTCTGTCACGGCTGCTGCTTGCGCCTTGGCGATGGCCTCGGCAGTCTTGTCGCCCTTCTTGTCCGCCTTTGGTCCTGAGCCGCCTGACAGTTCAGAATTGACAGACGATGCGGATGACGCCACGCCCTCGCCACTCTGTACACTGAGATTTGCGTTGCTGAAGCTGCTTGCTGCCGTGCTGCTGCTGTGTCGATTTCGGTTGTCTTTCTCTGTTCCCCTAGTAACTAGATCTTTGTAGACCCCTTCTAAATCTTCATTCTTGCTCTGTGCCAGCACTTGCCAAATGACGCCGCGGATGGCGCTGGGAATGCCTGTGGCAATAGCCCTGTTCAAATCCTCAGCACTCGATCGCGCAACAGCAGCCGGGCCTTCGTAGACAACGGTTTGCCAAAGATCCCAATCAACCTGTGACTGGTCCACCTCTGGCGGGCCAACGTTGATACCGGATGCCGTTCCAGGTGCCAAGTTTGCGCTTGGAGGGGGCAGAGGGGACTTGGGTGGCAAGTCCACTGCAATTGTTTCTCCATCTCTGCTCTCACTTGGAATATCATCGGTGTTTACGGTGAGCGGGGCGCCAGTTTCCTGTTGCAGCCGAAGCACCTTGAATCGATCTTTGAGACTATTCCGGTTTGTAGCTTTACCATCGCCTTCACGTTCTTCTTCGAGTTTGCTCAGCATCATTTCAGGATTGCTACCGTTTGTAGCAACGGAGCTAGTGGTGTTTCTCCTCGCTGATGTCTGAATTGCGGGGACCGCACTGACATCTTTGTCTTTACTAGAATTCCTAGATAGCCAGGAAAAGGGGCTGGTGAGTTTCCTGCCAACTGGTGCAGGGGCAGGACTGGGGGCGGCGGCAGTGGTTACGACGGCAGACGCTATACTCTTCACTGGCGATGAGGGGGCTGGAGTCGTGACGTTGTTGTTGGTCAGAGAGGTTGTTCTGCTTAGTTGGCCCTTCTCAGAAGGGCTTTTGGGCTCTAAGGAGGCAATCAGCAACGTGTAAGCAAGGCATAGGTACAAGACGGTGAGAGAGAGAGAGAGGCGTACCTTCGGGCTGTGGGGCAGCATCATCATCATCCAAGTTGACAACGTCGAGATTTGATGTGTTGGAGATATTGGAGACGCGGTGTGACAATGGAGTTGAGCCACGTGAAGGAGGCTCTGGCTTTTCCTCTTCCTTGACTGATTCTACTTCTTCCTCCCCGTCGCTTCCAGCTTCAGATTCAGAGGCATCCCGCTCTGGCGGGGGAGGTTGAGACTTTGTAGCAGAAACAGATCGGATGGACCTCTTGGTCAAGGATCGAACAGATGCGGCGTCGACGGCGTCTTCGAAGGTGTCCTGCTCAGTGGCCTAACTAGTTAGCCCTTGCCTGCTCGGCGTTTGCCTTTTCCTGCGTGTTGTTGGGATACCGCTCGACATACCGTATCATCGACATCGGAGTCGGTAAGAGACGGCCGCCTTTCCTTGAGCGACGCCTCGGTCGAGTGCTGGGAAGCTGCGTCGTCGTGCTGCGACATGGCTCCCTTTGCAAGTTGCTTGGCTTAAGAGGTGAATGTACGGTGTATCAACAGGCACCGTTCAACAACGAGCCATCCAGCGGCTCTGTAGAATTGAAACTTTTTCGGATGCTTGGAGCTGGGAAGAATATCCTTGACAATGTGGGCTGCGGGGGCCGTGGCCGAGCCAATGCGGTATAGATGACAATGGTAGCAATAAGAGAAAGAGGCCGGTCAACAAAGGACAGGTCTCACAAGAAATGACGAATGCTGGAGTTGTGTACAATGTGCTGTTGCCGGCTCTTCCTAGTTGGTATGTACAGGTTCAAGGTCGAGAGCTTTGAGATTTTGTCTCAGGGAGCATGCGGCATGGATGGCATGGAGTCCAGCTGTCCTGGCCGCCAAATGGCACGTTTCCCCTGGCTGGCCACTAAGCTCAGCGGTCTCGACGGCCAACAGTGCGGGTGCGTAGGTGGCTCAAGGAGGCACTGGGGCTCTGCAGCGGGTCTTTAGCGCCTAACCGTCTCTTGGAAGGGGTCTAGCGGGCCAGCTCTGCCTTCAGGCGCTGCTTGACTGACGGAGGCGCACTTGTGCCGCGGAGCTTTTCCTGATAACAGCGAGTCGCTTCTGGCGGTGTCCAGGGTCGCGTGCTGTTCGGGCACTGGTGATCACCAAACGGGAGCTGTTCGGCTGCGCTGGGGAGAGATGGAGGGGTGGGGGGGGTTTTTTTTCCTCGAGTGGGTGGCCCAACGACCCCTTTTTCGTGTCTCCTCTTTTTGCATGCCGTTTTCTCGGAGAGGGGAGAAGCAGGAAGAAGTAGGAAAAGGCAGCCGTGGTACGAGAGCTTCACAAAAGGCGTCGACAGATGCTCTGAACAAAGAACTCTCTTCCTCAGTCAACCCGTGACCTGAGATGCCCATCAACGCATCTGGGCCTCTCAAGGCTTTGGTGTCTTCCATCTTCTTTATTATCTACCATCCACCGACTTCACAACGTTGTAAGCAGCAGCGACAAGAACGGATGGAACCTAATGTATTGCTACCTGGATGGGGGGCTTTGCCTGCTTGTCTTGCATCTGGCATTCAACCCCAGTCTAGAACAATGCCCAAATTCTCTCACCATGAGTTGACTAGCCCGCAGTGTCAATGACGGACTGTTTCAGAGTCACAAGGTAGCTCAAGCTCTTTGAAACTGGGCTGCTACCTGCCAAGGCGGCACTCTTGGCAGCGCATACTCGGGAATTCGCAAGTGAAGCCTCAATTTTGGTGTTTGAATATGGCAAGCCTTTAGTCATAATGCCCGCCAGTTTCCAGGGTAGCACAGCGGCTTATCGACGAGCTGTTTGTCCCCATGCCTATCTCGATGTGCCTACTCATTCAACGCTGCTCCCTTCTCGATTCGCCATCTCTAGTTCACTCCAAGAGCGGTGGCATAGACTAAGTCGTTGTCTTTTACAAGAATAATGTACGCATGGGTCTTGAACAAGTGGGTGGATGCGTGCATGTGGGTAACAGCACATAAGATATCACTTACTATTAATAGCAGGGCTATCTGTTTGAAACACTGGCAACTTGTCGATTTTCACAAAGCAAAGGCGCGACATCACTGCTCATTGTTGTTGTGAGCACGGGAACAACTCATGGGACCATCGCCGGCTCTTGTGTAGGAACGATGACATCTGCGATGACAGCTGAATCTTAGCTCCACCTCGGACTTCCCTAGATTCGAACCATACAACTAGAGGTAAGGGAACAAGCACCGACAAGGCCCGTGCTGTTTCATCGATATTCCCTAGTAGATGTTTGCTGATCGATCGAGATTTATTAACGGGGCCGTGTAAGACCAGTTCCAGCGTAGACTTCTTTTCTTATTCATGCGTTTTACCCTGATATGCTATTCTCTTGTATGTCAGGCCTTGTATCTGTTGAAAAGGAAAACAAGATGACAATAGACAAAATACGCGGGTAGCAGCATCCTTGAAATTAGCCTGTGCTGTCTACTGGGCCGTCTACCATAATACGAGGTGGATCAGCTGCTGTCGATGGAAACATCCAAACATTAACTGAATCACATGCTTAGGTATCAAGATACGCTTTACTCTGCAGTGACCGATATTTACGATAGCACCAAAGCCAGTGCTCCTGTATCAAACTGTGGAGACATCTTGATACATGTTTGTATGTCAAAAACAACGCAGTAAATCTAAACACCCTCGATATTACAAAACCTAATTTTCGTGATCTGGTATTGATGCAAACAGTAGAGAGAAATAGCCACAAATGACATCACATACCTAGGTAGCGTCTTTAACTACCAGGCCGTTTAATGATTAGCGAATAACAAGCGCCGTACTGTTTATAGAGGGCAGGGCAGACAAAGAAGCAGCAAAAAAGATGGAAAAGTATTTATAGATCATAAACATGGCTCTTCATTAAAAGGAGAAGTGAGCTCTACATCAGAAAATTTGCTTTCGACGACGACGTCCGGGCACTCTGCACAACACCTACACACATTGATGTATTTGCATTGAGTACTCGGTAGTACCTTACCAGGTAGCAGTACCTAAGTGAGCATTGAGCCGCCCAGCGTGTGCTTAGCCAGGCACAGGGCCGTTGTGCACCACCTCAACGTAAGAGCTACGAGAAGCAGCCATAATGCTACCTCTAGCATCTTCACCACTCCTACTTAGGTACCAGATATCGCCAGGCAGCTTCTGTGTCCGTGGCACATGTTTTGCTCCTTATTACTCCCAAAAGGCAATCTCTACACTTTGCTGATTGGGTCATGTATCTGCGGCAGCCGCGCCTGCTGGACGGGAGATTCTGAGCTCCTCTAGTTGCAGGCAAAGAGCACTCGCACCTTACATACAGGCCAGGAGCTCTATGCAAGGAAGTCTAGCTCTGCGACTCATGTGTAATTGAATCGACCCGGCCAGCGTCTTTTAGGTAAATTTCCATGACCAGTGCGGCTCATTGTAGGGATTAAAGTCCTTGTGGGCGCCGCCGGACTGGAACCACACGGTGCAGGGAGGCCCATGAATTGCCCGAGCAGGACTAGCCATCAGATGGTGCTAGCCCCATGCAGCCTAGAGCCAGCGATTCTGGCGGGCAGATAAATCTTAAGCCTGTGCATCTGCCGCTGTCGTCTCTCGAGGCGCTGCCATCCCCGCTGATAGCGCTGCGACGTCGCCTAAATGCGGAACCGATAGCGCGCAGCACACAGCTGCTCAATGTTTGCTGTGTGCTCTTTCAGCCTGCCCCTCACCCGCGCACTGCCTATTCGGTGCCTGTAGGCAGTTCGCACTGATTCACCCAAGTGCGGGACAGTGGGCGGAGCTGCACCACGCCTATTACGCAAAGGCCCACTTGCTTTCCACTGCTCAAACCTGACGTTTGTCAACCAGCAACTCTTTTTTTCTCTCTCTCCCAACTGCATCCTCTCTCCACATCTCCGCCCGGTAACTTCACGACGGGAGCATCTGCAAGCCATAATCGACGGCTTGACTTGTGTTCCTGTGTTTCTTCTTTTTGACGATACCCCGCCCTGCTGCCTGCCTGGACCCTTGGAATCGCTGTTTGAGGACGACTGCACTCGCCCTACAACCCGCTTCCAAGCTCTCGCAGCCGCATCCTGTATCCTCTATTGACGGATAAAACTCTGCATCGTTCCCAACTCGAACCGAAGACCGGCACATCGCTCCCTGAAGCTGCGGACCGATACCGTATGCGATCGGCGTCGACACCAGCGAACTTTGTTTGACGTGTAGACAGCCTTGTCCCGAAGCATCGCCTACGCATATCTGACGTCCACCCCCGCGGTTCGGCTCAGCCCAGCCACCACGATCCCCCAACCGCCAGCCGTGTTCGCGGTCTTTGGAATAAGTCTTTGCTGAAAACAAAAAGCAAGTCATCTCGACTGCACCATTCGCGCTGCCGCGCCAGCGGATAGCCGGATCGAAGTGGAGGGGGAGTTTGTATTTGAGATCGCGGCTCGGCCGCCCCTGTTCTCATCATGGGCAAGATTACGAAGACGATGCAGTCTAAGCATCGGGAGACTTTGGTAAGTCATATATGGCGGCGATGGAAGACGCAAAGAATGAGCAAGGTTTCGTTATGCATGCCCAGAGGAGAACCGTGACGCTGACATTTTCCATCTTGATATAGTCCTCATGGCTTAAGCTATACGTCGAATCTGCATCAACGACTCCATTGCCCCTCCTTGTTCAACAACTCGCCGATTTTCCGACACGATGGCCTTTCGGGCGTGGAGACCTCTACCATTGGATTCCCCTGTTAAACAGATTTGATAGCGTGCTTGAACTTTTCTGCAAAGTCTACAAGTTGAATGAAGGGCCTCAGCAGCGTGATTTTGATTGCGAAGTGCTTCTCAATCATGCAAAAGACCCGGCATTTGAAGGCGAGAAGCAGTGGGAGATGGACCAGCTTGCCGAGCTCAAATTTCCCCAAGACGGCGACAGAGTTTTGGTCGAGGCTATCCTCAAGTTTACCCGCATGCTGCTAGAGCATTGCGGAAATCGAAGCATCTACGCCAGCAGTGCTCACCTGAACGATCTGCTGAACTGCACCGCTTCTTCTGTTCTCATTGCCACCCTCGAGGTGGGCTCTGAATTGGCACAAAGATACCAGGCGTCGGTCAAGCGGATAGGTACCGCTTCTAGACACATTAGTGCAGCGCTTCTTGCAAATCATTACAATATCGACTTGGATCGCGTTCAGCAGATAGCTTTACCGTTCGTCAAAACACCCATCCTTGGCCTTTCAGATCCCGCTCCAACCAACCCACCTGCAGCTGCGTCGAAGGGAAAGGATAAAGTGACTACGGGAAGCGGCGTTAGGAATGTCGCTACGATGCATGCTAATGATCTAGTCGCTATCGCTACGTCTGATGATAGTCGATGGAAAACTTGGGGCGATGTCAAAGTCTCTTATTATTCGCAAGAAACCGCTACATCGACCCAGCATGACGTCCCAGCAGAGACGGCCCGCTCGACTCTACCATCAACTCCCACTCCGCTGCGTCGAAGCTCCACGATGAACTCTCAACACACCCCAAAATCTCGAAACACCGCTGGCGAGGACTCGTCTCCGTTTGCCCCGCGAACTTCGGGATTTGCGGAGGATCATGCTTCTTCGTCGGGCCAGAAGACGTTTGAGTTGACACAATCTGTCGTAGCCTCTCATTCAATTTACGAACTTATAAGTCGATGCCCTGATGACATGCCTCAGGCGGCCAAGTATGAGGCATTCCACCGCCTGAGAGTCGCCAAAGCCCTCACCGGCTCTCAGGACTCGCGTCAGCAAATGTTGGCTACTCGTCTGTTGGCGGTTACCAACCTGGCTTACATACATTCTGAGTCAAGCTTTGTTGAAAAGGTTCTCCGTCAGGACATTGATGAAACTCGTCGGTTCCAACTGGTGTACCAGCTCGCTGAGCTGATTCATCCATCCGCTGATGGTGTCGTGGATGTGCCTTTGCGGCTGCAGACGATTGCTCTCGCACTCCTCGAGGCTGTATCGAGCTTTCACGCTCGTTGCCAAGATGTCTTATCGGCTCTCAACGCTAATGTTAATCATGGAATCCTTCTTTACGTGATTAGAAAAGCAGTCGCTGGAATGAAAGGAATTCGGGCAGGAGACGATAATGACAAGACAAACGAGGTCGATGAGTGGCGAAACAATCTGTTTTCTCTGACGCTGCATCTGTCGATGGCCACCCGAGTGGGAAGTGAAATGGTCTCTGCCGGCTTGATGGATATCCTTGTCGAGATTCTCAACATCCGTTCTGTCATTGCCCAACGCCACCACTCAATGGTTCTCGCCTTCTTGGATGGCCTTATTTGGACTTACCCGAATGCCTTTACTGCGTTTTTCAACGCGGATGGATTGGATGCCGTGGCTAAGCTAATTGTGGACACGATTAGCGGTGCTCGGAGCTTGCTTGAAGAATCCAAAGGTATCAAGCCAGACCAGCAGTCCAGCGCCGTCGACTATGAAATCCCTTACTACCAGCAGCAGACACTGAAATGGATACTTAAGTTTGTTCACCATATCATGTCTAATTCTTACAGTTATAGCGGTAATACAGACCGGCTCCTGCGGAACCTTGCTGAGAAATCTGACCTATTGGCCAACCTGAGGGACATCATCAACGATAAAAAGAGCTTTGGCTCCGTAGTTTGGACAAACTCGGTGACTATCCTGAGCGATTTCATCAATAATGACCCGACAAGCTTTGCAGCCATTTCCGAATCAGGCATGATTAAGACATACCTTGAAGCCATCACTGGACGACCGATCCCACATGATCATACCACGCTACTGAGACACCGAGAAGAGGGCGAAGACGCTGAGGTTGTTGAGGCTTCTGCTATTGAAAGAATCACACATGTCGATGAACGACTACATCCTCCCTCGGAAGAATCAATTCGGCAAACCCTAGACCGACCGGTTGCGCAGGGCATATTGGCATCCTCTGATGCTATCAATGTTGTGCCTCAAGTTTTGAACTCTATTTCGCTGAACAACGCAGGTATGCAGTTGGTAGTCGCTTCACGAGCCTTCGATAGCTTCTTGGAAGTGTTTGAAAGCTCTGCACACGTGAAGTGTATGGAAACAGACGCGGAGCTTGCAAGCAACGTTGGCGCCAGCTTTGACGAACTTGCACGACATCACCCGCCTCTTAGAAAGGCCATCTCCAATGCTGTGATTGACATGGTTGCGCGAGTTCGTATGCTGGGTATCGAGAAGGCTCGTCTTGCGGGCTGGGGAGTCAAGTTGGCTCCCATTGGCAGCCTACAGGCTGCAATCGAATCGATTGAAGAAGGAGCTCAGCCCTCTAAATCACTGCAAGAGCCCGATGTCGACATGTCTGACGCTGCCGCCACTCAAGGTTTAGAGTCTGACAAGCGTACCGAAACAGAAGCAGAAACTTCGTCTTCGGAGACATTCACGCCCTATATATACGCGCTCTCGACTTTCTTGACCACTTACTTGTCCAACGGTGTGTTGAAGAACAATTTTATTGAACATGGTGGCATTGAACTTCTTCTTGATATGTGCCAATCCCCTAGCTTGGCGGCCGGGTATAGCGATTCTATGGCATCTAGAGTTCTCAACCAGGTAGTGTCTCAACTGATTGAGCAAGGTGCTGCCCAAGGCTTGACGTCCCTGCTCAGTCGGGCTCAGCGCGCCATTGATGTATTGGAGCCACTGGCAACAAAGACAGAAGCAGTCCCTCCCTACTTTGCGCCTTTCCTGGCTCCCGATCTGGGTACCGTTTACACCAAAGAGGAGGCGACTGAGATAATTTCGACTGGCACAAACGTTGTCAAGGCCTTGCTCAACGCGCAAACCTTTATCAAGATTATCTCTGATTGCTTCTCGTCTTCAAGGTCAAACTCGCTCCAATTCTATCCCATCAATGTCTATGATTATTACCTAAAATTGGTAAAATCAATCGGGCCTTTGCTACGTGGAGTTTTAGCAGAGGAGGCAGGCGAGCTTACGGCGGTCCCTCAGCACTGGTCTCTAAGGCGTCAATCTCCACCGCTAGAGGGTAATGCCAGAAGCGGTGCTGTAGATGCTGAAGCTGATGATACCTCCTTACCGGATGTTCTTAACAGCACAGATAGTTGGAGGCCCAGCGAAGGCACAGACGCCTCTTCGACTTCCCGGCCTACCGAGCAGGAACAGGCCAGCCCCCGGTTCCAAAACTACGAGACACTTCGAGTCCTTCTGCACCCTATGATTCCTACATCATTTCCCCTTTTCCAAACCCTGGGAAGGGCCCTCTTACCTAGGCGCGAAACGACCCATGGTGACCCATACCACCGACCGCGCCATTTGGAGATTGCAAGAGCACTTGCTGATACAGTTCTTGACCACCTTGGGCCATCTGTGGCAGAGCCCGAGCCAACTTCAAAAGACTTTCACTACTGGATCATTATGCTACATACCATTCATGAAATGTTGATTGACCACCGTAGGTTCCAATTTCATTCCAATTCTTCGAAACCATTTTTTTTTCCCTCATCAGTTTTCAACATGCTAATCCAATGCACAGCCACCTCGTCATCTCGCCAGAATGATCGCTCGAATGTACAAATCATTATGCCCGTCCTTCTCGCTTTCAAGGAGCGTAATGGTCTTGTCGTGCTCAATTCCATGCTGCGTGTCTTCGCAAATGCAGTGAAGAGTTCTGATGCCGCAACTGCTGATGAATCTTCAAAAGTCAAAGTTGCTGCTTTTGGTCTCAAGAAGATACTAGACTTGTATTACATTCTGGTCAACGGGAAATATATCGCCGATACACATACCCATTTCAACCTCCAACGGCAAACAGATCGATCCTTGGTTGTTCCAAATATTCTCAGCCAAATTGTGGTTGAATTTCGAGCGGCTATACTGCCTGTTATCATGGAACTTTGGGATTCCAATTTCATGGAGCGAGTGCCAGACCAGACAGTAAAAAGACTAGTCGATATTCTCAAGATGGTATCATTGGGCGAGAACGAATTGCAGGGGATGCCAATGGATAAGGTAAGCAAAGTCTTCTGGCTATTTATGAATAGATTTGTTTCTGATTGTTCTAGGTTCCCTTTGTCCTTCTCAAATACACAGATGTGCGGTTCAACTGGAAGAATGTCAGAAACCTTGTTCGTCAGCTCGCTGACGACTTTGATGATGAACTGGCCCAAGAAGCTGCATATCGTACTCATGGTAACCACGTTACTGCGCCAGCATACTGCAGTGCACATGAAGCTGAGATTGCAGGCACTCGAAATCCCGTCCCCCTTGCGGACGCACCGGACCCATCTGTCCTGGCGGAGACGGGAAATACGCCGGTATTGCTTGAATCAGATGGTAATACCTTTCGTGGTCCAGACCCTGAGGCAATGTCATTGGATACATCCCCCGAGACATCTGCGGAGACCTTGGACGACTTGATTTCTCGTCTTCCTGAAAACGATGAAGTTGCCAGCGAGAGTGGTGCCGATGTGACACCAAAGGCCGTCAAGCCAACTACCTCTACTGAAGAAGGAAGCTCGACTGAGCAACCTACCGCTGAAACTTTCAACTTGCTCAAGAAAGATCTCGACGATAGCCGGGCAAAACTACGAGAAAATCTTATTGATCAGTGCCTTGACGTCGTTCGAACCCATCCAGATACAGCTATAGAGATTTCCGAACTTATCAGCACCGTGGTTCTGAGACATCAAGAGGAGCATGCACACAAAGAAGTTGGGTCTACGCTTACAGAAGCCCTATCATCTATCCCTACAGATGAAAATGAGAAGAAAACTAACGGGAAATGCATCGCTGCGTACGCCCATCTTCTTGCCCTTTTGCTTCAAGATGAGACCTTCTTTGATAAAAATATCGACACGCTTCGCGAAAGGATTGGCGAATATGTTGCACTCCTCAAAGTTTCGCCTTCTACCTCTGCCGAGGAGCTGCCCCCTTGGATTCCTTTCATACTCTTAGTACTAGAGACTTTGTTAAGCCACGATGAAAAGCCAACTGCCGTTCAGTGGAACATGCCCAAATCTTTGGATGAACCTGTTGTGGCGCCCGTCATCACACTCAAATCGCCTTTGGTCAACGATGAGCTCCGTTCTAGTGTCCTGGAATCGCTGTTGGACTTACTCCCTCGCATTGGAAAGGGGGAAATGCTAGCAACTGCTATTCTACGCGTCTTGATCATTCTGACTCGCAAGCGCCAGTTGGCGAAACAAGTGGGCGAGAAGAAGAATTTGCAAAGGCTTTTCCTCATGGCCAAACAGATGTCGGGCGCAGGATCTGAGCGTCTTAGGCAGACACGATTGACAGCCCATCTCATCACTATCCTCCGTCACATTGTTGAGGATGAGGACGTTATCAAGCAGGTCATGAGAGCTGAAATCAAATCGGACCTGCCCAATCTCCAACGCACCCAACGCGGTCATTTAGACGTGTCTACCTATCTTAGAGGAATGGCACCAATTGCTCTCCGTGCTCCTGATCTCTTCGTTGAGGTGACAAACGAACTACTCCGTTTCTCACGGTGGAGCGCACCGACCGGGGAGGGGGCCAGGTCTCAAGCTCTCGTCTGGAAGGAACAACCCGATAGCGACGCAAACGTTACCCAGTCAGATGCTGGGAATGCTCAAGCGGAAGATGTCAAGCAGTCTACTGAATCGGGAGACAAAGAAATGTCGGACGCGCATAAATCACATCATGATAGTAAACGCCCTGTGGTCGAAAATCCAGACGGAGTCATCCACTTTCTCCTTTGCGAGTTGGTCAACTATCGAGAAGTCGAAGACAAAGAAGTACCAAAGCCTAGCAAAGATGTGGCGTCAGAGAGCGAGTCGACGACAGCTGCTGAGACCCAACAAGATAACTCTTCTGTCGACAGTTTAGCGGGCGATGGAAAGGATAAGAAACCAGCAAAACCTACGTTCAAGCCAGAAGAACATCCAATCTTTGTGTACAGATGCTTTTTGCTTAGCTGTTTGGCCGAGCTCCTTCAAAGCTATACCAGGACAAAGGTGGAGTTTATCAATTTCAAGCGTAGTGCTCCTCCCCTATCCACCAACACTCCTGTCAAGCCGAGATCAAGCATTCTCAACTATCTCATCTATGACTTGTTGTGTCAGAGCAATCTGAGCGGTACAACCGACAATATCGCCTCTAAAAAGAAAGCTGCCACTTCATCTCAGACCCAAAAGGTTCTGGTTGCTCTGGTGTCAAAAACTAACGAAAAGGTATTTGAGCGCAAGAAAGAAAAGTACGCCTATGACGATGAGCCGGATCTCCTGTTCGTCCGCAAATTTGTTCTAGACACCATCTTGAAGGCGTATGAGAAGGCGCCTCTTACCGATGAGCCGCTGGAGGTCCGATATGCGCGAATGCAATGCCTTGCAGAGCTGATGAACCAAATGGTTGGAGAACGAGACAAAGATCAGAGCTCTGGGTCTCGCAATGCCGATGGCGTTCAGCCAAGATCGCAGGCGCAACTTCGGCGGCTCATGTACGAAAAGGGCTACCTTGATAAGCTTACATCATCCATCGCTGAGATTAATTTGAACTTCCCGGGAGTCAAGCGCGCCATCAAGTATATTCTGCGCGTCCTTCGAGTGTTGACCGATACTGCCAAAGAACTAAGCCATTCGAATATCTTGGTAAACGACTCACAAGCTGACCAGAGTGACGAAGATTTTGCGTCTACTTCATCCCTGTCTGACTTGGACGAGGGCCGAGAAGAAACTCCCGATCTATATCGAAACTCTGCTCTTGGAATGCTGGAACCTCGCGGAGAAGATGACGAGTCCGAATCTGAGGAAGAAGACAACGGCGATGAAGACATGTATGGAGATGATTACGATGACGATGAGATGGATTACGGCGATGAAGATATATCGGATGATGAAGACAATATCAGTGATGAAGATGAAGAACTTAGTGATATGGGAGAGATCGAGGGCCTCCACGGCGACCCTGGGGTGGTTGAAGTCATCATGGATGATGACGAAGATGACGAAGATGACAGCGATGAAGATGACGAGGACGACGAGGATGATGAAGTTGACTCCGCTGATATGGAAGATGTCGAAGATCGAGTTGAAATTGTTGACGAAGACGGAAACCTTCTCGAGGACGATGGAGAATCAGGGTGGGAGAGCGAAACCAGTGCCGAGGAGGATGACGGGCCAGAAGTCGATATTGATTACGAAGGCGAAGTCCAAGAGGCAGATGAAGCCCATCTACACGGCATGGGCCCTGGCGATCTGCTGGATAACATGGCAAGAGCTATTATGGGTGGAGATGAAGATGGATATGAGCCCGAACTTATGGAAGCGCTGGATGAGCATTATATGGATGATGGTCATGATGAAGGTGGTACGTATAACATCTCTCTTCCTCTCATACTTTGCTTGCCTTTATCAATGTTCTATGAGTATGAGTGTTGACTTGGAAACAAACAGATGATGACGACGAGGAAGATATTGAGGACGAGGAGTACATCTATGACGATGATTATCCCTGTAAGTTGGCTATTATATTTCACTGAGTCTCATTACTTTGGAGCTAATGTTTGAAACTTTACCATCACAAACAGTAAACGATCCACTGCCACCAATGCCAGCTCTCGGATGGGATGGCTTTACTCCCGATGTGGATGAAAGACATAGACAGCTCTTCCTGCTCGATAACCATGGCAGACGGCCAGTACTTGCGCGAATGGACAACCGTAACCCTTTCCCTCCTAGGTTCATGGCGGGATCGAACCGAGACCTGAATGGTAAGTTTGGGATGTGGTTTTCCCCCTTTCCAATTGCTGGTGCGTCTACTAATATGTTGTTCAATGAAGATTTCCGCAGTTACTTCTCTCGTTCCCACCGTCATAATGGGCAGCAGCCCAACGCAGACGATGGTATCAACCCGTTGCTTCGTCGCAACGACCAGGCTCAAGAAACTCAACCGCGAAATGGTCAGCCAAATTCGATTGGTATCCGCTTCCCAGAAGGCTTTTTAGGACCAGGAAGACATGTTATCGACGGCCCAATGAGCTTTTTGGGAGAGCTTATGGAATTCTTGCCAATCATGGGCCGTACTGGTAACCAACATGCCTTCCAGGTGCATATCAGTGGCCCTGGTGGCACTCGGACCGCTGAAATTGGAAGTATCCGTGGCTTGAGAAACGAGCTGCGTCGAGATGTTACAGTTCAGGAGCCCCACCAAGCAGTCGCCTTTACTCCTGAATCTACCTTGGATCGCTACCAAGAAGAAGCTAGGATGATTTTTGGTGGAAATCCTGCCGTGGAGGCTTCTAGACTTAGCAATGCTATCATCGCGCAGCTGACTCCTGCAGCAATGGAGCTGGAGAGGAAGCTGAGGGCTGAAGAAGAAGAAACCAGGAAGCGGCTGGAGGAAGCTCGAAAGAAGGCTGAAGAAGAAGAACGCTTGGCCAGAGAGGCTAAGGAAGCCGAAGAAAGAGCAGAGAGGGAAAGAAAGGAGGCAGAGGAACGTGAGGCTGCCGCTAAGCTCGCCGCCGAAGCCGCCGAAGCCGCCGCTCTTGCAGCTAGCCAGAATGCTGAATCACAGCCTGGCGAGGGGGACCACAACCAAAGCAGCGGTGCTATGGAAGGGGTTGAATCGACTGAACCCGCCAACGCTGGAGCTAACGGAAGCACTGAGAACACGTCAAGTGCGAATCTTCCTCGAGTGACGACAATGATCAGGGGAGAAGAAGTTGACGTCACCGAGCTGGGCATTGATCCGGATTATCTAGCCGCTCTTCCTGAAGAATTCCGAGAGGAAGTCATCGCTCAAACAGTAAGCGAGAGACGGTCTCAGGCTCGCGAAGAAGCAGCATCAGGAGAAACGACAGAAGTATTCCAAGAGTTCCTTGATGCCCTTCCGGAGGAGCTACGATTAGAAATTGCGCAACAAGAAAGACAAGAACAGCGGCGCCGTCACCGCGAAGACAGTCGCCGCCAGGCGACTGAAGGCGAAGCAATTCCGGCGGAGATGGACCCAGCCAGTATTTTACTTACGTTCCCTCCGGAACTCCGAGAGCAAGCGCTCATTGATCAGGGCGAAGACATCATGGGCCAGTTGCCTCCTGACATGGCTGCTCAGGTGCGAGCATTGACACAGCATCGTCCGCAGGTGGTTCACCAGCATCGAGGTATGCGGCCTATTGTCCTCCCAGGCAGGACCTCGCTTGCCGCTGGTAGAACTCCAGCCCAAGGCTCGCCAGATGAACAGGGAGAAAATAAAACTCAGCGAAAGGCGGTGGTGCAAATGCTTGACAAAGCTGGTGTAGCAACCTTGCTGCGTCTTATGTTCATTGCCCAACAGGGTTCTATCCGGAATTATCTCTTTAGTGTTTTTGCAGATGTGTGTGAGAATCGCCAGACTCGCCTCGAAGTCATTAGCACCATCCTGCAGATCCTTCAAGACGGCAGTACGGATATGAACGCCGTTGAGCGCAGCTTTGGCCAGCTTTCACTCAAGGCTAGGAAGCAGAGAGACAAGGAAAAGGATGGCGATTCTAAGGCTCCGCAAAGTCTTAAGAGGACCCTGACGACCATTGGTAGCCTTACCAGTAGTGGACAAACAAACTCCGAGACATCGCCCTTGCTGATTGTACAGCAATGTCTAGACCTCCTTGTCGATCTGTGCACCAAAAACCCGCATATTCCTTGGCTGTTCCTGACTGAGCACGAGACTGTGGGCTCCTCTCTTAAGAGGTCTCTGAGTCGTCGAGGAAAAGGCAAAGACCAAAAGGCGCACAAATATGCGATCAATTCCTTGTTGACTCTTTTGGACCGTGAGCTTGTAACGGAAAGCTCGCTTGTTATGACACACCTTGCGGACCTGCTGAACCGAGTTACTCTCCCTCTACAAAACTTGGATCGTCGACGCAAAGACACTCAAGAAGAAGATACATCGGCTTCAAAGGCGGCCGGCGCAGAAGCTGAAGTTGTGCCAGAGACAATCGAGACGGAGCAGCAGAATAGCAACGAACAAGCAGCTGATGGCGAGGCGGCAGTCACATCATCCGAACCAAAAGCCGCCGAACCCGGAGACTCGAAAGAACAATCGAAAGGCGCATCACAGAAGCGTACCCGTCAACTGCAGCCTCCAGTAATCCCTCCCCAGAATCTCACCCTCGTGGTTAGAGTGTTTGTGGCTAGAGAGTGCAGCTCGAAAACATTCCAAAACACAATATCCACTATCAAGAATCTTTCGGCTATTCCAGGGGCAAAGACAGTCTTTGGCCAGGAGTTGGTTAGCCAAGCCCGTCTATTGAGCAGCAATATTGTTGCTGATCTAGATGACTTGCTACCACACATTGAGGCGGCTACTTCTGGAACTGAAATACAAGGAGTTGCGCTCGCCAAGTTTTCACCAGGAGCTTCAGAGCAAAATAAGTTGCTCAGAGTTCTCACCGCTCTGGACCATCTATTTGACGGAAAGAAGAAGAGTGAAGAAGCGGATGAAGCCGGTGCTGGCGAGAAGCAAGATCTTGTTACCTCGCTATATCACAATTCAACCTTTGCAACCATGTGGGAGAAGCTGAGTGCATGTTTGAGCGCCATTCGCCAGCGAGAGAACATGCTCAATGTCGCAACAATACTACTCCCGTTGATTGAATCTTTGATGGTAGTCTGCAAAAACACCACGACAAATGACGATCTGTCTCTCAGCCAAGTTGGCAAGGACATGGTGCTATCAAGCCCGCAGCCAGAATCTCGCACGGCTAGCCTCTTCTTCACCTTCACAGAAGACCACAGACGCATCCTCAACGAACTTGTGCGACATAATCCGAAGCTCATGTCCGGCACCTTTGCCTTGCTTGTGAAGAACCCCAAGGTTTTGGAGTTTGATAACAAGCGCAATTACTTCAACAGGAGCGTTCACTCGCGCAGTGGCCAGAACCAGGTCCGCCCATCGTATCCACCGCTGCAGCTTTCTGTTCGCCGAGAGCACGTCTTCCACGACTCTTTCAAGTGGCTGTGTTTCAAGTCAGGCGAAGAGATGAAATACGGAAAGCTCAACATTCGATTCAATGGAGAGGAGGGAGTAGATGCTGGTGGTGTCACACGTGAGTGGTTCCAGGTCCTCGCTCGACAAATGTTCGATCCCAACTACGCCTTATTCATACCGGTTTCTTCGGATCGCACAACCTTCCACCCGAACAAGCTGAGTGGTATCAATGATGAGCATCTCAGATTCTTCAAATTCATTGGCCGCATCATTGGCAAGGCTTTGTACGAAGGCCGCCTCCTCGACTGTTTCTTCAGCCGCGCCGTTTACAAGCGTATCCTCGGAAAGTCCGTCTCTGTCAAGGATATGGAATCGTTTGACCCAGATTACTATAAATCCCTTTGCTGGATGCTGGAAAACGATATCACGGATATCATAACCGAGACGTTCTCAGTCGAAGATGACGAATTCGGCGTCACCAAGATTGTGGACCTCATTCCCAACGGTAGAGAAGTTGCGGTAACTGAGGATAACAAGCATGAGTACGTTCGTGTCGTGGTCGAGCATAAACTCCTATCTTCTGTCAAGGAGCAAATGGAGAACTTCTTGATGGGTAAGTTTTCATTCATTCAAGACGGTCGAATTAGTTGCGAGGACAAACGTAATCTAACTCTTTTCTTCTCTAGGTTTCCACGACATTATCCCTGCGGAGTTGATCTCCATCTTCAACGAGCAGGAGTTGGAACTACTGATTTCTGGTCTCCCGGACATTGACATTGACGATTGGAAAGCTAATACTGAGTATCACAACTACAACCCTTCTTCTCCACAGATCCAATGGTTCTGGAGAGCTGTCAGATCGTTTGACAAGGAAGAATTGGCCAAGTTGCTGCAATTTGTCACCGGTACTAGCAAGGTGCCTCTCAATGGATTCAAAGAGCTCGAAGGCATGAACGGCGTCAACCGTTTCAACATACATCGTGATTATGGAAACAAGGACCGCTTACCTTCCACACACACCTGCTTTAACCGTACGTTTATTACTGCCTAATCCACTTGCATTTACGCATAAAAAAATCAATGTACTGACAATTCTGATAGAACTTGACCTCCCCGAGTATGATAGTTACGATGTACTTCGTTCCCAAATCATCAAAGCCATTACTCAAGGCAGCGATTACTTCGGTTTCGCTTAATGTCCATACCAGGGAGGATGGTGTATTCTCAACAGAATGACGCATGCTTTTAGTACAAAGATATGAGTTCGTTCTCGTTGTTGTTCTTTTCGCTAGCATTTTATGACTGTAGTACATAGCATTTGGGATGATTAAGGGTGGGGACTTGAAAAGAAAACAAACGCATCACAAAAAAGAAAAAAAAAAAGGAAGGGGACGATGGTTTCCCGGTTTTAGATCTCGTCTTGTTGAAGAGAAGTGCAGATCTCTCTGGCATTGGCAAGATCTTACAGACACGGGATGACTGGAGGACAAGGGAAGGCTTTTGTTTGATAGGGGTGGTTAAAGACGTATTGCTTGCAAGTAGATTAGGACTGCCTAGGCTTAGAATTGGGCAAATACAATGGATTTGATGTATGGGTCTAATGTTCCTGAGTAAACATATACAGCGAAGCTTTAGAGCACTCTTGAGGTATATCAGTAGGAGAATATAGGTTTCGATAATCAGACATCGTAAATAGATTAGTGACCTTAACATCACTCCCCAGAAAAAACTAGGATATTGGCACGATTACACTGAGGTTCACGCAAGGGCACAAATGCTCGATCTGGATGGACATTGTCATTTTCACAAACGAAGAGAAGAAACAAGTATACGCGAAAAAGGTATCACAAGTTTTTTGTGTCATGAATGCATTGAAATATGTCAAAATGCTTCTAATGCATCCGTGGCAGGGGGGTAGGCTATATAAAATCTCAAGCCCGAGAGATCCTCACTCCCTATGCATGCAAACCACGGGGGACCGAAAGGGTATGATTGGAATTTGCCCTTTATTTTTTTTCCTCATTCATTATAAAAGAAATAAAACGCCGAATCCTTATTTGTGCATGGAAGAAGCACGACGCTTGCGGGCATCGGCCTTGTGGGCCTTGGCCTCGGCGACACGCTTGGCAAGGATCTGGGCGTACTCGTTCTATTTGGAGAGTGATGTTAGAATGCTGCTGTAAACTGGATTTTTTGAAGGAGTGAATAAGGGAAGTACTCACGGCCTCATCCTTGACCTTCTCGGCCTGGCGGCGCTTGAGAGCGAGACGGTGACGCTTGTGCTGCAGACGCTGGGGGGTAACCAGTCTCTGGATCTTGGGAGCCTTGGTGTAAGGCTTCTTGCCCTCGCCCTTGGGCTGGACCTCTCGTCGGATAACGTACTTGCGGACCTATTTGTTTCGCGGATGGTTTGGTTAGTTCCATTGCTTTCATATACTTTGGTTTTTAATCTCGGCACCGGGTCAAGCTCTTTTTTCTCCATGCTTCAAGAATTTCTTCTTTTTTTTTTTTTGAGAGCACAAAGGCAAAAAAGAAGCTTGCCCAGTATTTTCTTCTCACACTCTACCCGGACTGCCACAACCTCCACCGCAGCTCCTGGTAGGCGATGACCGAGTATGGGTGCAGGGTGAAACATACATCGTCATCCTTGGTGAGGTTGAAGAACTTGCGGATCTTGGTGGCGCGCTTGGGGCCGAGACGCTTAGGCTGGACGACGTCGGTCAGGCCGGGGATGTCACCCTCGCCCTGCTTGACGATGCTGAGGGCCAGGACGGACAGGTCCATGCCGACGATGCAGCCGCGGACGGACTTTCGCTTGCGCTCGCCGGTTCGTCGGGGGCGGTAGCAGGAGTGGCCGTCGGAGAGGAGCAGGCGGACACGGCTGGGGTGGAGGACACCCTGCTTCATGGGGAAACCCTGCTTGTCGTTTCCTCCGGTGATGCGGAAGATGTAGCCCTTGAACTCGTCGCCGACGGAGTCACCGGGGACCTCAGCACCCATCTATAAAACCCAGTATGTCAATTTTCACATTCCTTCCTTTGTTGGTATCAAACTGGAGGCCAGAGAGTGAAAAGTAAAAGTTTTCGATATCGAGTACGCAGATATTTGGTCGTCGATGATCGAAAAGAATTCCAGTTTCACACGTCTTTGCTCGTTGTTCGTAGGCGGTGGGGGGGGAAAAAAAAACGTACTCGCTTCTCCATGAAGATGGCGAGCTTGCGCTCATCTTCAATCTCGATGAGCTTCTGGCTGCCATTGGCAGGGTAGGAAATGTTCAACTATAAAAAAGAGTTGTCATGTCAGCAACCGGCGGTGATGTCTCAACTAGATTGAAATTGATGTCGAATAAAAAGATGTTGCTTTGTTTGCATCATCCGCATTGAGAGGACAGAGAGTTTTGGGGGAGGAAAGTATATGCCAAAACGTACCTTCATCTTGCCAGTGTTGTGGTGGTGCAAGTTTTGCTTGACCTGGCTCGCGTGAAGATGGCTTTTGGTGTTGAAGGAATGGGGAAAGGGCAAAGACGAAATTGGGGCGCGCAAAAAAAAAAGAGAAAATGTTGTGTGCGCTTTGCCTAGGGCTCCATTTTGGCGTGTGGGAGGTTAAGCTAGCCAATCAAAGCTCGGAGTGGGTTAGTGGGCGATGGAAAAGGTACGTACCTTGAGCTAGGCGATCTCAAGATCAAGCCGGTGAAAAGATATCCCGTCCGCCTTGGATGAAAGCGTTGCGGCTGGAGCTAGCGTCACTCTCTTGGAGCTTCATGCGGCGTTACCCCCACCACGATTGTTCTGAGGGTGGGGCAAGGCTCTCACTTACTCGCTGATCTCATGAAGCTTCACTTATTCTTTTGCTCACAGGCTTGGATACAATTATCAGACCAATCTTTCGCGGTGTATCTATTATCCGTTTATCATATAATTCTTTGAACTTAAGCAAACCTTTATTCATTCATTCCCAACTTTAATTTCTATACATTGCTTATCCTATCATGTCATCATCTACCGCAAAGCTATATCCTCCATCCAAGGAAGCCTCTTCCACAGCTCCCATCAATCCTCTTCCTACCCTCCTCCAAACTCCATCAGGCCTTGCCATACTAGAGCTCCAAGGAACCATCAACCTCCCTCAGGATTCCAATGGCGAGACTTTAAAAGACGTTGAGGCTGGCCGACTGGAGTTCCCAGACTATTCACCAGACGCCATCGGCACTGCCTGGATGAAGCGAGCCCACTTATATATCGGGCAGCATCAACGCTTACATGGCGAGGTGAAGAAGCTTCCCAAGGCGATTGCCGTGGTGAGGAAACGCCAAAACAAAATGCTACAGAGCTCTGCTGGGCCTTATATGGAGCAAGGGGATAACCTGGAGGTGGTCGAGATTGTCAAATACAAACTCATATTTACGACTCGGCCAGAACCTGTTGGAACGGCTCATGCGCCGGCTGCATGAGGGGATAAGAGAGTTTGAAAAGCAAGAACCTTTTCTTGGCGGGCTTTACAAAAATATTCGGATAATAACTTTTAATTCTTCATACAACGGCATGCTCTTACTTTTCCCTTGTTTCATATTAGACAGGTTCAACATACTACTAGTACCGGTATCTCGCTAAGCACAATGATCCATACCTAACTATCCAGTACGCCCGACTATCATTACCTTTGTGCTTAAAAATCTTAGATTTCGACTACAGATGAGCTTCATATACTCTCATCCTACTACATATTTATATATTTATCGGCTATCATATCCATAGATGATCCTGGCTTCCTTGATTCTCGCATTAACAGTTTGTCATGTCATGGAATGGAAATCATCGAAATCTCTAGGATCAGTCAGGAGGCAAAGCAGAAGCCGGCGTCATGAAAAAGTCTTCATATCAAGGATACTATGGACGAGGAATTCCACTCAATGCCAAACTCAGCCGTATCTACCAAGAATTACGACAAAAAGAAGGGCATCCAAAGTATACAGACTGCCAACAATTGGCCCTCTATCATCATTGACTCATCTATATAAAGTAATACAGTGTATATATGTCACTTTTGGCTTTTGAATAAAGAAAAAACATATCCAGTATACAGATGCCGCTCTGCCGTTGAAATCATGAGATGATACTCTAGAATCACACCGCAACACCCTCCAACGGCTTTGTCCTCCCTAGCCCATCTCTTCCATAATAATCCATCGGGTATATGCCATCACCGCCATCTTCCTTACCCCAACCACTTCTTTTGCCCAGCACCACCAGCGCCTCGTAAGGTGTGAGGAGCGGTCTCGGGAAAGCGTATCCCCAGTCGATACTTAGGCGCGGGCACGCCACCTGGACCCAGCACTCGACGTCGCTCATCATAGCCAGCTTTCCGGGAAAGATTTCGCTCAGGAGAAGGTCGACCTTGGGAATACCGCGCTCGGCCAGTTCGCGCTCGATGAGGGCCAGTGTATGTGGGTTTCCCTGACGACCGAGAGATCCGAGGATAAGGCCCCAGCGACGGGCCTTGCGGGCAGTCTGAATAGCTGAGCGCCGCACCGACTGCATCTCGTCGTGGCCGTACGTCTCCCGCGTCAGCTTGCGAGAATATGGGTCGTATCTATAAGCGGGGATGGAAGGGTTGTGGATCATGATGCTCTCGAGGTGGAAGCGTCCGTCACCAAGGTAGAGGATAAGGTCGATGCCGTCCTCATCCTGCAGTCGTGGCGACGTACAGCCCAGAATCTCGCCCTTGCTGAGAGGCCCAATCTGAGGCACAACGACGCTGAAGCCAGCGGCCTCGAGACTGCTCCGCACACCGTGGATGGTGGCATTGAACTGGATGGTGCCAACAATGGCAATGGTCTTGCCGCTGGCAAAGTTTCGCTCCAGCGAGTTCACCAGATGCGACGTATCGATGCTGATATCGACAAAGACATACAGCGTCTTAATCTTGGTCACGTCCACGGGGATCAAGCAGCTATGCGCATAATGCACCAGCAAATCGCACCCCAGCGCCCGCGCAGTGTAGTCGTCGATGCAGCAGGCGCCGTACGTCACATCACCCATGATGAGCGTCTCCACGCCGGGGCAGAACTGCGTTATGATGTCGGAAATGGTCGTCGCAAACAGGAGCAGACCCTCGGGCATCTGCAGCGCCACTTTCTTCGCGCCAGACTCGCGCACTCTGTGTATCGTCTTGGGGATCTCGAAGTTGTAGTTGGCTGGTAGCAGGGCGATGGCTTCCTTGATGCTGGGGTCTTCGGATATTTCTTTGGGCACTCTGTTGAGGAGTCGAGGGGCTCGTCGAGGCTTGGCGGCTACATTGTATGACTGTTAGAGGGGCAACAAAGCAACGGGTTGAAGCTTTTAATTGTTGATAGTTCCAGCATACCTTGAACGGCGCCACTGCCGCCCTCTTCCGTCGTTCCCTTTGCTGCCGCTGCTTCATCTGCTGCTCTTCTTCCTACAAACCGCCTCTTGGGCTGTCTTGTTGTGGGTGCCGCATTCTCAGTGGTCTCATTGCCTGTTTTGTGAACCTCGAGTTGAGATTCTTCGATATCTGCCGCTGCGCCGAGGCCGACGAGCGCCCTGTCGTCTTCCATCTCTTGAGTAATAGATGACTGGTATCCGTATTCCAACTTTTTTTTGTGGTCCCTCGCTGCCCCTCGTCACTTGTAATCGTGCTCCGGTGTCGTGTTTGGCGCGATAGGTACTTTAACGAGATTAAATCTTTCGATGTCGTGGTAAGTGAAATAGGGTATAGAATTGGCTTTTGCTTCGTCAAAGGCCGTTATGTCAAGATTTGGGGCTTGTAAGTGACAAAAGCTTTTGCGCGGTAGCTTGAAGGATGGAAGATGAAAAAGGTGGTGGGGTGATGCCGATAAGCGTCCCCGCAGTGGACTCTTGTCGGCATCTTGACAATACAAGGCCTCTGATTGAACGCATGTAAGTGCACATATCTTATAGATACCTACTCTGTACCGCCATCGAGCTTCTCTCGTCTTTACCAGAAATTACTCATAAACTTGTGATTTTATTAACTAGTAATTAAGGCTTCATCTGCATCCTGTTGTGCTCCCACCTCTTTCTCATGTCAAGCATTCTTGACCTCATCGACTCTTCTACTTGTCAATGCTGAATCTGTAACTCGCCTGGACAACATACGGAGCATCTCCAGGTCCCCAGATCTGCTTCCTTCCCCATTCCGGGTTGTTGATGCCGTCGATCCAGTCCTCCACTTCCATGACCAGACATCCGTATTGCGGGATCGTCCTTGGGAACTTCTTGTTGTTGTGCAGGCCCTGCGTCGTCTTCAGCGCCAGAGAGCCGTTCTGCCCGTTGCAGGTGTACACCTGGAAGGCATCCTGGTCGGAGTAGACGTCGAGGTGAATGCCCGACCAAGGAGAAGACAGACTGGCGACGGGGCCTTCGGTGCGCCAGTCAAAGTTGCCCAGCGCGCCGCGGTTGGTGATGTAGCAGGTATCTGTATTCTCGCTGTTAGTTCCATACAATGATTGAACAAGGAAACCCCCAAAGTGATATTGAGGCCTTACCAAAGCCGGTGCAGTTGTTGCCGCAGTTGTTCTTGATGCCGATCTGCTGGAAGCCCTTGCCCAGCTGCTTCGGCTCCGACCAAAAGTCATTCGCCGTGTTCTTCTTGTTCGCGACAATGTCGCCCGTCGGGATCAAGAAGCCGTCCACATCGACGCGCTGCCCGCCATAGGGCAGATGCAGCGTGTGGTTCAGCGCCGTCTGGGTCTGGTTGTTGGCGTAGCCGTCCAGGTTCCAGTACGTGTGGCTGCTGAGCATGATGGGCGTCTTCTTTGTCGTGGCCTGGGCCACCATGACAAAGTCCCACTGGTTCTCCTTCACGGTGTACGTGATGTGCGAGACGACCTCGCCGGGGAAGCCTTCTTTGCCGTCTGGATCGGTGATGCTGAAGGTGATGCTGGTGGGGGAATACGCCGTCACGGTAAAGTTGCGCCAGTCCCAGCCATCGGGTCCTCCGTGAAGAGTATCCGATCCGTTGGGCGCAGCCTTGGTGGGATTCTCATTGGGCAGGACATGGTATGCCTTGCCGTCAATGGTGAAGGTGCTGTTCTTGATGCGGTTGGCATAGCGGCCAGGCACGCCGCCAAAGTGCGGGTGCTGCTTGTCAATGCCGTAGTACGTCGCATTGTCGAAGCCGCCGACGAGGTCGCGCTGGATGCCATATCGATCGTTGATGAACAGGTTCGAGATGGACGCTCCGTAGGGGATGAAGGAAGCCTCAATGCCCTTTGCGCGGATCCAATACTTGCCGTTCTTGTCGGGGCCGTCTCCAGTGCTCGCCGCGCCGGACGCAAAGGGAATGGCAGAGGCGGCGGCCAGAGCAGCCAATGAATTGCTCGTCAACTTCATGGCGTTGATATCTTTGGGCTTTTGCTTTCTCCTTGAATCGAATCAATTCAACACGAGTCAATCAATCAGAGACAAGTCAAAACGGCGCAATATATGGGAACAAGCTCTTCGCCCTGCAGGACAAGCGTCTAAGACAGAGACGAAAGGACAAGAGGAAGGCCGAGACATTCTACCGGCTGGGGAGGGCCAAACCTCCTGTATTTAACCATGTTCAAGCATGCTCGCCCAACCCAGCTCTCGCCGCAATGTTACTTCGCGCAGCAGCATCTCGTGTTACCCGGCCTGTCGTCCATCCACATGACGCACCGCTGTAGGTCCCGGCCAACCTCTCCGCGTCCACAACAGGCAACGGATGGCGATGATCAGAGACGCTTGGGAGGGGTACCCCGTAGAATTGCATGAATCAACTGGCAATCTCGGCCCGGATCACCTGCTGGCGCTGCTGCAATGGGGGAGACAAGAGCAGCGACAAGTAAAAAAAACCAGCTAGAGAATGCGGAGAGTGGGCGAAGGATCGTGGGCATTTTCCGGGGTTGGGCGAGGCTGGTGGTAATGCATGATGTGATGTCACCTCGCCATACTATTCGGATATAATGGCCCCCTTTTTTTCGTTTCTTTTGCTGAGCTTTTGTTTGATCAGACCTGCAATGAGCAATGGCTTTTATGATAATTGTTCATGTCTCTCCATACCTGTAATTATCGATAGGCTCACGCATCAACCATCACCAGCAACTCGTAGATGGATCTGACAGGTACCCAAAAGCCGACCCAGGCCCACAACAGGTACATGCACTCATCGTCTTACCGACAATCCACAACATCCCCAGTGCGGAGAACCAAAGACTAAAAAACATGCACCCCTGAACAGCATCTCAAACATCACTGGCACGGCTATAACACAAGATGGCTTCATTTTCTTCCCAACAACAAATACCTACTAACACAAGCAAAAGTGCTAAGTCAATAAAAGTGCCCCCCCAAAAGTGCCCCAAGAGATCCTGCAAGGCTACATGTAGCTAGTAGCATCTTCGTTTCTCCCATGCCTTTTTTCCCCCTTCCAACTCTTAGTGTGCCTAAGCGCTCCAATCGCTACGAGTCCCGGCCGACAAAATTAATCTGCACGGCATGGGAATCCCGAAATGGCAACAAACACGCAACAGAATGCGAAATTCGGCTTGGTTGGTTAGATAATCATCAACGGGCGATTGGCAATTCCCCAAGTTGTTAAAACACGGCTTAGCCTAACGCGGTAGATCGGAAAAGGTTCGTTTTAGCCTTGTGTTTATGCTACACATTAGGTATCTCTTGGCGATTGTTCCACAAAACGCTTTGTATGAAACCCACTTCTATCAAATGTCAAACTCTTTCATTCACCGAGACATCATCCAAGCTCGAAGAATCCAAATAAGCATATTTTATCACTATCTTTTCACGTACATGTAACTACTAAGCTACGAGTCTGTTAAGCAATAAAAGAAAAAAAAAACCAGTGTACTACTCTGCAGATTTCACAAGCACTAAAGCGATAGAGTACATAATAGATTTCTTCAGTCATAGTCAATCAAATTCTAATTTAGGTAAATGAGCCAGTCATACTACCTATCTGTATACATACATATACTCCAAAGATAAATCTCATTATATACTCCGGCGTGTAGAAAAGAAGCAAAGAAAAAAAAAACCATTTAAATACAACAAAGAATCGAAAGTCGTCAGCATCAAAAGTCGTCAAGCATTAAAAGTCATGTTTTCGTTATATAACACACTCTTCCTTCTCATGAAAAGAGAGCAAGGAAAAGCAAAGGCAGAAGAGGATTCAATCTGTTGACTCGTCTTCTTTTACTGGCAAGAACTCCAGTACTGCCCCCCGTAAACGCATTTGAATGGGGACTGACACTGGGTAGAACCAGTGTAACCCTCACCGCCGCACTATCATCACACAAACAGTTAGCAAGAATGCTTCTCTTACATGAGTTATAAAAGGAGAAGGATTTCATCTTACCTGTCCCCACTGGGCAACGCCACCGCCGGTTCCAGAGCTACTAGAGACATGAGAAGAAGAATTATCCGGGAGAATAGAAGCAGGAGAAGTCGAAGCCGGGGGAGGATAAACAGCAGAAGAAGTAGCTGGAGGGAAAGAGGGAGAAGCCGGAGCAGAGAAAGTCGGAGCATTAGGAAAAGCAACAGAATCAGGCACGTCGGGAGTGTTCGGGCAAGTTTTGCCGGTCGTGAGAATGCTCTTGACCTGCTGAGCATAGGTGCAGTCGGCGATGATGTTCAGGTCAGACCAATGGGCGTCCCAGAGCATCACACCACCAAAATATGGTTCTGATTTGAGGCTCTTGATGAGGGTAGCCAGATGCGAGGGTCCAACGTAGCCGCCCGAGGGCGCGGCTCTGTCTGAGGCAGGGGCACCGACGAAGATCTTCGCGTTGTTGGACTTGGAGGAGGAGGTGCGTTGATTCCATGTGTCCCAGTTGATGGAGGCGTTGCCGGGAATATTAAGAGAGCATTGCTTGGGGTTGTTGTAGAACTGGACGAAGAGGTAATCGAAGACGGAGTTTTGGATGGCGTCGTCCAAGCTCGCATCAGGGCTGACGCACTGGGGAGCAGCGGTGATGTAGTACTTCCTGCTCTTGTCCTTGTCGGAGTTGGTGCGCAGTTGATTGACCAGGTCCGGGTACCACTGCCTGCCTGCAGGGTCCGTGTCGGAGGAGTGCTCGAGATCAAAGTCCCAGCCGTCGACGACGGCATCGCCAAAAGGACGCTTGACAGCGGGATTGCCGCCTTTGCCGTACGCATCCCAGAGGTATTGGCCAATCTTCTCGGCCTGGGACTGGGACGTGAGAGTGTAACTTCCGCCGGCACCACCGAGAGAAACAATGATCTTCTTACCAGCGCTCTGGCAACCCTTGATCTGGGAGGCTAGGTTAGAGCATTCCGCAGTAGGAATACCATTCTGGTCGATAGAGCAGCCGATGTTGCCAAACCTGCCAGAAGGGATGTCGCCACTGACCCCCCAGGAGTTCAAGAAGGACAGGACCAGGATGTCAATGCCCGTCTTGGGTTTGCAGTACTCAGAGAGGGGTGTCATCCCCTCAGAACCCCCCCAGTAGACGACATTCTGGGCACCAGAAGTTTGATCATCTGCTTTCGTTTTGGCGGGAGCAGCGGCAGCGAGGCCGGCGAGACCGAGGCCAGCAAGGAGAGCGTGGTAAAGCATCATGAAAATTGTTTATACAATTCAATTCCGAGGAACGAAGAAAACGATTGGATAAAAGTTGGATAAAAGCTGTGTGTATGTATAAAAAGCTGGAAAAAAAATTTGTATGAATGTATATATATATATACAGATGAATGGTAAGCCAGTTACCAATGTCCGAGTCGGTTGAAGAAAGAGAGTGAAGAAAAAGGAATGTAGTGTATAACCAGTATACTTGAAGTCTTTGCGTGAGGATGAAGAGAAAAAAGGGATTGTCCATCTCGAGGAAGACTGTCAGTATATATATGTGTAACCAACGGAAACGTCAAAACTCATCTTGTGGGGGCGCCATCACCAGCAACACAAAAAGGAAGAAAAAGGCCCGCTTGAACACCACCAACCGGAACGGCATTCACTCCTTTACGGCTTGGGGGGAGGGGCGCACATGGAGAACACATTCCCTGCACAAGAGCTGAACGCCAAAAGCTGATGTGAACAGGACTAGGAAACAATAACCCGATGGATATGGGCGAATGGTGTTATTCGCTTCACCTGCTCCACTCCTCAAGGGAACAAGGGAGGGCTCCCAGATGGGCTAATCAGAGCTTGCCATTTGCAGCCTCGTGAGATGCCGCTCCACGTTTTGTGCCGTGTACAGTACCACGCAGCCCGGAACAAGATGCAGAGATGAAAGCTAGCATGGCATGACAAGAGGCAGCCAAAGGCTCAGGAACCGCATCTAGAGCGCATGGGCTGCTGTTCGCATATTGGCCAGCTAACCGCTGAAAGCACGTCCCTTTTAGGCAGGTCCGTGGGCGCCATTGGCACCCATGCCCCGCGTTAGCGCTTCGTGGCGTCTAATCAGAAACGCCTGTCGAGCCTGACATGGATGGGGCTGAAACACTGAAACAACTTGATCCCCGGGCATATTCAGGCACCACGAGCATGTGTTCAGCCATTACTTTCTTCTTTTCCCCTCGTTTTCTGATGTATCAGTAATCTCATCTTCCATGTCTTTGACGTGAGGCTTTCTAGGTATGCATGTGTCACAAAATACAACGTGAACGTTCCTGCGCTAGCGCCCGTGAGGGACCTGTGCTGAGAATGACATGGCGCTGTTTGCTTACCTGCTACAAACAAACACCAAAATATCTACCAGACCGTTGGCAAGTTTGCTATAGAGGCTAACATCGTGGCTACTGCGAGTACCTACTCTGAGAGATTGCAATTCAGAAATCTACCTGTATTCATCTCTTCGAACAAATTATTTCTCCTCATCGTTTCAGCAGCTTGTATTTCCATGTATTCTCTTTACTAGATTCTGAAGCACAATTAAATCATCTTCTTAGCTATATTTGATGCACCAAGCCCTTTTCTAGACATCATCTCGATAGATCCATCAGGCCGCACATCGGGCCGCCAAGAAGAGGTAGGGCTGAAGTCTGATACATCCTGCACGGCGCACCACGCAAAGCCTCATCAAGCCACGGGCGTGTTTCACACGGCTATTGGACCGTGAGCCATCTGATCTAATTCAAGGGACCTCCGTTACCCAATGCGCTAATGTGTCGTGGCGGGCTTGAGGCTGAGATGGATAGAGTCAACTATCAAATCATTGTCATATCATCGCGTTCCGTCTTCAGCTCACTCTCTAATGAAATAATTTGATTTGACATTTACTCTGCTGCCTATATTCACGCTACAACCCTTCATCCGTAACCATGCCAGATTGCTCGCCCACTTCCAGCGCAGTCGTAAAAACCAAACAAAGAAAATAAACGTACTAAACAGCTCCTGCAGCTCGAGACTTGCACTTCAACCACAAATATTATCACACACTTCCAAGCCAACTATTTATAAGCTCTCATCTCCACTCGCCCAAAGGAAAAGAACAAGACGATCCATCAAGGGCGTCTCTATGCGTCAATCAGGTTCTCCTCAGCCTGTTGTCTGTCGTTGGAAGCAACCTCGGCTCGCGCCTTGCCCTTGGCCTTGGAGTCCTTCTGGGATCGCTGGTAGAACTCGTTGAGAACCTTGGCGGGGATACGGTTGAGCAGGTCCTTGGGGTAGATTCGGAGCAGGCTCCAAGCTAGGTCTAGTGACTCGTAAATTGTTCGGGACTCGTAGGCACCTTGGCTGATGAATTGGCGCTCAAACTTGTCCAAGAACTCGAGTGAAAGCTTATCCTCGGAGGAAAGCGCCTCCTCACCGACGACAGCCTTCATGGCGGCGGCATCACGACCAATGGCATACTTGGCATACAGCTGGTTGGACACATCACCGTGGTCCTTGCGAGTCATACCCTCACCAATGGCAGACTTCATCAAACGTGACAGCGAAGGAAGCACGTTGATGGGTGGGTAGATGCCACGGTTGTAAAGAGGTCGGTCGACGAAAATCTGTCCCTCGGTAATATATCCCGTCAAATCGGGGATGGGATGCGTGATGTCGTCGTTGGGCATAGTCAGAATGGGAATCTGGGTGATGGAGCCATTTCGTCCCGTCACACGGCCAGCTCGTTCGTAGATGGTCGACAAATCAGTGTACATGTAACCGGGGAAACCACGACGACCAGGGACTTCTTCTCGAGCAGCGGAAACCTCACGAAGAGCATCACAGTAGGCCGACAAGTCTGTCAGAATGACCAGGACGTGCTTCTCAAGCTGGTAGGCGTAGTACTCGGCTGTTGTAAGGGCAAGACGAGGAGTGATGATACGCTCGATGCTATCGCAATGTCAGCTAGGAATCCCAGTATACCTATGGTGATAGAAAAGAAAGTCCTTACGTAGGATCGTTAGCCAAGTTGAGGAAAAGTGTGGTACGTTCCAGACTGCCATTTTCTTCGAAATCGCGGGTAAAGAATCGAGCAGTCTCCAAGTTGACACCCATGGCACCAAACACAATGGAGAAGTTCTCCTCGTGGCCGTCGTGAACTCCCTTGTTGGTGATGCCCTTCTGCTTGACCAAGCCAGCCTGTCGGCAAATTTGAGCAGCGATTTCGTTGTGTGGCAGACCAGAAGCTGAGAAAATGGGAATCTTTTGTCCTCGGGCGATCGAGTTCATGGTGTCGATGGCTGAAATACCGGTCGCAATCATTTCCTCGGGGTATTCCTAAAGCTTTGTTAGTCCACACGAGTTCCGTTCGGGATACGAGCATAGATAGCGGCAACTCACTCGGGAGAAGGGGTTGATAGGACTGCCGTTGATGTCGAGATACTCTTCTGGCAGCACCTTGGGGCCCTTGTCGATGGCTCGTCCAGATCCGTCAAAGATACGGCCAAGCATGTCCTCTGAGACACCAAGCTTGAGGTTCTGACCGGTAAACTTGACACGAGTCTAGATATCACACAAGCATGATTAGCCATTATTCATTCAGCAATTGATTGCCGCTTCCACGTACCTTCTTCACATCGATACCAGGAGTGCCCTCAAAGACTTGGACAACAGCTCGGTCACCTGTCTCTCAGTTAGAACCCCATTCCAGGTAGGCATTCGCAACGCCATGCTCATATATGTATATCGTAAAGAGCCATCACACACCTCGAGCTTCCAGAACCTGACCGTTCCTCTCCGTACCGTCGGGCAGCGTAAGTGTAACAATCTCATTGTATCGCGGGAATTTGACCTAGGTTGCAATCGACTCGTTAGCACCTCCACCTAGCCAAGCATTGTGTATTCCACTCGATGCCGCTGCGCCGCGCAGCAAAGGGACTGAATCAAAAGGAAGCTGAAGTGATGGGATAGATGGCATACATTCTCAACAATAACGAGGGGACCGTTGACACCGCTCACGGTGTTATACTGCAGTTGTGGCACAACCGAGTAAGATGACGAATTGCGTGGGTCCGCCATTGCTGCGAATTCGATGTTGCTGCGCTTCGTCTAGTGTCTTGCGCTTCCGTGTATAGCAGCCTCGAGCTCTGCCGTCTGTAATCACCGCTCTGTCGTTTCTCCGTATGCAGTCACTGCACAATAGTACGAGTCGTAGTCGGGGATATTAGAAGGAGCGTCAACAAGGACAGATCGATTGGGCGAGCCAGGAGGCAATAAAAAGAGGTCAAGATGCGGGGCACTCAAGTACCGAAGCAGAACCACCAAGCACAGACCCGATGCCTCAGCAGTGTCTGGAATATGGACGAGAGGGGGAGAGAGCGCGCGGAGGATGAAGCCAAGATGGAGATCAAAGATTCGGAGTCGGAGAGGAAGAGAAGGCTGGAAGCGAAGCAGCTCGGACGAAGTGGGGACGCAGAGGCGCCTTGAATGCTTTACCGGTTTGAGCAGCGATTTTAGTGAGCGTAATTAGTGCTGTTCGCCGCCGCAGCCTTCTGTAACGTGCGCTGCGCAAAAAAAGTAGACCCCACGCCGAGGGCCTCTTTGTCACCTGGAGTCAAGATTTGGACAGCGAGAAAAGAAGGTCCTTGGCAGGAGGATGGCCGTGACATCACATGACATGTGAACTGTATTTTTTGTTGCTAGGCGATGCCATTCCCGGTATGAGGAGGTGATGCTGTTTTAAAATTATATAGTACTTTCATAGAGTTAAAGCTGTAATTTTTCTTCCGCCATGATTGGCTTGTGCAGACATGGAAGCATCATCTTGGTAGCCATTGGACAATACCAGACAAGCTGCAGAAGCTGTAGCTGTGGAAGCTACCCCTCCAAGCGGCATCTTCAATTAACAGGGTAAGCTCGGCCCTCAATTAATACCTACATGTAGACATGGCGATGCGCCTGTATCTAGATGATCGCGAATCCAATGCAACGAGAATATCGCTGACACATGTATTTGATTTACGTTTTACATATCAACTGTCACGCCTTTAAGCTACATTACCTTTGGATCGTGCCCCCTATGCCTTTACAGCTTCAGCCGCCGCCGCCTCAGTACTCTTCCTCAACCTCGCCCCCAAAACCGCCTTTCCCACCGAACTATCATTCCCCTTGCCCAGCTCCTGCGTGATCCAAGCCCCAATATCCGTCACCGCATCCAAATCAACCCCCGTCTCCATCCCCAGCGTCTCCATAAAGTACACCATGTTCTCCGTCGCGACATTGCCCGTCGCGCCGGGGCTGTAGGGACACCCGCCCAGCCCGCCCACGCTGCTGTCAAACGTCCGGATGCCGTGCTCCAGCGACACGGCCGTGTTGACCAGCGCCTGGCCGTAGGTGTCGTGGAAGTGCATCGCGACGTCCTCGGTGCGGATGCCCGCCGAGGCCATGCACTTGAGCAGCGCGCTCGTCCGCGGCGCGGTGCCCATGCCGGTGGTGTCGCCGAGCGAGATCTCGTCCGCGCCGGACTCGAGAAGGTCGGTGGCGATCTCGGCTACTTTGTGAGGGTCGACGTCGAAGCCTTCAAACGGGCAGCCCAGGACGACGGAGACGTAAGCCCGAACGCGGAGTCCCAGGGCCTTGGAGTCCTGGATGACGGCCTTGAAGCGCTCTAGCGATGTCTTGATGTCGCAGTTTAGGTTCTTCTGCGAAAAGGACTCTGTAGCAGCCGCAAAGACGGCCACTTCCACTGCCGGCTTTGTAACATCAGGGTCTAGCTGCGTAGCAAATCTTCCCGGGTTCTGCTTAAGCAGCTTCTCTGCGTTCTGCAAGCCCTTTGTATTCGGTGCGAGGAAAGAGTAGGTAATCGGAACGGGAGCCTCAATCTTTTGCTGTAAGATGTACTCCAGGATCTCGTTTGAGTTTGCCATCTGCATCACTTGAAGTCAGTCTTTCCTCTTCTTCATTTAATCGAGGGTGCGTTCCCTTACCTGAGGCACCCATTTCGGCGCAACAAAGGAACCAGCCTCGATGCTCGTCAATCCCGTCTTGGCCAACCGCTCAATCAACTCAATCTTGGTCGCCAGCGGAATGACCTTCTTCTCGTTCTGCAGTCCGTCTCGCGCGCCGACCTCGACTATCCTGACTCGGTTGTCGGATGACGTCTGTGCTCGGCTGGCCGTAGCGAACCCTCTGTGCACGTACAGCGGTGCAGAGCGCCTGCACGCCCGGCAAATGGACGAACGGAGGAGCGACATGGTGGATTATGATGTTTAGAGAAAAAGAAGACTGGTTGAGAGAGGCAGAATTCGCCAACTTCTTGTGGCTAAGGAGGTATCGCTATGCAGTTTAGAGCAGCCGTTTGGTTTAGTCGCAGCGGGCGGCGATTGTCGCGTAGTATCGGCCCGTGGCACCACCCCGGACGGCTATTGCAGCCGGGGGAGACGCCCTCCGCAATCCTCGGCTTAAAAAGGAGCGCCTGTTTTGAAGAGGACGCACCAGTGCAGACTCGGACCGCGGACTAATTAAACAACACCTGAATACAGCCTTGCCAAGCAATTGAGAATGATAAAACTTTACTACAGTGCTTCGGGAATATATTTTCAGCGCCATATCATATCGGGGCTGTCTAGGTATCAAAGTTGTATAGTGCAATATCACGACATTACTTGGGCTCTTGCATAGACTTGGTAGATTAACCGCCTTCTTATACACCAATTCGAATAAACTCTTATAGATAACAGCGTCTGTTGGCTTCTTTCCATTTACAGATTTGCTTTTTAACATTAAAAACTGAGGCTCGCGACCTAATAAAGAAAATACACCCCCTGTCCAAGAAGCCACGGGGGCGGGATTAGGTGGTACCGATTTTGACAGTCCATACCCTCAATATCCATGACTCCAACAGCAAAAAGAAAAATCAAACTTAGTACTCAGCCTCCATCTCCTCGTTCTCGAGAGAGTCGGCAGCAACCTCCTCGTAATCGCGCTCCAGGGCAGCGAGATCCTCACGGGCCTCAGAGAATTCACCTTCCTCCATACCCTCACCAACGTACCAGTGAACAAAGGCGCGCTTGGAGTGCATGAGATCGAACTTGAGGGACAGGGATGACCAGGCCTCGGCAATGGCGGTGGTGTTGGACAGCATGCAGCTATAGTAATGTTAGATTGGAATCACTTTGGACAATTTGATGGAAGAAAAAACTTACACAGCACGGTTGACCTTGGCGAGATCGCCGTTGGGAACGTTCTCGGGAGCCTGGTAGCAGATACCGAGCTTGAAACCAGTGGGGCACCAGTCGACGAACTGGATGGTGCGCTTGGTCTTGAGGGTGGCGACGGCGTTGTGGGCGTCGTTGGGGACGACATCACCACGGTACAGCAGACAGGTGGCCATGTATTTGCCGTTGCGGGGGTCGCACTTGACCATCTGGTTGTTGGGCTCGAAGCAAGACATGGTCATCTCCTGGACGGAGTTGGCCTCGTGGGCGGCCTTGGCAGCAGAGATGACGGGAGCGTAAGCGACCAGAGGGAAGTGAATACGAGGGTAGGGGACCAGGTTGGTCTGGAACTCGTTGAGATCAACGTTGAGGGAACCATCGAAACGCAGGGAAGCGGTGATGGAAGAAACGACTGCATCAATGTTAGCCATGCCCGCTCATTTCGATCTCTCGCAAGACTATCAAAATGGCGGATCCAACTTACCCTGAGCAATCAGGCGGTTAAGGTTCTCGTAGTTGGGGCGCTCGAGGCCGAGGTTGCGGCGGCAAATGTCATAAATGGCCTCGTTGTCGACCATGAAGGAGCAATCAGAGTGCTCCAGGGTGGTGTGGGTGGTCAGGATTGAGTTGTAGGGCTCAACGACAGAGGTGGCAGTCTGGGGAGCAGGGTAGACGCAGAACTCGAGCTTGCTCTTCTTGCCGTAGTCGACGGACAGACGCTCCATCAGGAGAGCTCCGAAACCAGAGCCGGTACCACCACCGAAGGAGTGGAAGACGAGGAAGCCCTGAAGACCAACGCAGTTGTCGGCAACACGTCGGATCTTGTCGAGAACGCCCTCAATCAGCTCCTTGCCGACTGTGTAGTGACCACGGGCGTAGTTGTTGGAAGCATCCTCCTTGCCGGTGATCATCATCTCCGGGTGGAAAAGGTTGCGGTAGGTACCGGTTCGGACCTCGTCGACGACATTGGGCTCCAAGTCGCAGTAGATGGCACGGGGAACGTACTTGCCCTGGCCTGTTGGAAGCAGGTTAGAGGTGACATATTCCTGACGGCTGGCGAAGACACGGTAATCGTAAACATACCAGTCTCGGAGAAGAAGGTGCTGAAACCCTGATCGGGGTCCTGAGCCTTGCGCTCCTCAGTGAGGTAACCATCGGGCTGTAAAGCAGAGAAAAAGAGACGTTATTAGCTTCGTGTTTTTTTGGGGCGTGTGCGAGAGATTTATAAACAATGGCCCAAGGGCCGCAGAACGTGGGTGGTAATGTACCTGGATACCGTGCTCGAGGCAGTAAAGCTGGAGGAGAGGAAAACGTTAGCCTAGATGCCCAAGAAACAACAACAAATCACACGAGTGCCAATGGCAGAGCAACTCACCTCCCAGCAGGAATTGGCAATCTGGCAACCAGCCTGGCCGACTATCCTCCAAAAGTTAGCATCGTCAGTCAAACTCGTGGCTTTGGGCGCCCACGATGCGGTGAAGCGACGCGTTTGTTTGGTGGGGAGAGGGGGGCCTAAAGGGGCTTCCCTTCGGGTCGAGCTAGCACGCACCGTTGATGCTGATAACCTCACGCATGGTGAATGCTGTTTCTGTGATGTGTGGACGGTTGAGACGAAGTAGTAGGAATAGGGAATGAGTGCAAGATTGAGCCCGGGGAAAGCAAAAGAAAAAAGGCTTTTATTACGGGGTTCCAGAGGGAAGAGGTGAAAAGGACAGGAGGATGGAGAACTTGCAGCTGGTTCGTAGAAACGAGGTGGGGGGGAAATTTGGACGGACAGGGGGGGCAGCACCAGGAAGAGCGCAGAGGAGGAGGGGAGGTTTGTTGACTTTTTTTTCTGCTGGACGGGGGGTCCAGGCGTGGCTGGAAGAGGTAAGCGCGTCTGCGAGTTGAGCCCCCTGGTCGCCTCACCGCTCTAGGCGGGCAGCGGATTATTACAGCAGTATATTGCCGAGATTAAAACTGGCAGTTGAACTGAAGCCATGCGTGCTCTAACACGGCTGCTCTGTCACAAAGAAGCAGAAGGCGCTGGATTGTTGCTACTGTAGCAGACACGCAGATGCAAAATGTAAACAGTGTACCAGTTGCCATCGCGAGTGTAAACACTACTGGGCGGCTAATCCGTCACCAGGCAAGCTAACACCAGACAGCTTGGGTGCCACAGCTTAGTACCTGAAGCCAGACAGCTCTGTGCCTGTTGGCAAAAGGCACGGCTCAGCAGCGTGGTGCCCAAAAGGGGGTCTAGGAGGTACTGTGTACATTGGACTCTGTACGCCGGATGGCCGATGGGTGACATCTCCTTCAACAACATGAATACAGGTTCAACCATCAGCCAACATTCGGGTCATCTCTGGTGATGGAGAGCCATTGCACCACCTAGACTACTCCAGCACCTTTATATAGACTCTCAAAGACTCATGCTAGCATCCATCTGCTCTGCATCGCCATGTCCACCACATCGTGCACGCGTCTCACTAGCCCAGCCAGCCAGCCGCCACGACTTGCCACCATCGCCGCCTAACCAAAAGCCGGGTAGCGGGCGATCGAATCCAGGAGCTGGCTTGATCAAGCACAGGTACCGTGTACATGCGCGGAGCTAGCCCCTCCCTCGCAGCTGTCTTGGGAAAGGGCCCGCTGAGCACCGCTATCGCCTCAATTACCAAGCAGAGCGGGTAGAGGAGAGCGAATGCGACTACGAAGTGCTATTTGGTATCAGAATGAATACCATTAGGAGGCGGTATCTTGCACCATAAAGGGGACTCAAAAGCCGCAATACCAAGTGTAGATACAATACACAGACGAGATAAATGCAGCCAATTATTTTTTTCTTCCACAATCGTACCGTTTGTCTTATCCAACATCCCACATCTCCATCATATCTTCTCCTTTTCCAAGAGACTCCTGCTTGGCCAACCCACTCCCGTCTCGGAACGCTATTGATTAATGCCTGTAGCCGAATTACTACTAACTGCACGCAAACATACTGTACAGAAAGAAGCCAATATGTGCCACCATGTCTGTTTTCTGAATAAATAGCACCGCATTTCCCGGCATCTTCCCTGACCACCGGCTTCCCCCTTAGCCTCTCTTCCCCCAAACTCGGCATAACCCCCTATAAACTCTTCTCCCAGCCCTCTGGATAGCTCGCTGAAAGTCCCCCTCCCTTTGCGACCAGGGCCCTCCCGAATCGATGGGTTCGCCCAGACTTGCCAGCACAGCTCTCCACTGTAAATGTGGTCAAGTGCTCTGTGCTGGCCCGGCCATGACAGGGAAGCCCCATAATGTCACAACTAGCCTCCTGACGCCCCGGCGATCGCTGTGGTGCGTTATTGCGACTACAAGTCCATTGAGCTTGACACATGTTATCTCAGCTCTATATATCCATCGCCACTTGTCGAAAATACTCACTACACGTAGTGCAAGACCAACGAGTAATAGCTGTAAAGGCAAAAGTTCTACCAAAGCAGGAGCCTTCCGCCTAGTATCGCGTACTACACGTGGGGATTCCAGAAGCCCATCGGAACGATATTGGAGCCAGGATAAGCAGGTCGGCTAGACCTTTTACGACCCCATGCCTTTTGACAGAAAAGGAGTAGATGTCATTGTCTATATTACCCGGAATTATTCATCAACGACGTAGTACTTGTCTGCACAAAAGGGTCGGCCAGTCCCGTGATGAACTCACGCTGCTTGACGAAAATACCGAATTGAAATCCATGGTACTCAAATATTAATCGGGGAATGATGATCATCCAGAGCCAAATTTCCCACATCGCTAGCTAGCTCACTCGATGAGCGCCTATAGGATTTAATGCTGCAGTTGAATTAGTAGATGGACAGAGTCTTTGTTGTAAGCTTGTCTGAGCCGTCGTTGGAATCAAGTTTTGTTCTCGAGCTGGATTTCCCAACATGTTGCAGAACTGTAGATGACTAAATACCACCGCACGTCTAATTAAAGTTAACTTGTGTTTCCAAATTATTATCAAGACAACTTATGAGACTTTCCCAATTGATTCATCGCTGTTTGTGATAATCATGGATTTTTTACTGTTCATCACAGGGTACTTTGAGCACGTACCTCGTACCGCTAGCAAACCACAGCCAGCCAATGACAAGCGCGCGCTGCCGCCACTATCCAGATCCCGTAACCGTAACCACAAGCTTCGCGATCCAGTGAACGGCATCTTCATCTCAGCCTGACCATGGCTAATTGAGCTCTAAATCAACACTCCAATCTCAAATTTCTTCATCTGAACAACTTCAACTGAGACAAATCTCATTCATCCACCCAAACAACAAACTGCAGTACCGCAAAGAAAAAAAAAAAAAAAACTCAACACGCCGAAACAATGCCCTCCCTCAAGCCGCCTCATCGCCGCCATCCTCACCAATCCTCCTCCATCTCCCTCCTCCTCCTCCCATTCCTTTCTCTCGTCTCACCAACCTACGCCAACACCGAAAAAGCAATCTTCACGGGCCCCGAACCCATCACGCTCTCCAATATCCCTTCAGCCCTAAAAGACCAGAACATTCCCGTCCTCGGCCCATCCACCCGCTGGTCTATACGCACCAACCTCACTCGCGTCTTTCCCCTCTCTCAGGAAGAAACAGAGCAAGAAGAGCAAGGATACCCATCATGGCTGCTGCTTGATAACCTCACGCCAGGTCAGCGCTATGAGCTTCGCGTTTGCTGGTCCGCACTTGTAAGTATCTGCTGCATTTTCTCCCTTGAAGAATTACCAAAAGCTCGTATCATATGCCATGTACACTATATATGACTCCTCTGTCTATCCTCGCCACAAAACTATTTATCGGGGAAAAAAAAAAAGTGTATCATATACTCACATCTCCAAGCAACCAACCGCCTTCACCCTAGACACCTACACCCTCTCCACCATCTTCTCAACGCCATCCCTCCTCCAGTCTCTCACTCAACACGCCACAACCTCGACCCAACAGCAAATCGTCGATGAAGAAACAGAAACCCATCAACAAAAATCATCAAACTACTCCCTAACTGCAGTAAATGGCTCATCCGTCCTTCTACTACGAGTCCTTGCCGCCGCAGACTACTTCTCCCACCACTCATCGCTCATGAAGGATCCTCCCCCGGTACTGGTCGACCTCATTCTGGACCCGTATCTCTACAACGTCTTGCCTCAGTCGTTGGTCCCGACAGTGGGCTATATTGTTGTCATTAGCATCGTTTCATGGTTCGTAGCGCGCTGGGTCTCTAATTCTTTGGTTTCTGTTGCTAGCTCTGGCGATGATGATCAGGTAAAGAAGCAAAATTAAGATGGAATTTCATATACAATAATGATGACAACAATAATAATCTAATAATACCTAGTAATAATAAAAACAATGATTAAGATTGTTTCCCTGTATAATAGTACAAAGACTTTAATCTCGTCTCTTATCAACCTCCGAATCCTCGGCAGCAAATTGTTACCCAATTCCGCTGTCACATATTACACGGTCGACATGCTCGCTTTAAACACATCACAACACAATCTCTCCTACATATCGTTGCCAGCGCGAGGGAAAAAAAAACATGAATATAAAAAACAAGCACCGGATATGCCTCCCTATCTACACAGATGCTATCGAAATTCTACTACTTAGTGTGCCCGTACCATGTGTTAATTTTCAAGTCCATCGCTTCTCCAGTCACACCACCACATGCGTACGGGAAAATTATAGATCCAACTTTCTGTTGGCCAACAAATGACGCTAGTCAAACACGGCAAGTATTCATTCTCGTTTGAAAACCATAGTCAATGGGTCGGCTCAAAGATGTATGCCTCATTGTGAGAACAAATGCCAGGCGCTTCTTAGTAACCGCTACCATATCCTCCGTGGCTCGGGTGGCTGCCATGAGGCACAGGAGGAGCGCCATGTTGATGAGAAGCACCCGATTGATGAGGAGCACCTGGCTGGTAAGGTTGCTGGCCATACGGCTGCTGACCACTCGGTGTACCATATGATGGGTTGTAACCACCGCTACCAGGAGTGGGTGGATACTGCTGCGGAGGTCCACCGGGCGGAGGAGGGTATTGCTGGTGTTGTCCGGGCGGAGGAGGATACTGCTGTTGCTGTCCCGGAGGAGGGGGGTATTGTTGGTGCTGCTGTCCCGGAGGAGGAGGGAATTGCGGCGAATGCTGGCCCTGTGGCTGGTATGGTGGATGGCCACCCGGCGTTGAAGCACCGTAATTCTGTTGATGTTGCCCTCCGGGAGGGGCTCCATAGCCTGGCTGGTGTTGTCCTGGTGGAGCTCCATAGTTGGGCTGTTGTCCACCATGCTGTCCGCCTGGTGAGGGAGCACCGTATCCCTGCTGGTGAGAAGGTGAGCCATAAGATGGCTGCTGCGGTGTATAGCCACCAGCTCCATGCTGTGTTGAGTGCTGGTCGTGCGATCCGCCGTATGGACTGGGAGGCTGATTATGCGAGTAGGATTGGCTACCGCCGTATGACTGCTGCCCATAAGTCTGGCCGCCAGGTGGTCCTCCAGGAGGAGGTGGAGGGTACGAGTTATTGTGGCCTGAAGGAGGGCTCTGATGAGAACCCGTGTGCGATGTCGAGGACGTTGTCGCGTGGCCAGACCCGTGAGTAGACCCTGGAGGATTGTAGGTCGGTGCTGAGCCAGAGTATGTGTTACCGCCCGATCCTGAATTCGAGTAGCCAAAGCTCGAGTTTTGCTGCATGTCGTAAATCATCTCTAGTCAGCATTTCTCTTCCACCATTGCCCCAAGCCCAGCATGTCGGGGAACGTAATGATTTGCTTACACCGTGACTTGGTTTGTCCCCACCAAATAAACCACCCACCACACCAGCCAGACCGCTTGAATGTTGCGATCCGCCGCCTGAGGAGCTGCCTTGACCTTGGTGGTAATTTTGCGACTGCGAAGGTTTGCCAGAGGACGAGAACAAGTTGGACGCCAGCTGTCCAACCAGTTTTCCGGCAATGGAATCTTTGCCACCACTGCCACCGGAGTGTCCTCCGCTGCTCCCATGGGAGCCACCGCCGAGAAACTGAGCAGCCAGGCCGCCCAGGGGATTTCCACCGCTGCCACCACCACTCGAACCTTTGCCGCCCGTAAGTGCGTTCAAGGCCATGGACTAAAACACAATTGAAAATAAAGCGTCAGCATGTATCATCTCAGATACCCTAGCTTTACGTGAAAGAGGGCGGCCAAAGACATCTGCTTACCCCAAGTCCACGCTCGCCAGCTGCCCCTTCAGGCAGGATGGGCTCCATGGTTCCATCCGAGTGCTTTATAGTCTGCGAGCCGTCCGGGTGCGTGATGACCTGAGGCGCGGGTGAGCCGTAAGGATGTTCCGCGCCAGGAATCGGAGTGCCTGTCTGGACAGGATCGGTGGGAACATCCCACTGGGAGACACCAGTGGCCAGTTGGACGTAGTAGTACTTTCTGCTAGAACCATCCCACTGCGCGATCCAGCCAGCGGGCAGGCTTGGAGGCGCAAAGGTAGGGCCCTCGGCGCCTGGAGTCGAAGTGCCCGGCATCTTTTGGTTTCGCTGAGCGAGCAAGGTGATTGTTTCTTTCCCCGCCTCGATTGTATTGCCAAGGTGTGGGTGGTTCGAGAAGCGGCCGTGCGGTCTGGAGAGCCGTTCGCGGGGGAGGGGAGACGATGGTTGTCGGGCTTGCAAGAAGCAAGGGCCCCCCTTTGGAAAAGGGAAAATGAAGAACGAAGCAAAAACGATCCAAATAAAGAGGAGAGCAAAGAAGCGAAGAAAAAGGAGGAAGAGGAGAGAGAGAAAAGAGAGGGGCGGCGAGACTAGAAAAAGAGAGGAGAGGGAGGGAACGAAGATGGATGGCAAGTTTGCGATTGTCACCCAGAGACGCTGCTAAGTCAGCTGCAAAGCGTTAGCCGCAGGCCTTTGAAGACTTGCAAGCACAAAATCGACAGGTGGGGTCCGATGAGCGCCTATTTCTGACTGGGGCCGGCCACCTGTAGATTGTTCAACAAGGCCGGGGATGAACAGCTGGATAAGGATGGAGACTCTGCTTTGTTTCTTGGGGGGGTTTGAGCCCAATGAGTCACGCAAGGCGAGCGGTTATCCTGTCCATCCTGGTGTCGGCATTGCGCGTGTATTATGCGTAGCGCTCCATGTGCCCAATATTACATATTGCTAGGCAAGGTGCCCAGATACGGCAAATAAGCCACCGTCAGGTAGTCAGGGACATGGATGCTGATGACTAGAACTCTAGAGAGATTTAGGCTGCTCTTCACAATGCATACGCGGAAGAATATCTGAGCACGCAAGCTGTGAAAGCAATGATCAAAGCAGTAGTACTAAGATATCGAGACGCGGCCGTCCAAGGATGGATCTATTCTTCAGCCTGGTAGCGGGTACCACTGCTGCCCAATGGCCATACCCTGAGCCTCAAGTACATGCTACTCGGAACCTCTTCCGGCGCCAATTACCTGCTCTCAGCGGCTTCTGCCATTGTTCGATAATCTCATGAACAAGGCACCAGACCTGTAAGCATAGCCCCCCAAACCCTCCACCCACTGCGAATCGCCAACGCCGCTCCTTCAGCTGGGCTCGGGTGGCGCAGTGGCCCTGCTGCCCTCGAACGGGTATCTTTTTTCTCCTTGCCTTCCATTTTGTTCTGTTCTTGTTATCTTCTAGGCCTAGGTTCATGTTGTGTATTATTACCCGAGTTCTCGATGTAATACCAGGTTCATCTTGCCTCTCACGTGATGCTTCCGCTGGCGGCCTCACAGATTCATCAGCAAGTGTGGCTCGGACTCTCTTATACACAATCACGGCAAGTGCCTCTACAGAGAAAACAGCATCCAGTCAATATGGTTAAAATCACGGAGTTTTTATTTGAAATGTCAATATGTAGTGGGTATCTTGTTTCATTCAATACAGCGTCATGTGTTCCGCCCATCGTGTGCCCCAAGACCCATTTTCCCTTTGACCCCAAGCAAAGAAAAAAAAGGACAAAAAATAATGAGCAAAAATTGAAGTAGCGTTGCTCTTCCAATGGCTGCCAGCAACCACTATGAAAAGAACGAGAAATGAATGAATGAATGAACGAGTGACTGAGTGAGTGATTGAGTGAATGAATGAATGGGTGAGCAAACTAAAATTGTTCAGTAGCGAAAAAGTGTACAAGAATGAAAGAATAAAGTCGGTGTAGTCGTGAGATGGCGCTGTTGCTGGGTCCAGTGGCAGTTTCAATCTCATTTCTCAATCCATCCGAGAAGACGCACGCTTTCCACGACGGTGTTCATAGACGAAACGGCGTCTTGGGACAAAGCCTGGGCTGCTTCGCTTCTGGGCCGACACAAAGGTATCTGCCATCCCGGGCTGACATGGATTCCCCAGAGCCACGGGCATAGGGATGGACCACAGTCCGGCAGCACATCGCTGGTATTTCTGTCCGTCAGACTGGCAGTTATACTGACCCTCTCTGGAGCACCTTGATCCTGCGGTCGTCGAGGAGTTTGTGGGGGCTGTGCCGTTGGAAAACCTGAAGGGCATGGAAGGACTAGAAGGACTGGAATTGCTGCTGCTAGTAGTAGACTGAGGCTTACGCGGAGGCTGACGATGAGGCACAGTGTCTGCTGAAGAGGCTAGCACTGAAGTTGCAATCGAAGATTCTTGTTTGCTGGAGCTGGAGCTGGAGACGGAGCTGGAGACGGTGACGGTGATGGTGACGGGAGCTGTTGGTTCTGCCGAGGTCGTAGTGATGAAAACACCACCCGGAACATGGGAAGCAGAAGCAGAAATTGGAGCCGACGTTGAGGCAGACTGATCAACCTCTCTGTCACTGGTTACTTTATTAGCATGCCATCATCAACTGCAAAGGATAGAGGCGTGTACATTATCTGTTTGTGGCCATGAGCAACTGAGGCCAGTCCGAGGACGATGGCGGAAGCAGCATTGAAGAATCTCATGATGGCTGTTGGCGGTGATTGATTGGGAGTAACGGAGACTTGTAGCAGCGGGCACCTGGCAGCTGTCGACGGTCTGTTCTGTTTGCAAAGAAGTTTTTTTTGGCGCAGAGAGGCAGATATGAGTAAATGCGTGTATATGCGTGTACAGATTCAAGTCTAGCCTGAATCAAGGAGATGATCGAACTTGAGCGGTGAGGAGGGAAAGATGGAAGAAGAGGAAGAAGGGGCCGAATATATATAGATGAAGTATACTAGAAAAAGAGAAATGCGTGAGCAGAGTATTGAGTCACCCGTCACAATACAACAATAGGTATGGAGTCGAGAAGCGGGATTCGCCTTTGTGAGTTTGGATGTGAGAGAGAGCCGAATTTGAACAGCAATGCCAGAGGAAATAAGACCAGAGCTAAAGAGTAAGAAAAGAGGAGCCGATAAAAGGAAAATAGAAATTGAACAACCATGACGCTTTTAACCTGATAAAAGAGAATCTATGAGACAGCCTGCGAACAGCCATCGAGGAGGTAATCCACCTCTCTTTATACACCTTCGTAAATTACCTATCCACTTGGCCTAGTGTGCTATCGGCGTGCATCATTTTCAGATCATCTCCGTTTCAGATCCTGATCAGAAGCAGAAAAAGAAACAAGCCCCGTCGATTATACTGTTCAAAACACATCACCAGCAAACAGTCAAATCAACGCTCACCATTCGTTCTATTAGAGTTCCGCTCATCAGCAGTCATTACTTTTTTTCCTACGTCAAAGCGTATATCGAACATCTTGTGTACCTAGGTAGGCAATAGTGAGGACCACACACAGAAAAGAGAGAAACAAGAACGAAAATGGCCACGGAGTGAATCTGCAAGTAACCGCGCAGACAGGCGGCCAACAACCAGTCACGCCCTCCGGTCAAAAAATATGCTTCGGAAAGAGGATACCGGAAAAATAGCATGTCGTTGCATATTTTGTCCCATCCAAATGATTATTAACATTTATTACTATATCAAAAACTAATGCTATCAATGGATCATGCTGTGTTATATGAGCTATGTGAAATAGAAGAATGCACTGCAACTCCATTATCTTCAGGCAGCCAACTTTTACAAGAGAATCGCTTGATTAGCGCATGAATTCATGTGTGCCCGCGGATTGCTCCATGTTCCAAATATAGATCCAAGGTTCACCACGAGAGCACGACATCTCAACTCTACCTATCTGTGTAATACATACATGTACCTATCCTTCGCCCTACATACCTAGATAGCCACTACAAGTTATAACCAACAAGAAATTGACCTATTCGCATTATTTATAGACTATACGTGTACTACACCAGCCCTTTTATTTTTCCTTCTGCTTTCTTCGCTAATAAATTCTCCGCATCTCATTGTCTTATTTAAAATACTTGCATCAGCCATGTCACCCACAATTAGGACTCAAGGCAAACTTATAACATCAAGCTGCTAGTATGGACAAGGCTGGAAACAGCTCCAAAGCTCACTCATACGACTCTATTCCAGTCGTTGAAGCAGAATTCGAGTTGCAAAACCAGACTCCAGCTACCTATAAGCGCTATGCAGTGTATTCTCCTAGAGAGTGGCTTTTGGAATCCATCAGTTCAACTGTGGCTCTTGGGCTCGTAGTTGCACTTGTGACTATATTCTGGTCCATGGACAACCAGCCTCTCTGCCTGGAGAAGTCACATTTCTCTTAACACTAGTATTTCAATCCTGACAACTGCATACGCCATGGCCTTGATGCACGGAGTCAGCACGTTTATCGGACAGTCCAAATGGCTTCACTTCAGCAGTAAGCCTCGCAGGCTGGCTGATCTTGAGACATTTGATCAAGCCAGTCGCGGTGTTTGGGGCTCTGCTATGCTGCTTACCACCGTCAAGTGGAATCTGGCCACCATTGGCGCGGTGATTACCATCTTGCGACTTTCTTTCTCGCCATTCGCACAGCAGGTTGTTCTGATCGAGCAGCGAGATGTCATCTCTTTTGGCGCTGGTGCTGGTGCTGCCACCTTCGGATATGCACACAGTTATAGTCGGGAGGCAGTATTCAATCGCCTATTAACCTCCGTCCCTGGTAAGCATAATTGTTACAACTAGATACCTAGTACCTATCTACTCAGTTAAGTACTGGTAGTACCTACCCAAGTAGGTATACAACAAATATACATAATGTACCTGACATACTTCTATCCTAGAGAGCATCCCTCAAGATGCCGGTATGCAAAGCGCCGTCTTCAAGGGCCTCTACGGCGTCAACACCACAGAGCCTTTCAGCTGCCCCGGTGTATGTCGCTGGCCTGGATCATACATCTCCCTTGGCTTCAAGGCCGAGTGCAGGAATGTCACCCAACAAACATTGCAAACATCCAACTGCAACAACAACCAAGCCATGCTCCCTCACCAATGCAATATGACGACTCCAGGCGGAATCATGCTCGGCGCTCACATAGTGCCAAAAGATGCTGCAACGGCCTACTGTATGAACGCAATTTCGCTGATTGACAAAGGTACATTATTATCAGACACCTTTCCCGAAATCACGCGATTTGCAATTTATAGATCGACCCCGGACTCCAATTTTCAGATGCAAAGCATCAACGTTACAGAATGCTCTCTTTCCATCACCGCCTACGAATATACAGACGCCAAAGCCAATGGGAGTGATTTTTATTTTGCGAGCAGGCGAGAGGTCGATTTCGGCGTCAAGAACCCCTGGTTTTTCATGGACCAAAACGCAACTGCAAGGTTCCGCCGCTTGGCCACCAACGAGACAACAAGCGGCAACATCCACGTCCCTGCCCTTGAGATAGACTATCCAAATATTCAAACGCTGGAAATTTTCCTGACGTCCACCTCGATAATTAGCGAATATGTCGAGGGGAATTATGGAAATACAAACCTCGGCGTTGCCGCTGCTCTAACCGGTGACGTGGACCTCAACGCTCGATTCGACGGAATGGCAACAGCCATGACAAACTACATACGGTACGGCCCAAACACCCAGATAGCGTACGGACAAGTAATCTAGAGCGAGCCTTTTGTTTCCATCCGCTGGGGATACTTTGCCGTCCCGATTGCCATTGAGGCACTTGCAATCGTATTTGCCATCCTGAGCATTTTCAACAATCGCCGCAGTCGCAATGTGCCCTTGTGGAAGTCCTCGACGCTTGCTGTCCTGGCTTGTCAGCATAACGAGCAGCTTGAACTATTGCAAACAAAATGCAAGGGCATTGATGAAATTCAATTCGAGGCGGAGACACTCAAGGTACAGCTACAATAATACTGAGCCCAAAATGATATGACTAGGTACCTATACAAACGCCTAAAATGATATAATTACCTGTACAAACTTGCTAGATTAACTCTTTTACACAAAGTCAAGTGGACACCGTGTTATCATGATATTTCAAGCTGAGCGTTGTTTCCTGTATCTCCTTTTGTTGCAGCCAATCGACACAATTATCCTTGTCAAAGCTGATAAAAGACCATTAAGGCATATTTTCCAAATTTACTTTTTAAAGGCATTCACGGAGCCATGGATTGTTTGCTACAAAGGAGGAGGAGGAGGAGGAGGAGGAGGAAGCATTATGATTCGACGTATATTTCATATGTAGGCACCATCCAACGCTTCATACTAGTATGCAAATACAGGTCGATAGCGCACTGCTCTAATAGTGCCGGCCTTTTTTATACAACTTTCAATTTATCGATCAGCTCATGCCTGTAGCATATAACACTTATATCTAACTCTACCTTACAAAATATTCACCGGGTAAAGCTAGTAGCAGTACTCTCTTGCCACTAAGTGTATATCCACCCGCTTGAGCCTCTCTCCATTCTCGCTCTCTACACACTCGATAGGTCCATCGCCTACCATCTCTATGAGACGTCAAGAGTAGACAAATCGAATAGCTGCCCGCGCCTCGTCGCCCTCGTCGCCCCCTTTCAATCGCCTGAAAAGAGCATCATCTGTGTTTCAAATCATCATCGTTGGAAGTCGTTATCAAATCTCGCCGCTCTTACGGCTGTTTTCTCCCTCTCCTTCTGCGACGCTGCTGCTGCTGTTGCCCATCTTTACCACCCTTCCTCCTCGTCTCATCCTGCTAAGCTATATGACACCCGTGCAGCATCACAGCTTCGCCTAGCCTCTCTAAGCCGGACTAATTGCTGCTCCACGTGCCCAAGCCCAAAGCCCATCTTCTGCCTTCACAGATGCTATGCCATCCTATTCTTTGCTGTTGAAAATGTAATGGCTGTCTCATCAAATGCTCCAACTAGAGCTCTTTGGATTCGGCCTTTGCTATCAGCTTCTCCGCAAACCTCATACTGACGCTACCTGAGCTTTTATCACAGCCTCGTGGGCTCGATTTGCTACTTGGTACATCGGCACAGATCCAATTGGAGATCACTCCCCAACGGCCGTCTCATAACCCTGATTGGACATGAAGACCATCGTCCCAAATGTAGACGGAAACTGTAAACGCTCATGACAATGCCAATCACAGCTGTTCAATATGTTTCTTCAACTTCTTCCCTTTCCTTTTTTTTTTTCTGTTTGTTCAAGAAATATTATATGTTGTGTTCCTTTGCAAGATTAAATACCGCAAAGTAATCCAGAGCTGTGATGGAAAGCCAGAAAATGTCGTGGTGAGCGAATAACAGCCAAAAACCCTCGAATAGAGAGGCAGCGCTCAGGATGACTATTCTCTTCCCATTTTTGCAGATCTAATGATGCGTCTTCTGATAATCTATTTTGCCTCATTGGATCCCTCAGATTCCTGGTTCTGGGGGGAAGTTGAAGCCGTACGATTGGCCTGCGGGCCGGGATGCGGGTGACTCTGCGGTACATTATGCTTGTTGCTGTTGTTGTTGTAATTGCCACCACCGTTACTGGGCGGTTGTGGGCTATAATGATGTGGCACGTTTGTCGCATAATGCTGAGGTCCAGGCCCGTTGTAAGGTCGTGTATTAGACACTACAAAATGTTAGCCCCAAAAATTCATCTCTAGTCAATTATAAAATGGCATTACTGACTTGGAACGCCGGTTTGCGCTGGCACGTATGCTGGCTGGCTATATTGAATACTAGGGCTCATTCCGTACATGTTGTGCCCCTGCTGAGATCCCTGGTGCACCATCATGGGCGCCGCCGGTCGTCCCGGGCTGGGATAACCATTTGCTGCTGGCACTGGCTGTGGTGGTCCCGAGGGTGGCATGAACTGCGGATGGTGTGCACCTGGGTACATCAAGTGAGGGCCGGCCATCATGCCCTGAGGTCCTGGGATAAACTGTGGCTGCATCATCATTGGCGTGCCCATCTGGCCCTGCTGCGGTGCGTAGTGAGGGTTGTTAGAAAAGCTCCTAAATTGACCCAGCTGAGGGTTGCCGGCACCAAGGAAGACCGGCTGTCCATATGGAACCTGTGCGCCTGGGTTGACTTGCGGGTACGCCACGGGCAGCTGTCCCATGCGGGGCGAAGCAAACGACTGAGCAGAGTTGGAGTGCATCATCCGATGGTCGTCATTGCCATACGGTTGGTGAGGCACGGGTCCATGTTGCGGTGTGTGCATCTGCATCGGAGGCATATGCGGGGACTGCCGTGGCATAATGTGTTGTGCACCATGCTGGAGATGGAACGGAAGTTGATGCTGATGAGGAGGCATTTGAGGCACAACATGAGCCGGGTTTGGAGTAGGCATGCCAGAAAACGGCTGTCGCTCAAATAACTGCTTGTATGTGAGGTGCATAGTTGAGTCCCTCTTTTCATCATCCTGTATCTGGCGCCAGGTAGGAATAGTGTCGTAGGCCGGGCGCAGGCCACCATTTTCGTCCCAGTTCCGGGCCTGTGGTCCCTGAGGCGCAGCAAAGGTCTTGATGTGAGATAAGATGAAACACTTGTTGACATCGATAGGCTTGGTCTTTCTTCGGATGAGCTGCTCCTGAGGATGCCCCGCTGCATTGGCGGGATCATGGACATGGTTGACAGCGACGCGGGGGCTGGATGTCGCGCTTGGGTGTCCGTTGGGGTTGAAAGACGCAGCGAATGGGCTTGGCCTGAATTCGTTACTGTTGGGATTGAGCTTCGCTCCGAGATGGCCGCTAAGACGCCGCGGGAATTCCATGTTGTTAGAGGGACCAGTGGGCGGAACACGGTTATCGGAAGCATGCTGATGGGGCATGGGAGGCTGCGAGAATTTTTGCTGCTCCACGTTGCGGATGCGTTGCGCCAGCGTGCCACCGTTTGAATGTGGCTGCGAAACATGCTGAGGACCAACACGACCATTCCTATATACTTGCTGGTGATACTGTTGCTGATTGAACTGCTGACGAGGGCCTGTATGGCGGCCAGGTCCGCCGTTAGGGGGGGTGGCTTGGGGCACGGGAGCTCCCCGAGGAGGCCTGGTCTCGGCCGCGACAGGTGCCGTAGATGTTGACGTCGGCTCGGCAGGCTTGGGCAGAGGCGTCTCCTTGGATGGAGTGACATCCTTTTTGAGGGCAGCGTCAGTCTTGGCCTTGGCCATCTCCTCGGCATTCTTAATAGCCTTGGCCTGAATCTCCTTCTGCTTGGCGGGATCCTTAGCGATGATGGACACCAAATCCTTGGGAACCGGTGTTGACAGCTTGAAAGAGTTTGCGAATTTCTTCAGCTCTGTCAACTTGACTTCCTTATCCGCCTTTGCCTTGCTGCTTCTAGCTTTTTCGGCATTGAGACGTTGCTGTGAAGCAAACGATTTGAACGAGTTCAAGACATCGCGCTCAACAGTCGATGTTGCGCTGGGAACATTCTGAGGTAGCTGAGTTACGGGACGAGCATTTGCAGTAGGGACCGCCCTGGCGGAAGCCGCCGACTTTTCTGCCGGCTTCTCATCTGGGATTTTGGTGTCTTTGGCCGGAGCAGAGGCAGGTGTTGGAACCGGAGTAGGGGTCTTGCTCTCCACGGGCTTTGAGTTGGATGGCTGAGTATCCACTGGCTTTTGGACCTCGGGCTTTGCTGAGGTCCCATTCTTGACAACATCAGAGGCCTTTCGCTGTTCAGAGGCCTGAGAAGGCTGCTTCTTCGAGGCAGTCTTGATCTGCGAAGATATGATGGCCGGGTCGAAAGGAGCGCCTGCAACTGTAGCTTGAGCAGTCGGAGCGCGTTTGGCCGGGGGCATGTACTTGCCCCCTTGTCCAGATGGGAGAGCGGGGAATTCCTGGCGACGAACACCGCTGTATCTGTGTGATGGGTTAGCACAAAAGGTCACTTCACAAATATTCCAAAGTAAAACAGGTAAACGCTGCAAGTCACAACTCACTTGTCCTCCTCATTGTCGTCAGCACGGCCTTTGCCGCCAGAGTAGTCCATGACACGTTCTTCAGCCACGTGGGCTGTGAGAGCTGCGCTACGCTCAATCTCCCTAGCCTTCTTATCTGCGGCTGCCATTCTCTCCTTGTACTTTGGATGGCTGCGGTCGATTACAGTGGTATACATGTTTTCGTCATAGTCGGATTTGAGGCCAAAGCGCTTCTCGTTTTCGGCGAACTGGTCCCAGGCGCCAGAAGAAGAGGACTTTTCCAAACCACCATCGATAAACGTTTCGTCAGCATCAGGGACCCATGCCTGCAGAGTTCTCTGAGGTCCGGAGTGGCCGTTCGAAATTGCAGTGTCGGTTTTGAACCCGGCTCGATTGCCTACGAGTACTAGTTAGCAACCTCGAGGAAGAAAGGTTGTGTGGAGGGAGAGCGCGCCAAAGGAAAGGCCGATTGCTTACCGTTTGCCTTTCCATCCGCCTTGGCCGAATTGCCCTGTTGAGGGTCTTTTCTTTGAGATGCCGGCGGCATATTGCTGAACTTTCTTCGTTGTGTGCGTAGCTTCCCAGAACTTTATTATCAAAGCGCCACAGATTTCAACTGTCTGTCGTACGAGGAAAGGTCGATGTGAGCGAGCTCGCGCGTTTGTCGGCCTTCGTAGGGAAGCTGCGTGAGTAACTTGGGGCTGCTTCAATTAAGAGCTTAAAATCTGGAATAAACATGTGTCAGTACAAAATGCCTATGGTGGGCTGCAAGACGAATCGTGGATTTTGGCGCAAGAGACTGGCAAGATGGGAATGCAGGGGTAGCAGATAGAAGCAGCACAGTCAATGGGGTCAATGCAATAAAGCAGGAAGGACATCCCACCAGCCAAATCAGCCAGATTTTGCCGTTGGGTTCTCGGAACGAAGCGGTATCCAGGGGAAAGCATTTGAGGGTGTGATCGGGATAGACGAACCTCGTGGTGACGATGACGAGAGCTTGTGTCACT